TGTCTCCTAGAAGCTCAAAGTTGTGTAAGCAAACAAGCCAAGACAGACTAAATTCAAGAACAGCAGTGACTTAAAGAGAGGGAGGCATGGAATAAAAGAGTTTTCAATCCTCTTTGAGACAAAGGAAGGCTTCCAGTAAGAGGTGAAGACTAAAAGGGTTTTAAAGAATGTCTAGATTACACATGAACAAGCAGAGGAAGGCAGGTGTGATAGCTGAGCATTGCTAAGATATCAAATGAATGGTGAATTATAGGAAGAATCAAGGTCATGGCCAAGGGCCATGTTGGGAAAAAACCTTGAACATCACCAAGGAATAGGGTGCTTAGGGGGACTTTATAGCAAGGGATTGGTGCTCTTAGATGTGCATTTTCTTTATTATTTTTGAGTTTGGTTTCATTTTAGTACCCTGGTTCACCTTGAACTTGATTTGATCTTCCTCTAGCCTCAGCCTCCCAAGTACCTGAGACTTAAAGACATCTTCCACCATGTTCAGTATTAAACCTGCATTTTAAAATGTTGATTATTCTCTTTATAGAGGATGGATTTCAAGATTATGGAGTAGAAGGGAAGCTGTGACTGTGGCAGCAGGTTATCTAGGGGCAAAGAAAAGTCATAATCTCAATGAGATCCTGAGGGCCTGACCCAGCCAGCAAGATTCAGGATACGAAAAAGAAATGAAAGAACTTGTTGGGGATAGAATCACCAGACCCTGAAGATCCTAGCTTGTCTGTGTGATCCTCTTCTTCCCCAGAAAGCAAGACCCAGAGATCAAGACTCTAACGAGAGTCTAGTAAAAGGGCAAGGGGGGCATATTTAAATGATTACGGTAACTCCTTCACCTTCTTCCTTAGACTCGGAGAGGATGAGACTTCGGAGCTCAAGGCTGCCTTCACCAGGTTTGATCAGGAAGGGAATCACGTTCTGGACGAGAAGGAGCAGGCGCAGAAGCGACAAGGTCTGGAAGAGGAGAGGGTAAGCAGGGCTAGTTGGTGGGGAGGCAGGGTGAGCGCATCCCTCACCTGTGTGTGCTCCTTCCCCAGCATATCCAAACTAAACCCACCTCGAATGTCTTCTCAAACATGAGCGGAAAAGAACTCTCAAGAACAGTGCATATTAAATACCCCTGAGAGCCTTTAAATGCCCTCAAACTCTTGGTGGTAGGGTTGAAACATTGGGGCCTTCTAAAAATTCCAAAGCGATTTCAGCACACAGCCAAGCTTCAGAATCATTGCTTTGTAGGCATTATCTAGGAGAGCTTGTTCTCTTGGAATTTTGACATGGACCCTACTATGCCTGCTCCACCCCTATTCAGTGTAGGTTAAAAAAATTCAAGGACAGGGCTATCAGAGAGGGAGGGACAGCCATGAGAAAGGGAACCCAGTAGAGAATGGATTAGAAGCTTTCCTGGCTGGAGAGGTGGCTCAGCATTTAAGAGCATTGACTGCTCTTCCTGAGGTTCTGAGTTCAATTCCCAGAACCCACAACTATTTGTAACTCCAGTTCTAGGAGATCTGATGCCTTCACACCAATACACATAAAATAAATTTAAATAAAAGATATATAAAGTGTATTTTATCCCCTCTAACATCCATCTTCTTAATCAGGTGGCCCTCAGTGCTGAGATTGAGAACCTAGGCCAGTCCATTGGCTATAGCCCACCAGGTGAATTGGGCACAGAAGCTGTCAGAGGAGGTGGCAGAGGAGGAGGAGGCTGGGTTTCTGGAGAAGAATTCTACACGTATGTGGAGGCGGGGGTCCAGGGCTGGCTGTGATATCTTCTCTTGAGAATCTTTCCACACCTTCCAAATTCCCTTTGCTAGTCCCATTTCCAGTCCTCTGTGACTCTACCTACAAGGTTGGGCCTCATCTTCCTCATTCCCAACCAGACAAGCACCACTGTATTATCTCTAGTACAATAGCCCCTGCCCACACCCGGACATATATTTCTGCTTTCTTTGTCTCTTACAGGCTCACAAAGAGGGTTCTGCAGCTGGAGAGTGTTCTGGAAGGAGTCGTGTCCCAGGTTGATGCTGTGGGCTCAAAGCTGAAGATGCTGGAAAGGAGAGGGGACCTGGCTCCCTCCCCAGGAATGGTGAGGGCCAGGTCCTCTGAGTTCTTTACAGTTGGAATCCATCTTATTTCCCAGTTAGTGAGGACATTCTGGAAAGACCTGGGGAGTCATGCTCACAGTGGTCATAGATCAGTAGAGGTGGAGAGCAGACCCGGAAGTTGCTGAAGTCGGCCTATAGAGTTCCTTGATCTTTTAGGGGAGCCTTTGTTTTAGTTTCTTTGAGTTGTTATAATAAACTATCAAAGATCAGGATGATGGGAGATGCCATTATGTATATATGTTTCTCATACTGGTTAATAATAAAGCACTGTTGGCCAATAGAAAAGGAAGATAGGAGGGACTAGGAGACAAGGAGGAAATAGAAAGTGGTAAGGAGGAGTCAAGATGGAGAGTCTGGAGAAAGCAGTATGCCGCCGGCTCCCCGGTAAGAGAAATACATAGATCAACAGAAATGGGTTAATACTTAAGACAGAGCTAGCCGATAAGAAAGTAGTTACTGGCCAACAGTATAATATTTAATACATAGTCTCTGTGTATTATTTGGGGCTGGCACGGTGGCAGGACAATACCAGGTGGTGGGAGGAAAAACCAAACGCCTTACAAGACCAGCGGTGGCAGGCAGAAAAACCATACACGTTACATCAGACTGCTTATAGACAACAGAAATACACTTTTCACAGTTTGTGAGGATGGGGAGAGTCTGAGACCGAGGAACTAGCAGGTTCAGGACCTGCTGAAAGCCTTCTTGCTTCATAGACTGTTCAATTCTTGCTATGTTCTCATATGGCAACAGGCTCCACACTCATGACCTCATCACCCACAAAGGCTCCGTTTCCTAGTACTGTCACACCGGGGATTAGCATGTCAGCAAGAGACTGGGGGAGACACAAACATTAGTCTATAGCAATCTAGGTTCTCTGTAGTTAGATTCAGAGAAAAATAAACGACTCCTTCAAATGAGCTATTCCTTTTTCTTCCAACAGGAGGAGCTAGCTGTTTGGAAGAACCTGTAACCAGTCCTAGTTATCACTCCAGGCCTCTTGGGGGAGTCCCTGAGTCCAGACTAGTAAGGAGAATGGAACAGGGATCCTAAAACATGAGACATCAAGTTCCTCTCTCTATGCCTTCCCAGAAGTCTCTTCTCCATATGCTCCCCCCCCCACCTTCTAGGGCAGCATGTCTCATGATAGCTGCTGTGTAGTTCCACCTTGTGGCTGGCCTTTTGAGCCAATGTTTTTGTGTGTGACTGGGTAGCATATTTAGACTTGTCCTTTGGTGTTTCTCTATGTAGTCACACAGCTCCATAAAGTAGCATTTCCTTCCTGGCTTCTCACTTCCTGTGCATTTACCTCTGCTATTTAGTGAGTAACATCAATAACAAATAAGAAAAAGGAAGAGGCCACTATGACTTTCCTAAAGAACTCAGACAGCCACGATTGGTCAAAAGATAGAAGCCCAAAGAGTAGGCAATAGATATGTCTTCCTACTTCACAGTAAATCTTACTCTTCTGTGATGGGGGATGTCCTGTATGTGGTGAATATGTTTCTCTTATTGGGGTTCCACGGTGACTATCAATAAAACTCTTTAGAGAAACAGGTCTTTGTATTTGCTTCTGGGGTTAGAGAGAAGTCAGGAGGTTATGAATGTAGGACATTCATGTTCATGTGCATGCTCTGGAAGGTACCGGAGTGGGAGCCATCCCAATGTCAAGGATCTTGGCTGTCCCAGGAGCCCTGAAGTAAGAAACCCTAGCTCAGGGGGCCATGCTGGGGAAACCAACAGAGACAGCTGACCTGAGCTTGTGGAGCTAAAGGACTCCAGACCAACAGATAGTTGTGCATGATAGTTGTGTAGCTTGACCTCTTTGTAGGGCTTTTTGGCAGGACCTGTCCCTGGTGCTTAGCTGGCTTTTGGGAACCTGTTCCCTTTGCTGGATTATGTTTCCTAGTCTTGATGCTAGAGGAGGAGCTCAGTTCTGCCCCAACTTGATGTGCCATGATTTGCTAAAGCCCATGGGAGGCCTGCCCCTTTCTGAGTGCAGACCGAGGAGTGGACTGAGTACAGGGATAGATGAGAGGGAGCAGGTGTGGGAGGAGAGGAGGGAGGGAGGGGGAACTGTGGTGTGTGTGTGTGTGTGTGTGTGTGTGTGTGTGTGTGTGTAAATGTGCATAAGCACGGGTGGGTGGAGGATAACCAAGAATAAGACAAGAAACTCTTACACCAAGATTTCGGATGCTCGGGAGCCTGCATCCTGAAAATTCTCCTATACCTCTGCGTCCTCCCCTGTGACCCCATTCCCCTACATTCTACACCTTCCGTTGCTCCCCAGTATACCTTCTCATTCAATGCCTTCGCTCTCACTTGCTCTCACATCCTGTTAAGTATGTGAGACTTGTGTAACAACTAAATGCAATCGAGGTAACCAATGTGTCAGCTATGATGGACGCTTCCTTCAAGCAACGTGCTTTCAGTTAAACCGCATTAGGGGTTAGCCTGCAGTTTAAGAAGCACGACCCAGAGAGTTGATAAGATATTAATTCAAGGCTTGTGGGCAGGGGAAAGGAGAGAATATTTATGGTCAAGAATCCAGGCTGAAGGCTTGTGGGAGACAACTTACAAAAGCCACCATTCCCTGCCGCTATTCTTTGGTGAGTAAAACATGTCAGTGTGCTAGTGTCTGGGAAGAAGACCTGTCTCCAGTAACTTCAGCTGACAAGTTCACTGTGGGGTCACCACCCAGGACAGGTGGCTGTGCTGGTACAAGCTAAGAGACAGTTGTAGGGTATGGCTGCAGAAATGAACACTTCTTCAACACCAGGTTGTGATTCTCAGCAGCGGGTTGATTCACAATCATGTCATGGCTTCAGTTTCGCTTTCATGCTTGCACTTTGATAAAAAGTTATTTTTTGAGGCGTGACTCGATCAAAATGAGCAAAGCGAGGAGGGTGCAAGCGCGCGGCGGGGCGGGGCACTCGCGCTGCGCACGCGCAGACGCTTCAGAACCGGAAGCAGCGTTGGGCCGGGCATGGCGGCGGCTGCGGACGGCGTCCCTGCGACGCGACGCGAGGAGCCGGCTAGAGGTACTACCCGGCGTGGATGGAGACGAAGCGGCTAGTTCGGGGGCTGGGTCCGGATGCAGGAGCGGGTGCACCTGCCTGCCGCGTCAGGGCACTGAGATGAAGGTCTGGCCCCTGAGCAAGGGAATGGAGGAGTAGGCGTTTCGGGCGGGCGAGTGCCAAGTGGGGAGCTTGAGATCGTGGCAGGTGGGGAACAAAGGCTGCTGGCCGCATGAGCACAGGTCGGGAGGGTCGTAGGGAGAGGCCGCTTTGGCTGGGTTAGGTCTGGGTATAGAATATTTGCTCACACACACACTCCCACCCCAACCCGCTCCACCCTACCCCATCGCGCCGGCTCGGCCAGATGATGCTGCGGTGGAGACAGCTGAGGAAGCAAAGGAGCCCGCCGAAGCTGACATCAATGAGCTCTGCCGAGACATGTTCTCCAAAATGGCCACATACTTGACTGGGGAACTGACAGGTGAGACGCCGACCTGGCTGATCCGGTTGTGGAGTTGCGTTTGGCTTGGCGGAAACCTGAGAGGTGCTTTAGCAGCCGCTGTCAGTGCTTGGGTGGGGGAAGAAGAGCTCCCCACCCCTTTCCCTAGGGGAACTCAGGACCCACTTTAGAAACACAAATCGCAGGCCTCTTCTAATGTAGTAACGATAGCTAACAACAAAAATCCCGCTCTATTTTAGTTAAGAAGTGCCTCCCTACGGGAGGTGTGTTTTAAGCGTGATTGTTGAAGGAAATCGAAAGGGGGAAACGGTACAATTAGTAAAAGAGCTGGAATCCGCAAGCAATTTGATTAGACCAGAAGGCTCGTCTGAAGGCTTGGAGATCCACCCTTGGGACATAGTTAGATTTAATTCAGTGTGCCTGCACCGTGTGGGTCATTTGCACTGTCAGAAGAACTTACACTGTTTCACTTATTCAGATTTTTTTTTTAATTACATGTACTGCGAGACAGAGAGGAGAAAAAGAGAGAGAGAGGGAGAGAGAGAGGAGTGAGGGAGGAGAGAGAGGACACACATACGGTCATAGGACTGCTTGCGAGGTCGTGATTATCACACATTTCTCACATTTGCTTGGTAGCAAGTGCTTTTCCCAGCTGAGCCATTTGTAGCCCCCACCCCCAATTGCCTGGGATCCCAGTTTTTGAACCAGAATCTACTAGGAAAGGCTTAATAGAGAAGTTGGGGGGGGGGGTCGTGGACGCTTACAAAGACTGTGGTTTGCTTTCACCACTGGCCTGTCCCTCTCCTTTAGTGAGACTGAGCGTCCTTTGTGGTTTAGCACCATTCTTTGCTGGGGTTTTTCATTTGTTGCTTTTTGGGTTGGTTTTTCTGTTATCAGCGCTGTACAATTAGTTAGCAGGGTGCTGGGCTGAGTGGGGGGAGATACTGCTCTGTGAAGCGAATGCCTTCCTTGTGTTTATTATATGAACCCTTGCGTTCCTGCGTTCACATTCCGTTGCTGGCTTCCGAGTGTGTGGCCCTTGTTTTAGAGAGATTATGATTTGATAGCAGTGTAAGAGCAAGTGTGGAGGAGGACAGGGACGGGGGAGCAGTTTTCAGAGAGTAATGGGAGTCTGAGAACAGTCAAGAGATAAAAAGGACGAAATGGAGAGTATGGGTGTGAACACAGGACAGAAGTAGACCTCCCAGGATTTGTTGAGGTGGGTATTGAGCATCCTAAGACACTTGTGAGGTTTTAAGGGTGGGTAGGACCATCAACCAAAATAGGGAAGCTGAAAAGAGGAACCGTGTTTATGTGGGGAACTGTTTCAGTTTGGCTTGCCCGTTTTTAGCTGTTACTGACACTCTTGGGTGGGTTTTCTGAGGACACTCAGGTGCCTCGTGTATAGAAGTTCAGAGCGCAGAGAGTGATCATTGCAGGAGAGGCATGGTCTGATGGGAGGGGAGGCATCGGGTGTAGGGGTGGAGGCTATGCCAAACAGGATTGCCAAGGAAGAGCTTACAGATGGACCTCTTTAGGGCCTAGACTGACATCTCAGGAGATGGAGCAGTTCATTGTGAATTGCTAGGGACTGAACCCAGGGCTTTGCATATACAAAGCCATTGCTTTGCCCAGTGAGCTACATTCGAAGCTTTAAATAACTTTTGTAGATAATTATTTGTAGATAATTACTCCAAAGTTTCTAAGTGATTATAAAACTATGTTAAGCCAGTGTTATTTTTCCACTCTGGTCATTCTTTCTTGTACAAATACTTTTTGAAAAGAAAATTTTTAATTTACTAATGTGTGTGTGTGTGTGTGTGCACATGTGTGTGCATCCGCATGCATGTGTACATAGCCATGTGCCATAGTTCATGTGTGGAGGTTGTAGGATGGCTTTTGGGGGTTAGTTCTCACCTTTCACCATCTGGATTGATCGCTTCACAAGAATGAGAACCTGAATTCTGGGGAGGTTTTCTAGAACTTGCTGGCACGTCTAGCTAAATTGGTGAACTCCAGTTTCAGTGAAATCTTATATGAGAGAAATAGGGCAGATAGCAAGGCAGAAAGAAATAAGGCAGATAGCAAAGACCTCTAGCCTGTACACACCTATGTACACAAACACACACAAGTTGATACCCAATATACTCATACACATATGTACATAGAAGGTTTATATCTCTAGTTGATATATAATATGATGAAATCCTCTAATTAATATATTATATTATGATATATTAATATATATATGAAATATATTTAACATATGTATTCCAGACATGTTTCCGTGTGTAGCACTGGCTGTCCTGGAACTCACTCAGAGATTTGTCTGCCTCTGCCTCCCAAGTGCTGGAATTAAAGGTGTGTGCCACCACCACCCACATAATTTTTTTTATTCTACAGACGTACCAAGACTGTTTCACCTCTCTCTTCTTTGACAAGAGTTTGCCATTTTCCTTTTCTGACTATTATTGCGGTAAATAAGGATCAGGATAAACAAATAGGCCGAATAGATGTTTATTCAGGGAGAAATAACTTACAACCTAGACAGATGAACACCAGGAAATTCAACCCGATCCTTTCCTGTCACGCCAGAAAGAGCGCCTTCCTGGCCCCCTCCGACCTCCTTCCACAGGTCACTTCCGCCCATGGCTCCACCCCCCAGTGGGCGTGGTCAGTGCTACAGAAGGACTGTCTCACTACAGACTATAATACAAACTCTTCTAGACCTTGCTTAGTTTAGTTTGCTGATTGCTGCCTGAGTTTCTACTTAGACATTCAGGATATAGCTAAGTATAAATGTCACAGATTAAATTCAGGGTATAAGCTAAGTATAAATGTCACAGATTAAAAGTAACCTGGGGGTCGTCCCTTGAACTTCTGTATTCTCTCCCTGGACTCCTTTGACTTAAAAGTCTGTATCCCAGTAACTTCAGGCAAACCCTAGAGGCATCCCATTCTCTGTTATTTTACAGCTACCAGTGAAGACTATAAACTCCTGGAAAATATGAATAAGCTAACAAGCTTGAAGTACCTTGAAATGAAAGATATTGCTATAAACATCAGCAGAAACCTAAAGGACTTAAACCAGAAATGTGAGTACTAATACTCATCACTTGAATAAATACTGTTTGTTTCCAGTGCTCGGGGAACAGGGAGTCCCTGCTTCCTGGGAGCCTGAGTTCCAGAAAGCATTACCAACCAAGGGCTATTTCTTCATTCTTTGGTGGGATGGTTCTTTCTGTTTCTAAACCTGGATTTTAGTCAGTACATTCCTAGAAGGAGAGTGGGCAGGTAGGAGTCTAGTGAATTGATTTAACAGTGAAACCCCCAAAGGACTGCTCTAGAAGCAGAAAATCTATAGATTGGAAATGTTAATTTAGAGTGGTCTGACTAATTTTTCCACTGAAAAATGCCCTTTGTCACTAGGACATCCTTGGTATGGGCGTGCCCAAGATGCTGAGTCAGTAGCAGGAACATTGCTTAAGGAGTAAGAACTTTCCAGGGAAGGAAATCTGAGAAGAACAACTTTAACGCGAGCTGCGTCAATGATGTGCCCGATAAGCCAGCTGCGTCTTCCCAGAGCATCTGCCAGCGACACTCATGTCACCCACCCCGGTCGTTGTTGGGCATAGCAGGAGAAACTCCAGCTTTCTTACTTTCTACTCTTTCTCTATACTTGCTGACGATATATGGACATTTGGTTTGCTTTTCAAGATGCTGGATTACAACCCTATCTGGACCAGATCAATATGATTGAGGAACAGGTGGCAGCTCTGGAGCAAGCAGCCTACAAGCTGGATGCTTATTCAAAGAAACTGGGTAATTATTTTTACTTCTATTGTGATCACTTAGGGTTTATTTTATGTGTTTGGCCTGCACGTATGTATGTGCACCACGTGCATGCAGTACCTATGCAGGAACTGGAGTTACAGATAGTTCTGAGCTGCCATGTGGGTGCTTGGAATTGAACCCGGGTCTTCTGGAAGAGCAGTCAGTGCTCTTAACCACTGAGCCATCTCTCTAGTTCCTAGTACCAAGGTCTTGACTGTGGTTCAACATGCTGAATTATCCTTAGTAATGTAGATGCACATGCCTTTTAAAATGAAATTGCTGGCTATGTGTTTCCCAGAGAACTGCTTTTTCTTTCAGGGGAAGGCTAGTGCTTGCTTGCTGGCCCTGGCTGTTATCTACTTGGTAAAGAGTAATGAACATGTCTTTACCCCAAGTTCTTTTATTTCTACCATTGATACTTGTTGGTTGTGTCAAGAGAGTAGATCGTCAGTGGCCGTTTAATAGGAGTAGAGATCAACAGTCAATTTTACTATGCACAGTTGTTACATTTAGTAAATATTTGCTGTGAACCTCACTGCATAAAAGGTATCATACCAAGTGCTACTGAGATTTTAAAAGCCAAGAAAAGGGTTGGGTGTAGTGATGTATGCCGTTAATTCCTTGGGAGGTGATCAGGAGGATCAGGAATTCAGGACAACCCCCCTCCCCCTACCTCAGGCTGTTTGAAAATTTGTCAAAAAAAAAAAAGAAAAAAGAAAAAGAATAGAAACGCACTGTAAAGGCTTATTCGATGACATTTTAAATCTCTGTATCTTTAGATTTTTGTATTTTTCCAAATTGCTTTCCTAAAGTGAGATGTAAGATGGACGTAGAAGGACTGGGCATGCAGCTCAGTTGGTACAGTGCCTGCTTGCTGGGTATGAAGTCCTAGGTTTAAGAGCACCACCTCGTAACCACTGGAACACTAGGGATGCTAAGTGCTGACCCAGCACTGGACAAACAGGGCACTGGGGTGTGTGCCTGTAACTGGAACACTCAGGACGTGGAGGCAGGAAATTCACAAGTCCAAGGTCAGCCTTGGCTGCATTGCAAGTCTGAGGCCAGCTTTAGAGTTGTTCTCGTCCTTTTGTTGGTTTGGTTTTGGTTTTTCAAGACAGGGTTTCTCTTTGTGGCCCTGGCTGTCCTCCAGGACTCTATCTATAGACCAGGCTGGCCTCCAACCTGGAGATCCATTTGCCTCTGCCTCCCAAGTGCTGGGATTAAAAGTGTGCACCACCACCACCCAGCTCAGCTTGAGATTTGTGAGACCTGTCTAGGCTAGGTTGATGTGGGGTTGAGGGGTAGGGAGAAGAGTAAAGAAATAGACATTAAAAAAAAAATACCAAAACAAAACATGTATTTATACTTCCACTCAGTTTTCGCGTTTGTTCCTGGAAGGGAAGTTTCCCAAATTTTGTAAGGCTCCCAACAGGGCAAGTGTAGTAGATCTTGCTTCATTCTGTCTGAGCTATCTAAGCATGTGTTATTGATAGACTTAGACCTAGTGACTGGTTTGGGTACTCAGTCAGGGTGTATACAATCGACTCCTCCAAGTTGTGCAGGACTAAGATCTACTCCATTTGAGTAGATGATGAGATGGGAGCTGCTGCCTTCTTAGGAGTATAGTAGGTAGATCTGAACTTGGTTAAAAATCTAACTAAAAAGTATCTTTTTTGTGAGAGCTAGTGTTGAAAGATGCAATCCTCTTCTTCCCCAAACAGAAGCCAAGTACAAGAAGTTGGAGAGGCGATGAAAACATGTTCGTATGGATCAGGTGGTCTGTCTGTCTGTTTGTTTTAATATGGAAGAATGTTTTATAACCACTAATTTTTGAGGCTGACGAATCATCACAACTCCTCAAAAGAACTCTGTGGGGGTTAATCCCAAAGCCATGTAATGCTGGATGAACTGGAGGGCTGTGGCCGCTCCCGAGTCTCTTCCAATGCGGCACCTCACAAACTCAGACCAGAACTCCTCCTCCCCCTTTGCTTGAATGCCTGGTCATCCATTCAAGAGGGAAACCAGAGTGTACCTGGGCTTGCCACCAGAGTCAAGTGAAAGTGCTTTCCCTGGAAGTGGTCAGGTAGCACATTATTTTCTAAATGGCCAGGGGCTTTTTGTTTTGTTCTATTTTGTTTTCTATTGATGATGCTAATGTATTGTTAACAAGATTCTAAATTAAAAAGGAAAACAAAACAAATGTGTGTGTCAGTAATTTGCTTTTTCCATAACACTGCCAATAACAGAAACTCCTAAACTAACTCCAAGCCCAGTCCTAAAGACTGAGCAGAGGGCATGAAGGAGTGTTTTCATAACTTAGGATGTGAGAGCTTCCTCCACCCCAGTTAGGGAGCTAGCCTAGACCTTGAGTATTCCTACTCAAGTGCTCAACCAGGGAACTATTTCCCCAGTCATTTTCATTTTAAGGTTGGGTCTCTTCTAAGGCAGTGGTTCTCAACCTGTGGGTCGTTGGCTCCCTCTGGGGTCAAATATCAGCTATCCTGCATATCAGATATTTATATTAAAATTCATAATAGCAACAAAATTACAGTTATGAAGGAGAAATGAAATAATTGTATGGTTGGGGGTCACCACAGCATGAGGAGCTGTAGTGAAGGGTCTCAGCATTAGGAAGGCTGAGAACCCCTGTTGTGAGGTATACAATAGGCCTTAAAGTTTTGACCCTCCTGTTTCAGTCTCCCCAGAAGCTGAGCTCTTTGGCCTTTAAGCAAGGCTCCATTTTTTACTTGATTCAGATGTGTGGTGGTAAGATGACGCTCTTAACATCTGTTCTAATTTGGAAATGTGATATACCTGTGGTGGTTTGAATAGGTACGGGCCCCCATAGACTCATATGTGTGAATGCTTGGCCCATAGGCAGTGGCACTATTAGGAGGTGTGGCCTTGTTTGAGTGGGTGTGGCCTTCCTGGAGGAAGTATGTCATGGGGGTAGGCTTTGAGGTTTCAAAAGCCCATTGCAAGTCTCTGCCTGCGGATCAGGGTACCGTTCTAACTACTTCTCCAGCACATGTCTGCCATGCCTGCTGCCTGCTCCCCACCATGATGATAATGGGCCAAACCCCTGGAACTGTAAGCCAGCCCCAGCTAAATGCTTTCTCTTACAAGAGTTGCCTTGGTCATGGTGTCTCCTCACAGCAACCGAACATTGACTACGGCACTAAAAGACATTATTGTTTCTCTTTCTACCTCTCCTGACTGCTACAGACTATCACCATTTATCCTTATTTAATAAAAGATTTTTTTTTGTATATGTATGTTTTGTTTGCATGTATGTATGTGTACCATATGTATACCTGGTGCCTATGGAGGTCAGAGAAGAGTGTTGAATCTGAGTTACCCGTGGTTATGAACTATCATGTGAGTGCTGGGAATGGAACCCAGCTCCTCTGCAAAAGCAAAAGTGCTGTTAACCATGGAGCCGTCTCTCCAGCCCCACAAATTACAATCCATATGTATACAAGGGCCCCACTTAAGAAAAAAATCTCTTTCGTATTATTCCTACACTTAGACTGTGTTAAGCCATTTTTAGCTACCTTTCATTCCTATGGATGAATGTTCACTTTGAGAATAGATTTGAACCTACAGAAACAATTGCAACAATAATACAGAATTTCATAGACAAGTTAAAACAATAGTAAAACATTTTACTATTGTTTTATCATCTCTGAAATTGTTAGCTGTTCATTTTGATAAATTATCCAATCTTCAAGATTTAGTCTTGAAAGTCACTCTTAGGATAGTGCTGTATTATCCAAAAAGTAAAAGGTTTACGTTGCCAATAAAGCAGAGGTATTAGTATGTATGAAGCAAATAATTTGATATCTCCCCGTCCCCCAAAAAGCATTGCAGAAATAAAGTGTATGGGAACAGACTTGAGGTTTTTTTTTTTTTTTTTTTTTTTTTTCTAGACAGGGCTTTTCTGTGTGGCTCGATCTCAGAGATCCCCCTGCTTCTGCCTCCCGAGTGCTGGAATTAAAGGCATGAGCTAACGCCACCAGGCTCCAAATGTTTTCATTTCTCCACCCCTTTCAATTTTATAGTTTGCCTTTCAAAGCAAAAAACCTCGTAGTAAAGATTTTGTCCCTCTGCACGCCCTGTAGGCGGGAGGTTTCTCATTGGCCGACACGAGTGACGTCATATTTCCGCGCTCTGGCGTTCTAACCTGGAGCGCGTGTCCCTGTTTCCAGCCTTGGGTGACTGGCCCAGCACAGGCTGTAATCACCGATGGCTCAGCAGCCGCTGCGTCTGTGAGTTACCTTGCATCGGAAGACTCAGGAACCTAGTGGGGAAAGGAAAAGGGGAGAGAGGCGGGCGTAGAAGCTGGGGTCGTTCTCCAGACCGGAAGGGGAAGACGGAGGGGAGGTCGCGGGGCTGCTGGGAGCTGGAGTCGAGTCTTCCTGCTCTCCTGTTGTTTTTCCACCCTAGTGTCTTCAGGGTCTCTCGGAGAGATAAAAAGCTTGCGGAGCCACATTCCCCCCTCCTTTTTTTTTTTTTTTTCTCTTCTTTTTTAAGGCCCGCTACACATCACCTCCATTTCATTTCTCCCCTCATGGCATTTATTAATTAGCCAAATAGTTGCAGACATCGGCTGCACTGGTGGGTATTGGCAGTGAGGATAACCATTGCCTTTGCCCCGGCGTACCTTTGTGGTGTGGCCGGTTAGCGAAGACGAGACTTCATTTAGAAAGGCTACTGAGTAGCGGCAGTGTCTTTCATGGCGCCAAGCGTTGCACAGACGGGCGCCTGTCTTGATAGCTGATGGTCTCGACCAGAAGAACAGGTGTCAACGAATGCAGAAATGTAGAGAAAAGGTCGACGGTTCTGGAGGATATATAATGATATCTAGCTTAGAGGGAAGGAGTTAAGGCCGTCCTGAGAAAGTGAGGATTTAACTCTGGTAAATATTATTGTCTTCAACCCAGAGAAGTCATTGAAATGTTTAAAAACTCCTTAGCGTGATCCAGTTTTCGTTGTGGAAAGTGATCCTGTTGAAAGGTGGTAAACAAATCGGTAGGAGGAAATAGGAAGTAGAAGGAAGGTAGGATTAGTTAGAGCCATGGCAGAGGGACGTTCAGGAACTGATGGCTTGTTAAAACAGGTGTGATCAGTAGGGAGATGTTTGGTTGTGAGGAACTCCCACTGTAAGGTCACAGGCTTCAGTCTTAGTCACTGGGACCAGAAAACGCTGTAAAAGGACCACACCAGATAATAGTGAATGTGTCTCCCAGAAATTGATAATCAGTGGGGGCTGGAAAGATTCCTAGAGACGTTTGGAGAATAAATCAGGTTACTTAATGGTTATGACAGTTGGTTCTGGAGTGGTACATAGGTTTTGGAGACTTTTAGGAAGTGTGGCTTTCACAGCTCACCAGGAAGGCTTCAGAGATTTACTAGGCCTTGATGGCTGGGGAAAGCTTTGAGGATGGGTAAGTGGGGCTGTTAGAGAGACCCTCCCTAGAGAAGAGCAGAGACAGAGAGTGATCCTTTGGCAGTTTGGGGGTGGCTCAGTTAGGAAAACTAAGAGAAAGCACTGGAAAGACAGGCCAGGGCTTGAGGGAAACTTTGTATAGGAAGTGGGCACCTTGAGATGATTCTGAGGAAGGAACATTAAGCTGATGGCTGTACATTGAATGAGTAGAAAGAGGAGAAGGCACTGGAGGATCTGCAAAGTCTACCCTGTATCCCAGCCAAGATAACTAGGTTTGTCTGACCCTGCCTCTGCCTCTGCCGCATCGTAACTCTCAGTTGCTCAGCCTTGTTCTCCTCCATTCCTGCTTCTCTTTTCAATTTGTGTTCAGACTCTTAAGTCTCTCATCTGTTTTTCTCTTCCCTGTTCCCATTGGCCATTGCCCATGTTTGCATTTTTTTTTTTTTTTTTTTTTTTTTTTTTTTGGGTTGTAGTTCCTCCAGACCATCATTCACTGTTATTAAAAGCATTGATGAAGCATGTATAGTCATATCATTGTGCTGCTTGGAAATGTTAGTGGTAGGAACAATAAAAGAACACCAGAGAGACACACTGACAAAACCATAGAAACTCTGGTATTTTGAGGTAAAAGACGTTAAGAAAATAAGTAAGGGCTGGTGAGACAGCCCAGTGGGTAGAGGCACTTACTGCCAAGCCTGATGACCTGAGTACAATCCCTGGTGACAGACATGGTGGCAGGGGAGAGAACTAACTCTCTGGCTGTCCCCTGACCTCCTCATGAGCACTGTGGCACATATGTGCCATCCCCAGTAAAATACCTCCCCCAACATGAAAACCAGAATTTGAAAGTCAGAAATTAGATGTCAGGGCATCACTTCCCAGCTTGCGGTAGTTCACCTAATCAACCTCAGCCCTTGTCATTTTCTCCTTCCAGCTCTGTAACGCTATGGTCTTCTCCCATCATAGCATCTTCCATGTGCATTTATGATCAGAGAATCCCTTATTGTAAACTCTCTGCCACTTTAAAAAAGCCTTCCTCCTGTTACAATTCTAACATGTCCTTAGAATAGCATTTAGCATATTGAGCTTTTGCACAGCATAGCTGTTCAGTCTGTGTCTGCTGGAGTATGGCTGGAGCTGTGTAGTAGGCGGAAGGAAGGAGAGAAAGGTTACAGAAATGTTTGGAGATTTACTTGGATTCCAATTTAATAAAGGACTTGTTGATTCCTCATGGCTATGTTGGTGATAAACCTGTCTACAAATCTTGGGAATGAGAAGGAGGTGGCTCAGTTTTGAAGACAGGAAAAGCTAAATTTTAGTAATGGGTAGTTGGAGGTGTTGCTGAGATCTTCAGGAATCGTTAAAACGCACCAAGGGTAGAAGATGCTGCAGAGCCCGCGTCATATCTCTTGTCCAGAAGACAGGTACGTGGATACCAAGCCTAGCACATTCATTTGTGTCTCCTGAATTGCTGTCTTTATCTCTTGTTTGCAGCTTGGCTTGTGGAGATGTTGACGGAAAGTTTGATGTCTTGTTCAACAGAGTTCGAACAATTCAGAAGAAAAGTGGGAACTTTGATGTAAGATGACCATTTTTACTGATAATTTACTTCTATCGTCAAATGTTAAAGTGTGGGATCCTTTGTTAATGTACGACGGACCCTCCATTTTGTTGTTAGGTTGAATATTTTTTAAATATGAAATCTCTGAACCGATAGAGGGGAGAGCTTTTTACTGTCCACTTCTTTACACTGTATGAATTTCAGTCTTTCTTTCTGTATCAAAACCCAAATCAAACCAAACGAACTGAACACAGCTGGGCAGTTGTGACACCTAGGTTTGGTAAGCACAGATCTACTTCCTGAGTGTGTGCTAGGAATTAAATCAGGTAACGTGCAAATGCTTCACAAAAGAAAGAGCTGGAAATGAGTGTTGTATATGGTTGCCAAGTGGATTAAGTCCATAGAATACAGAAGAGTATGGTGGATTCGGGGAGAATTTGTTCATTGTGTTAAAGGTTAGTAAAAATAGTGGGTAGCAAATGTGGTGTTCTCATGCTCCATATCTCTGAAGTCTAATATCTAAGTTTTGTATTTCACAGCAGGATTCTTTAAGTGTCTGTTTCAACACCACTGTGTATTCCAAGGAAAGGAAGGAGAAGGATAAAGAGGCCCTGGAAGTCTTTGGAAAGCACTTAAATTCTGCCTTCCCGAAGTTCACACCCTCCCCTCTCTCCCCACCCCAACTGAGATTTGATTGTCAGTGCATCAGAGTTTAATAGTTCGATGAATTGTCAGTTAATTAACTTTTCATAAAGATACTTTGAAATTCTACAAGTTAACAAAGAATAAGTGCTTGGTTTGAGACGACTAAATAGAGTAATTAACTGAATATGATAGTCCATAATGTAATATTTAATTGTTTGTTTGTTTGTTTTAATCTCATATATCTTTAAAAAACTCATTTTAGCTGCTGTTGTGTGTAGGAAATTTCTTTGGCTCTGCCCAAGATGCTGAGTGGGAGGAGTATAAGACTGGCAAAAAGCAAGGTACAGACACTATTATTTAATGTACTCTAACAAAATGTCAGGGGCTGTGTTTGTTGGGTTGCTTTTCACACATTAGTTGCTGAAGATTTCTCTCGTGCATTGGTGAGCATGGATGCTCTCTGAGAGTTTCTCTCTTGCCCCTGTTGGTATTTGCCTGTGGTGCTAACACTTTAAAGACCAAGGTGGGAGTATCATAAATCCATAACTAGTCGTATTGGGCTACATGGCTAGACTGCCTAAGACAAAACAAGATAATGAAGAGTGGTATGTCCCTCTTGAGCTCTGCATTGAGCTGAAGACTGCCTATGGTGTAATCCATTTTTTTTTTTTTTTTTCACATTTTGAATTTCATTGAGTCTCATTCTAATCCAAAAGGACACTCATTTAAACAGGCAAGAATGGAGTAAGTGCAGCCAAGCATTGTTTGCAGGGTGCTTTAAAAAAATTACTTCATTTCCTTTATTTCCAGAGAGCCGATTTCCTAGCTTACTTAAAAAAAAAAAAAAAAAAAAAAAAAAAAAGACTATTTTTATGTGTATTGATGTTTTGTCTGTGTGTCTGTGTGAAGGTACGAGATCTTCTGGAACTAGAGTTACAGACAGTTGTAAGCTACCATATGGGTGCTGGGAATTGAACCCATGGCCTCTGGAAGGAGAGCAGATAATACTATTTTTGTTGTTGTTGTTTTGTTTTTTGTTTTTTGGGGACAGGTAGCATTGTAGACCAGGTTGCCCTCGAACTCAGAGATTTGCCTACCTCTGCCTCCCGAGTGCTGGGATTAAAGGCGTGTGCCACCGCTGCCTGGCACTGCTGAACCATCTCTACCAGTGCTTTTATTTTAGGCTCTGTTTTCTTATGTGTACATTGACCATCTACTTTAAGATGGTAATTCATTGGCCTCAATATCATTTAGTACAAGCCACAGGGTTGGATTAAGAATCCTTAGTATTGAGCATGTTCTACATTTAGGATGGCTGTGGAAGGAACTCACAGGCTCTTTACTCTTGCTCTGACTATTTTACCTATGAGAAAATATTTCTGGAATTTCAGAGCAGATCCAGTAACCATATGGTGTTATGTCTCTTCCCTCATTAGCTCCTATTCAGACATATGTGCTTGGTGCCAACAACCCGGAAACAGTAAAGTATTTCCAGGATGCTGATGGGTGTGAATTAGCTGAAAACATAACTTACCTGGGTGAGTTAATATTTGCTGTTTGTAATGAATTTAGTAAAAGATTCCCAGGGATCAGTCTCTTAGGAGGATTGTGTGTTCTGCCATTGCTGCTTGAGCAAGTAAGGATTTTGGTTTTTCCCTCTGGAGAAGTTTTCCCCTCAAGGTCTGCATCTCTACCCTTTGGACAGTGGTCCTTCTTCAGTGTTTCTCTCTTCCCCCAGTCTCCTTGCGTTCCTACAGCTCTGTACGCACTTTTCAGCCAGCTAGAGTGACCAGTGCCTTGCCCACAATGTATGGAGAACTTAACGTATTCATTACGTTCAAATGAAAGAAATTCCGTCCTTATTGTAGGTCTTGCTGTATACATATACCTTTCTTGCTAATTTGGCCAACCAGCTTTATTGTAGGCTTCAGTCTAAGACTTGGCAACTCAAATGTTTAGCGTTCATCTTTGGGCTTTTTCGTTGCTTTTGTCTTTTTTCCTATTTTAGGGCCGCTCTGATTCAGGGCTAAAACTTTTCATAGTCCCTTGAATTTCTTCAGTGTCATAATAAAAGCAATTGCCAAGTTTTGCTGTTAGTTTACTGTCCCAGATCATTCAGATCCTTATATTCTTTTTTGTTTTGTTTTGAAACAGGGTTTCTCTGTAGCTTTGGAATCTGTCCTGGAAGTCATAGACCAGGCTGACCTCAAACTCATAGAGATCCACCGGCCTCTGCCTCCCGAGTGCTGGGGTTAAAGGTGTGCGCCACCAACGCCGGTACAAATTGTTATAGTCTAAGATGGTTGCTTCACACTTCTTTGTGGTCTCATATCTCGTGAAAGCTTCTGTATTTCCTTTGTTAGAAGTGCCCTGCTTCTCCCCTGCCACCATACTTTGCCATTGCCTTTAGTCCTCTGTGCAGTGTGGCCCTCACAGAAGCAATTTCAGCCTTCTCCAATCATACGAAACTTCTTTAGGCAAATTGTTGAGGAAAACATTTTTTATCTGATTTAAAATTTATTATTATATTATTACGTGTTACTAGTGATTAAACCCAGAGTCTCACACATTTGCTAAGTGTATGATCTGCCATTGAACTATCTCTATAGTCCCTGTGTTTATTGTTTTAAAATTTTTCATCTTTATTAGTTGGTAAGAGGTTGTCATCGGAGTCAGGGAAACAGGTGCTTGAGGACAGTTCAGTGAGCTGGCACCAGCTTGGTAGAATCTGAGAGAAGGGTACGAGGCCTCTGGCAATTTCAGTCAGTGACCAGCGGCCACCACAGAATAGCTGTTCATACTTAAGGGACAGGAATAATGTCAAAACCAGGCAGTCTGGATCCACGGCAGCCAGGAGGGGCTGTCGGAGTTACAGCCCTTCAGGTGTGTAGAAAGGCAGAGAGCCAGGAGGTATGGGCAAGCAATGTAAGTGGCACATTTCCTTGTACAGTTTTGACTAAAGCTCATTCCTTCTCTGAACCCAGGTCGAAAAGGTGTCTTCACTGGAAGCTCGGGGCTGCAGATTGCCTATCTCAGTGGGACAGAGTCCTTGGATGAACCAGCCCCGAGTTACAGTTTTAGTTCCAAGGATGTGTCTTCCCTGAGAACAATGCTGTGTTCGGCATCCCAGTTTAAGGGTGTTGACATCTTGCTCACGTCCCCGTGGCCCAAGTATGTGGGGAGCTTTGGGAATTCCTCTGTGAGTAGTGCTTGTTCAGTTGAAAATTTTAAAGCAGATTATACTGGTTTAAGTTGGGCTTTTAACATTTTTCTCTTTATTTTGAATGTTTTAACTCTTAGTACCTTTTACTAGAAATGTTTTGTGAAAACTTTCAAGATGTGAAAGCTACATCTACTGACAAAAACAGAAGTTGATCTCATAAAAATATAACTTTAAAATGATATTGTTGAATCTTAATTATAAATGAATGGTTCCTGAAATTATTCCTCTATAAGTATCGTCCCTTTCCCTATTTCTTTGTATATTTTGCAAGTTTATTAATTCTCAGTGAAAAGATTTACAGCTATTGGCATCTCTCCTGTTGCATTCATTTTCCCCTTTCTCCATTCCAGAGTATTGTTTTTTTGGCCATCAAAATGCATCTTAAAATTGGGCCATTGTAAGACTGAGCCTAGTAATGTAAATATTTACAGATGGGAACAGGCTGCTAAATATTAAGTCTCTGTTTGCAACACTAACATGGATGCCCTAGAACCCATCTAACCATTATAAATAGTCTTGAGGAGGGGCTGCTACAAGTAAACTATGACAGATAGACATGGCCTAAGGGAGACCCTGGAAAGATTATTTAAGGGCAGAAGCCTCAGTTGAGCCTCAGTGAGGGGAAAGATAAGACTGAATTGGAGAATAAACCTCTCCCAATAGAACTGTGAAAGATGTTCCAGAGTGTGTCCTCTGTGTGTGTGTGTGTGTGTGTGTGTGTGTGTGTGTGTGTGTGTCTCCGTGTCCTTGCTGACTCAGCACTAAGTGTCATGACCACAAAAGTCAGCAAGATGTCAGTCACACTCAGGAGGATGCCAAAAGGAAGAGCAACTGATGTCTCCATCTGCCGACCCATGGTCACTCCACTTCTAGAAAGGAAGCCCCTTATTCTGGAGAGAGCTAAAAGTTACCATGGGGCTGTAGGGGTGGAAACTTGAGTCAGAGTTTATAAATAACCATAAAAGGTTTTGTTTGTTTGGTAGGTTGGTTAGTTTTTCAAGACAGGGTTTCTCTGTGTAACTAATAGCTATGGCTGTCCTGGAACTCACTCCAGGTTGGCCTTGAACTCTCAGAGATCTGCCTGCCTCTGCCTCCTTAGTGCTGGGGTTAAAGTTTTTTTAACAAAAGCATGGTTATACACTTCCTTGACTCAAACAAAAGAAAGGCTTATATGCCTATGAGGCCCTTGAATGTTTGCTGGACGCTGGGAGCTCTGAATGCTAGTATTTAAGTTCATTTTCTACACTGACCATGATATATAGGTACACTGTGAAGCATATTTATGGGGACGCAATTTATAAGTTGTAGGGAGAGACCTGTCTTCAAAAGAGCTCTTAATGTGTGTTTTAGAGGTCATTATAGGAGGGGTTGTCTCATCTCGTACCTGCTGGTTTCCGACAATTGTGCTGTTTCTGTAATTGTAATATTCCAGTGTTTTTATGTGTTTGTTTGTCCTAGGTATGCAGTTCACTACAAATCCAGTTTGAAAGATATTTCAAAAAGGCTTTCTTGTTTCTTTGCATTTGTTCATAATTCCTGAGTCTGTGTGGATAACCAAGTTCCCATTTACTAGGGAGAAGTGGATACCAAAAATTGTGGTTCAGCTTTGGTCTCCAGTCTTGCCTCAAGCTTGAAACCAAGGTATCATTTTGCTGCTTTGGAAAAGTCCTATTACGAGAGACTTCCGTACCGGTGAGTAACATCTCAGGACTCTTCTCTACACATTTTCCATCTTCTTACTCACTTTCAGCCATTTATCTTGTTTCCTTCTAATGCTAAGGCACCAAAACAAGTGATTGACTGTTTTAGCTTCGTTTTTGTTGCTGTGGTAACTAACATATCAAGGCCAAAAGCAATTTCAAGTTAGAAAAGAAGCTTATAATTCCAGGAGAATTCATCATGGGGGGGGGGGCATAGCATGGTAACAGGAGCAGGAAGCTGGCTGATCACATGTGATCTATACATAGGAAGCAGAGAAAGAAAGAAGTGAGCCAAGACTATAAACCTTTAAAGCCCATGACATACTTCCTCCAACAAGGCTCTACCTCCCCAGGTTCCCCCAAAATTACCATCAAAAAAGCACTGAGCCTCTGGAGGACACTTCCCACTGAGACACCAGACTCATGAGTCAATGATTTTATCTGCACTTATGTCCTAACTTGAAATAGAATCAGTTGACTGACTATAAGAATCCTTAAAATTTTAGGGTCTACCATTACAATGCTGGGTGGTCATTGTAGATCATTAGGTTCTGTTTTGTTGTTCATGTGATGCACAGTTAGGTAGTCCACTATTCCAAGTGCAGAGTGTAGCCGTAACCATGGATGTACTCATTGTTTGAGTGGAAACTGAGTGGCACATCAGGGTCGTATGGTGGCTCTGATAGACTTGGTGTGAGAGAGGCCCCTAGTGCTGTACCAGCAGCATGTAAGGATTCCACTGTCCCACCCTCGCCACCATCTTTAGTCCCGATTAGGACCATGTGAAAGAACTATTTGAGAGAAGAAAGAGAAGCAGGGCAGGTGGCAAGGGTAGGGTCATGAGTTAAAGTATGAAAGTGCCATGGTGAGACCCATTGTTCTGTAAAATGCAATAAAGTGACTGAGATCTGTTATCTTTCACATATATTTTAGAAACCATGTTGTTCTACAAGAAAGTGCACAGCATGCCACCCGCTTTATAGCACTGGCGAATGTTGGGAATGCAGAAAAGAAAAAGGTAAAGATTTGAGTGTTTATTACTCTTTATTGTCTGCTTGGCATTTAGACCTTCTGGTCTCCAACTGGAAGTTTCCAGCAGCTTCAGGGACTCCTCTGTAAAGACAGGTTTCCTCGAGTGCTTTTGGTGGAGGCCTTAGAGAACGGTTCAGTGGGATGTGACAAAGGAAATGGTGTCCTTCCGCCCGCATCACGTGGTTGCCACTGGTGTTATATGGGTTTGCCCTCAGGTGGAATGCTTGCTTGCTTCCAGCAGCTTCATTGAGCTGAAATAATAAAATCCTCTCAGGAATATTCTTAAAGTCTGGTGCATTGACACACGCCTTAAATCCTGGCACTCGGCAGGCAATGCCATACAGAGCAATGTGAGTTTGAGGCCAGCCTGGTCTGTGTAGTGAGTTCTAGGCCAACCAAGGTTACATAATAAGACTCTGTCTCAAAAACAACAGCAGCAGCAATAAACATAATGAAACATGTATGTATGTATATTAAACCTTCCTTAGCTTTAGTATTAGTATTAGTTATACTAGAATCTAGAAAATAGTACAGATGATGAAAGAAAATAAATCAGCAAAGTGGGTTGTATGTTTCACTTCTCTGGGAATGTTTTTTGTTAGTGCTAAAATCTAGACTGTTGGCAGGGACAGCTAATATCAAAATAAGCGCTTCAGTGAGAAAATAGAATAACCTTCCTCTCTAAGCTGATTGTTTTCTATAGCATGTTATTGCCAGTGTTTAAAAGATAAGTGCCCTTGTACGCACTTTCTGTGTTTTAAGCTTTGAAGCCCACTGGCATGTTTGAAGTTGACTGTTTAGGCTGAGCAGTGCTCTGTGATTTCCGGCTCTTACCCAGTCTCAGAGATGTGAGTGCAGCTCATGTCTTAGTCAAAAAAAGCACGTGGGCAGTTTTAATTTGACAAGCACCATTCATCTAAAAATTTTGTTCCAATGTATAACCTTTAAAAACAAAGAAAAAAAGATTTATTTATTATGTACACATGCCTGCATATACGCCAGAAGTGGGCACCGAATCTCAGTACAGATGGTTGTGGTTTACCGTGTGGGTTCTGGGAATTGAACTCAGGACCTCTGGAAGAGCAGCCAGTGCTCTTAAACTCTGAGCCATCTCTCTAGCCCCTCCCATGTATATCCTTAACAGCTGTGTATGTTTCTTTTCTGCTTTTCTGTACTTTGGATAGTATCGGTTTTTCCTAGTACAGTTAAATGGAAAATAGTGTATCCTTTTAGCTTCAGGTTTCATTTCTATATTGTGTTGAGGTAGAGATATATTTATGCCTAAAGTTTCCTATCTTGTGCCGTTAGCCCACGAATGAATTGTTTTCTTGTTTGCGCCTAGTGTCCAGGGAAATGAGTCAGCACGTGTGGGGACTGTGTAGTGTCAGTGAGGGAAAGCCCACCTTGTCTGGTCGCAGTGTTCCTTGAGAAGAGGGAAAGGAATGCCATGACTCTGCTGACAAAGGTCGCATAACGACAGATGCAGTGACAGCAGCAGAGTTTGTCTTCAAGGCTTACAAAGCTAGTCCCCCGGAGCCTAGGAGTGAGGGTTGTCACTGTTCCCTGGTCACCCAAGTGAGGGACCAGTCTGTCTAAGGGCCGGGGCTTTGCCTTGGTGCTCACTGCTGTGTGGGCCCTCATGAGCCATTGCAGAGGCCACCACAATAGCATTTGCTCCACTACTGTGCATTCTCAGATTTTACTTACGTCAGACACTTTCTGTGAAATTGTCACCCTAACCTGGGTTGGTCCCACTGCGACAACAGTATTTTCCCTAACGTTACGCATGCTCTTCTGCTCTGCAGTATCTTTATGCATTCAGTATTGTCCCCATGAAGCTAATGGCGGTAGCAGAGCTGGTGAAACAGCCTCCGGATGTCACTGAGAACCCTTACCGAGAGTCTGGGAAGGACGCAGCTGTAGGAAAACGTGTTCCTGTCTCTCAGGTGAATTCTGATTGTGGACTGGGATTCAGGGCCAGGTTGTCCTCTGTAGGGATGCTTTTCCTGGTCATAGTTTCATACATCAAACAAGTTCAGTTTTAGACTCAAATGTTTTTCCTCTTGGCAAATCATGGTAATGTTTAGAAGAAGATCCTAATAGATTGTAATTGAACTCAATTTTTTAATTTTATTTTGAGGTTAGCAGTTCAATGTTGAGTCTTTGCCTAAGTCAATTCATACTGTTTTTCCTTGTGTGAAGTGAATTATTTCCAGTTTTTTAGGCAAGGGTCAATTAGTAGCAGAGATTTGTGATTTCTAGTAGAGAAATTTACTTTGAAGAAGTTTCTTAGTAGCAGACCTTTAGAAGTTAACTTTTCTCCACTAAAGCAAGGGCAGTCATGCTTTAATGTTAGGGCCGTGGTCTGCTTTCTTAGACCTTTCTGTCCACTTAGAAGCAGTCTTCTGCCTCCTCTTTTTACCGTTGCCCCTAAAGGCTCTTTGACCCTCTCGTCTCTTGAGTTGAAGTTGGACCAGACTTGTTTCATCTCTGAAATGTTAGGGCTACTCCATGTCATTATTGAGACAGAGGAGAATATGTAACCGCGCTCATGCTGCTCTGCTTCAGGGAAGAATCGCTCTATAGGTTCTCATCTTTCAGAAGAGGTGAATGTGGCAGTGGTTGGGTAGGTATGCTGATGTACAGGACTGGGAGTCCAGGCGTCAGGGTTGAGAAGATACTTCTCCTCCCTAGAATTGGCAGGGCAGGGCTGAGAGGACACGTAGATGTGAGTGACAGGAACGTTCCCTTTTGCTTGGTGTTCAGTCACTGTGTAAAGGAGCTGAATAGCATATTCCTCCCCACTGGCCATTCCAGGAAGAACCAGCCTGTCAATTCTTCTTCGATTTGAATGAAAAGCAGGGAAGGAAACGGTCATCCACAGGCAGGGATAACAAGCCTCCTCAGGCCAAGCAGCCACGCAAGCCTCGTAAGTACCTTGGTCACCTTTGGGAGCGGTAACTTTGGGTGGGTGGGGGGCATTGTTTGGAAAACAGCATTGCTAAGAGCGTCTGCCAGCAAAGAAAAATTTTATGGTGCTATTAGGAGCAAAGTGAAAATAGAATATGAAAATGGTCTGACTTTCAGGCTGTTTGAGACTCTTCCTATAAGAATATAGAGCAAGCTCCTTTTGTCTCTGTAAAACATGGTAAGAGTGTATAAAACTGATGTGAGTTATAAAATAATAGAATAATCAGCTGAGAGGAAGGACTTTCAGGCCAGCTTTCCTTGAGATCCTCCTTTCTCCACCCTGCTGTTTTAAAGCGGTGAATCTGCCCTCAGGAAGGTAAAGCCATGGTTGTGTGACCAGCTGATGTCACAGCTGGAACTGGAACTGGGGTGCCCGACAAGCCCCACCCAGACCAGTGCTCTCATTGCAGCCCATTGCCAGGCGCATGCTGCTTTTGTCAATATGTCATCTATTTGTGGACTGATTGTCAATTCAGATGGATTCAATAGTGGTTTAGCTTCATTGAAAGTGGTGCCAGGCATTGGGCATTCGGAGTTAGAAACGCAGGTCCATTCCCCTTTGCAGTCTTTGCAGTATGTGTAGATCAGGCAACAATGAATTTTCCACTTCAGGTTTGTAATTATTGTTATTGTTGCTGTGTATGAGTGTGCATGCATGTCTGCTGTGGCGTGTTTGTGAGAGTCAGGGGATAGCTCTCTGGGTGAGTTTTCTCCTTCCACTGAGGGTTTGGGTATGGAACTCAAGTTGTCAGACTTGTGTGGCGGCACTTTTACTTGCTAAGCCGTCTCGCCAGCTACAAGGATGAATTCTGTAGGGTGATTATGTCTGTTTCTTTCATATGAAGCTCAACCTCCAGGACCTTGTTGGTTTTGCCTTGCCAGCCCTGAAGTGGAAAAGCATTTGGTGGTCAACATTGGCACACATGTAAGTTACTTCCATAGATAGGTAGCAGAGAAGAAAACGCCTATGACTTGGTTTTTACTAACTGCATAGTATATGATCTGCTTATGGAACTTACTCTTTTCTCTCCCTATCCCTCTCCTCTCCTTCCCTCCCTCCTTCCTTTCTTTTTCCTTCCCTCCCCTCCCTTCCCCTTATCCCCTTTTCTTCCTTCCCTCCCCCAGGGTCTCTCTACATATCTCTGGCTGTTCTGGAATTCACTGTATAGAATAGGCTGGCCTCAAACTCACAGAGATCTTTCTGCCTCTGTCTCCCGAATTAAAGGTGTGCACCACCACTGCCTGGCCTCTAAGACTGACTAGTGTAGCTAGCTCTGCACTCTGATCCTCAGCAAGCTTTATTTATTAGATCATAAACAAATTCCCACCACATTTACCCATTCTAAGCGTACAGTTGCTTGATATTTTAGTAACCTTATTAAATTATGTAACCATCACATAATAGAGGTTTAGACGACAGGTGTGATGGTGCACACCTTTAATTTCAGCACTCAGGAGGCAAAGGTAGGTAGATCTCTTGAATTCAAGGCCAATCAGCTCTAGTTCATAGCAAGTTCCAGGACAGCCAGGGCCACACAGAGACCCCGTCTCAAAGAAAAAAAAAAAAAAAAAAAATATATATATATATATATATATATATAAAATAAAGGGTTAGAACATTTCTATCAGTTCAGTAAAATTTCTTAGACACATTTACAGTGATCTCAGTTTCCATCCCCAGCCTTGGCCACCACTTACATACTTTGTGTATTTTTAGGTTTGTGGAGTTTAGACAGTTCATTTAACTGAAATCATAAAATACATGTATTTTTGTGTCTGGCTTTTTTGACTAGCATATTCTTAAGGTTCATTCATATTGTAGTTCATATATAAATGTTTCATTCCTTTTTATTGACAATTAGTGTTATACAGTCAAACTATTTTTTGTCTATTCACTTATCACTAGTCAGGGTTGTCTAGAGTAACAGGACGTATAGAATAGATTGTAAGGAATAAGGTTTTTCCGCCCGCCGCTGGTCTTGTCCTGTCGTCACCGCCGCGCCTGCCCCAATTAACACACTGAGACTCTGTATTGATATAATGCTGTTGGCCAGGTACTTGTTTCTTATCGGCTAGATCTGTCTTAAATATTAACCCATTTCTGTTAATCTAATATTTCCATGTGCTCTTACCGGAGAGCCGGCTTATGTCCTGTTCTCTCCAGACTCTCCATGTTGACTCCTCCTTACTACTTCCTCTTTCCTCCTTGTCTCCTAGGCCCTCCTGTTTTCCTTTCCTATTGGCCAACAGGGCTTCATTCATTAACGAGTATGAGAAACATATACAGAATGACATCTCCCATCAATGGATCTGTCTGTTTATCTGTATATTTATATACGTGTGTGTGTGTGTGTGTGTGTGTGTGTGTGTGTGTGTGTGTGTGTGTGTGGTATTTATTAGACTGACTTACAGGCTGTTGTCCCGCTAATCTAACAATGGCTGACTGTGAATGGAAAGTCCATTAAATGCTCAGTACATAAGGCTGGATGTCACAACTGATCGTCAATGTACACTAGAACCCTGAAGCAGTAGGCTCTAATGCCGGTAAAGGCATTCCTTGCCAGCAAGAGGAGAGCAAGGTGACAAAAAGTAAAAGCTTCCTTCTTCCATGTCCTTATGTAGGCTTCCAGCAGATGGTGTGACCCAGATTAGAGATGGCTTTTCTGAGCTCCAAAGATCTGGATTGAAGATCTAGATTATAAGTGTGTCTTCTCAGCTGAAAGATCCGTATTAGAAGTAGATCTTCCCACTTAAAATTAAGCAATGTCCCTCACTGGTGTGCCCTCCATTTTTTGGTTTTAGTTAATTTCAGATGTAGTGAAGTTGACAATCAAGCCATCACGGGTATGTAGCTTTGTAACCATATACCATGCCTGATGTTTTTAGGATAATGATTATAGTCACATGATTGGAGCAAATGAATCAGTCTATGGAGCTAATGACCCTGAGTGTGGTAACTGGGCTAGACAAATCCCTATTGAACATCACGTGTCTTAGGGAAGTCATCAGTGTCACATTGCTCAGCTACTTTTCCTTGGGGGGGGGGGCTCAATTAGACATTAAATATTCAGGTTCCTTAACGATAATTGTCTTTTTCTTTTACGTTCTGTGAAGCCCGCTTCATCACCAGCGTTACAGTTACCCTCTAGCCCCCATGACTAGAAGTGGATGTTCTCTGGGGCTTGCCTAACGTGTAGTGCTTCTGGTTTTCATTGATTTCTTCCAGTTTGGGCTTCTAAAGGTGACATTCCTCAGTTCATCCTGACAATTTTTGTGGCCTCCTATAGAACAGCTAGAGTGTCACGTTGATTGTTTACTTCTTTTCATACGGAGGAGGCCCAGAATTTTCTATTTGTGTTTTGTACCTTAATGGCTGGCACACAGTCTAGGGAGGTGCTCTGGGGTCAAGGTCTGTGACACACACTGTTGGCCCCTGGGCCTGTGGATGAGTGCTGAGAACACGCTTGAGAGGCTTTGATTTTTAGGTGTGCTCTTTCAGATCAGCTTTGGGCCTTCTCATCTTTGGATTACTTTATGCCATTCTTCTTTCTCACACAGCCTGTGGTGAGGCAGACTTTCAACTGCCTTTTGTTTGGGAAGCCTAAAGAGCCCCCAGTAGCAGATGAGGGTTGGGGTGGGTAGCTTGGCCTTATGTTCTTCCAGACCTTGGGGAGAAATGTCCTTTCTTTTCTTATTCAGTTTATTCCCCAGAAAATTGGCCTGGGAATGATGAAGGAAACCTTTTCCTCTGTCTGAAGTCAGCAAAAGGCATCTTCAGTAGTGCTTTTGACCGAGCCCCAAGTAGAAGGCCACAAGAGCATTTTATCCTAGATTAATACCTGCCTAGTAGTCAAACCTACATTGCCCTGCACTGTCCTTTTTCCGGACATCTGAGACTCTAGCAAAGGGTTTGCAATCTCCCTGCAGCCATTCTTCTTTAATTATATGTTCCTCTTGGCTCTCTCTACTTGGCTGTGATTTCCTTCCTTCAGGGATGTACATAAAGTATGCTGATGGTGTGGCCACAGGCAGGGAAAAGGGGAGTCTGCTGAGTTTGGAACAACTTTTGCAAATCCATGTATTCTACAGGAGGAACATTCATTTATACATTTATACATATAACATATATTTATACATTGGTAGAGATCACTCAAGTATAGAACAGTTAAGAGAGAGCTCCAAAGCACGGGGAAATGGTTCACAAGAACTTGAGATACTAATTATAGGTGTGTGTAGCTATTTAGTCTAGACTTTAAATACATCACAACGTAAAAGCTGATTTCCCTGGTAGTGATCTGTGACATAAAGAAAAGGCTAGAAAACAAAGGCTTCTAGGGCAACCTTTTTAAACAAAAGCAATACAAAGTGGGTATTAGTAAAAACTTTTAATGCCTCTGAGGATTTAGGGAGGGTGGTGTTTTGGTTATTGGAAATGAGACCCTTCTATTACTTAGGCTGGCCTTAAGTTTGAGATCCTCCAGTTTTAGCCTCCTGAGTAGGTAGAACTCGGTAGAACTGAACTCAGTGTGTATCACCATGCCCTGCTCCTTGAGGTTTTAGTGAACTTAAGTCATATGGGAAATCAGCTGTGGGTGTGTGTAGTTCTGTTGAATAAATGAAGATGAGCAAGCTTTGGTTTATGTATAGTCTATTTTTAAGGACCTATGTATTTGCATGCGTTGATAATCCTTGGTCCTTTGCTTGCTCATTCACAGTATCTTCTGTTCAGACGCTAGCTGTTAGACCAGTACAGCATTCTTGATGATTTTGGTTTTGTTTTATTGTTATTGGGGTTTTTTTTTTTTTTTGGCCTGGATTCAGGCTGGACTTTAATCTTCTACTTTTTTTTTTTTTTTTTTTTTTTGTTTGTTTGTTTGTTTGTTTTTTGAGACTGGGTTTCTCTGTGTAGTCCTGGCTGTTTTGAAACTAGATAAGTAGACTAGGCTAGCCTCGAACTCAGAGATCCACTTGCTTCTGCCTTCTGACTGCTGTGATTGGAGGCATGAGCTAACTCATTGATTTACAATTTTATTTTATTTATTTTTACTTTAAACACTACAGTTTAGTGTTTGGTAATATCTATCTATCTATCTATCTATCTATCTATCTATCTATCTATCTATCTGTTTTATTCATTTACAACCTGAAAAGTACCACCCATGAGCAGCCAGTGCTTTTAACTACTGAACCACGTCTCCAGCTCCTGTTCCACCTTTAAAATCAAATCTTTTAAAATGTAATTTTTGTTAAGAACATCTTGGATTGGGTGTAGTGGTACAGGGCTATAGTACCAGTACTTGGGATGCTGAGTCAGGAGGATTGTGAGTTTGAGGCTGCCTTGGATAATATAGCAATTCCCTGTCATCCTCTGTGGTTGGGGGAGAGGAATGCATCTTGTGCATTTGTTCATGTGAGTCAGGCTCACTGTGGATGTGTGGGTCTCTCTGGAAGATTGAGTATATATGTCGGCTTGCTATCTTGCTCTGTGTTCTTTAGTGCTACCTTGCCCTGGCTAAGGGAGGCTTATCTGATGACCATATCCTCATCCTGCCTATTGGACACTACCAGTCGGTTGTGGAGCTTTCGGCAGAGGTGGTAGAAGAAGTGGAGAAGTACAAGGCCACTCTGAAACGCTTCTTTAAGAGTCGGGGAAAGCGCTGTGTTCTGTTTGAAAGAAATTATAGAAGCCATCACCTCCAGCTTCAGGTAGGTGCTTTCTGCCCAGGAACTTGGAAATCACTACGGGGACCTTGAGATTGATACATATTTAAATAATTATGACCTCAGTATTGAATTTAATACTTAGAGCATTTAATCTTATTTTCATGATAATATTCCAGTAGTGGTTATTTACAGAGCAAGGAGTAGCTGCTGATAATCCCAGAGATTTCATAGGGAAGTTCATACTGGGGGTAAGTGACTAGCAGGATGGTGTAAGAGTGGGTAGTTAAGGATGGTTCCAAGGCAGATAAAGACATAGGCTGTGGAGGTCTAGCATGATTGAAGGCTTAGAGGTAGGGAGCAGTTTCCAGCTAGCATAGGCTGTTAGTTTGGCAGTTGAGTGCTTTGAGTCTTTGGTGGTAGCGTCTTTTTGGCACATTTGTTAAGTGTTCAGATGGGCCTGACTCTGCCACATACATTATGCAGGAGCCATCAAAGTCTTAGAGACAAAGAGTTTCTCTTGGGAGTTTCCTGATGACAGATTGGCTCCCATAAGTGACTGGTTCTCATAAGTTTAAGTCCTACAGCCAGGCCGATGGAGGCTGTTTGGCCTGAGGAGAATCTATGCTGAGGGGTGTTCTCCACCCCAGTGATGGATTTGCTACTCCTCTAAGACTTTAAAGACAGCTTCTTTGGAATCAGACAAAGAGTTTCTTATGTTCCTCCCACACCAACCCAGGTCATTCCTGTGCCCCTCAGCTGCTGTGTTACGGATGATATTAAAGAAGCCTTCATTACCCAGGCACAGGAGCAACAGATAGAGCTGTTGGAAATTCCAGAGCACTCAGACATCAAGCAGGTAAAGCAGGAAGGGGTAGTGATGTTCAGGGAGGGGTTAAGATCTGGGTTTTAACAAGGTGAATCAGAGGTACTGTCAAGCGATTCCAAAAATACTAAGTAGTGAGCCGTTTGGTACTAGAATACAGAATGTTGATAGGAATAGAGATGAAGACAGCATTGTAATTAAGTCGTAGTGGTTTCCTAGGAAGAATAAGGGATTAGACATTTCATAGATGGGAAGCTGGCTTAGTGTGGACTTGAGAGTTTGAGCTCCAACAGTTTTGTGAAGCCAAGTGCTGGGACAGGTGCCTACGATCCAAGCACTGAGAGGGTAGAGCCCAGAGGATCCCGATCTCTGGACAAATTGAAAGGCTGCAGGCTCAGTGAGAGGCCCAGTTTCCAAGTATAAGGTGGAGAGAACTGAAAGAGTCATCCAATGTCATCTGGCCTCCACAGGCACGTGGATTCACCTACGTGTGTAATCACATACATGGGAATAGGTACACACATATGTAAACACACAAGAATTAGATAAATAGAGAAATTAGACACACCCTAAAATGGGAATTTAGAAGGATGGGTACCACTGGGAATATATTAGTTTTTTAAACTCTAGCTCCTATACTGTCCCATATTTTTAATTTAAAATCTAGACCAAATTCTTTGCTAAATTAGAGTTTACAGGAGACAGTGAGCTTTTTGACTGTGATCTTTGTCCTCATTCAACTCTGTTTACTTCAGATTGCACAGCCGGGAACAGCCTATTTTTATGTTGAACTCGACACAGGAGAAAAACTTTTCCACAGAATTAAAAAGAATTTTCCTTTGCAGTTTGGAAGGTTTGTATGTTTTCACTCTATTTTAGACCTATAATAAACACATAATCCATGAAAAACCAACTAGGGAATGTTTTCTCCCCAGGAAGCCTATAGTTTTAGAGCAGGTCAGTGTTATCTACAGTCTTGTGATGTAGAATTTGAACAGTACTGAGGTGATATATGTTAGTAGTTTTTATTTTTGGATTAGACATAAAAGGGGAATTGTGGTGATATTTATGATTTATCAAAAAGCAAAGTCAGCCTCAGGCTATAGAAATCAGGCAGTGGTGACACACACCTTTAATTTCAGGATTCAGTAAACAAAGGCAGATGGGTCTGAGTTCAACACCACCCAGGGTTACACAAATTGAGTCAGTATAAAAGAGTAACAGTTCATGCCTTTAATCCCAGCACTAGAGAGATAGAAAAGATAGGAGCAGGGTCTTCAGGAGTCAGCCACGCTGAGGAGAGCGTAGCAGTCTGAGTGAATCTGAGGAGCAGTGAAGTCAGGAGCAGTTTGAGATCACCCCCTTGGTCCGAGCTGAGGTAGAGGTAGGAGCTAGTGGCTGGCTGCTTTGCTTTTCTGGTCTTCAGGCAATCTTTAATAAATCATAAATAATATATCGCCACTCAGTACCATGATTGAATCTTGAACATTATACTTTAGAAACTCAGAGAAGGAAGGGCTCATTTCTACTAAATGTAAGATTCCAAGAAAGGGCTGAAGGTGAATTTAAGAGACAGACCAAAGGGGGAGAGATGGGATGAGAGCGTTCCTGGTAAAATAACGTGCTGCCACTGAGCATGTGCTGGGTCAGGCACGTCGTCTCGTGTAACCTTCCAGTTCTGTTGTTTATACCCTGCTATCCCAGTTACCGGAGTGAAGGCCGCTCTCAGCAGTGCCCGGCAGAGCTCCATACAAACATACAAATGCTCTATAAGGCTGCACTGACACAATAATCACAAGTTAATGTGTAGCTGTTAGAGACTTGAAAATGGGGCTGAGGAGCCAGTGAGATGAGATGGCTCGCTGCCAAGTGTAGTGACTTAGTTCGATCTTTAGGACCTACATGGTAGGAGATGCCCATGTGTTCTCTGGCCACACAGGTGCCATGGCTTGCATGAATCCTCACACATCAATATGTGTGTAGTAAAAAAAAAAAAAAAAAAAAAAAAGAAAAAAATTGAAAATGGAACTTAAAAACTGATTTTTAATTTTAATTAATTAATTAGTGCTTAAATTTAAATAGCCACTTCTGGCTAGTGGCTGCTCTATTGGATATTGTGCCTTAAGGTGAATTAAGTAGCATGCTCATGGTCACACAGTTGAAGGGTCAAACATTAGTCTGGACCCCAGGGTGAGAAGTCTTTAACCTTGTTATTCTACATTGTTATAAAAACCTGTATGGAGGGAAGTAGAAAATGCACCCGGTGGGTGATTCCATGCTGATCTCTGATTGCAGCTATTCTCAGCCACTGGGCTCTGAATGAGCCTTCAGCCATTCCTAGACTAATTAGGAAAGTCTCCAAGAGATTGCCCCCTTGGATAAGTTCAGTAAATATGGTTTGATAAGAAAGCAAGTAGGTCAATTGCCTTAGCAAGAGATGTAGATCGGCACAGTGGGGATATAAGCATATGTTGCCCATAGGCACAACCATGTACAGTTCACAAAATGGTTTGTGATCATAGTGCTTGCCTATGTTTTCAACACTGAACATTTTCATAATCCTAATATACAAGTGATATGTGTTATACTTAAAGTGGTTATATCTTCATTCTACATGTGAAGAAACATGTTCAAGGTTTGTCAGGTAAACCAAAATTTTGAGTTTAGATCCTTTGACTTTCAGCAGACAGTGTGATTCATTTTCACCTTTTTATTTATTGTATCTTCAAAGTTGAAATGTGTCAAATGGAATTGTTTCTACTGTATTAAAATAAATTACAAGTAAAAATATAAACCATTGGGAATTATAAGCTGTATGTATATGTATCTGTATGAGTTGTTTCCTTCACATTGAACGCCTCTCCGTGTACTCATACAAGTGAGAGTTGCGTAGAAGGATAGGGCAAAGGAGTTTTAAGTGAGAGTGAGTATGATGTGACTGAACCATGCCCTCAGCAGACTCCCTGTTTAGTCCGGATGTCAAAGCTATAGTGTAAGACAAGATCAACAGCTGCTGGGAATGTGCTTTGGTTGTATGGCCTATATGGAAGGTGCTCTTTCTTGTAAGTGAGCCTGCAATCAAGAAGTGTCATAGACATCAAATATCAGGGCTTAGAATGAAATTCAGCCTCTGATTTTCCTGACACCAGGGCCTGTTGTTTAGTTTGCATGTGGTGTCCTTCTTGAGTACTAATATTGTGGTTCCAAGTTTTTCCAGGGAAGGAGAATAAATGGGGTGGGAGAGGTCACTTAGTGTGGCAGTGATTTCAATGGATAGGATGGGGAGATGGGAGTCAGGGTCAGAGACCAGTATGAGTGTTGAGAAGTCTGCATGCTCTTTAGGTGCTGCAGAGGAACAGGATGGTCAAGTTTCAGTTAATGACTGGCATTTTTCTCTTGTGATTACTCTCTTTGCAGGGAGGTACTGGCCAGTGAAGCTATTCTCAATATTCCTGACAAGGCTGACTGGAGGCAGTGTCAAATCAGTAAGGAAGAGGAGGAGACCCTGGCTCGACGCTTCCGGAAAGACTTTGAACCTTTTGACTTCACTCTGGATGACTAGACAAAGGGAAAGGCACTTTATGAACATCACAGGAAATTGTTACAGCTGTTCTTAAAATGAAACTGGAGTCTCCTGTTGGGGCTTCTTCCCTGCCTTCATATATTCCCATGGAAACTGCCTGCAGCAGGAGACCTAGCATTGACTTTTAATGTTTTTTTTTTTTTTTAAAGAAGTCAGTCTGAGATGCAATTGTGTATTAAAAGAGTGTCTGCTACATATTTCTAAGAACAGCAGTGTTTATCCACATCTTCCAAATTTAAACCTTTGAGGTTGGGTGTGGTTGCTCATGCGTATAATCTCAGAAGTTGAGGAGTTGTGACAGGAGAATTGCTGTGAATTCAAGGATGGTCTGATCTACAAATTGATTTTCAGGCTAGGCCATTCTGGGCTGTGTTATGAGACCTATCCCACCCTCACCCCATCCCACCATAAAACCAAAAATAACTGACCCCAAATCTTGTAAGTGATTAAAAGGGAATAATTTTATAAGTTGATAAATGTCTTATGTTGCTTATCATCACTGAAATGGAATTTGTGTGTGTGTGTGTGTGTGTGTGTGTGTGTGTAACAGAGATAAGAACTTTCTTTATATTCCTGATTAACACAGGCAATTCAGTCTGGGGAAGGGAAATGCATGGCCTTTGCTAATGTTTTCTCAGTATCATGTTCACATAAAAGAGTCCATTCCATCATTCAGATATTTAACTCTGATATGCTAGTGATCTTTCTAAGTTCTAAGAGTATATCCAGTGAGTGCCCTAACATGGTGTCTGTTGTTATAGTTTATAGTCTAATTGGGAAAGAAAGTGGCAGATTTAAGGAAATGAGTTTTTCATTGAATGTGTTGTTTTAGATACTGAAGTTCTCCAATAGATTGCCATTAGGTACTTCTGAAACCCATGCAGATCAGGATTGGTGATGGGGGCTTTGAATGCATTTTAGGTGTTTAAGATAACACAATTATCTATCTGATGGATGTGTCCAGAGCGCTGTTAAATAATTCTCAGACTCTTCAGATCTAGGTTGGTGATAGGACTTTAGGGATCACCAGGGTATAGACCATTGTGAAATTACAAAATAAAATAGGGCAATTACAGTAAGGAGCAACCTAAGGATGGCTATGACTTAAGGAAACAGTGATCCAGGGAACAGTAAGTCCATGGAGCAGGAGCCATGTGACCGCAGGAGAAACCTGTATTTCTGAAGCCAGAAGAGAACTGTTCTTCCCTCTTTATTGGATACTTCAGGCCCAGATACATTTTCACTTGGGTCACAAAAATCTCTTGACTTCCTTTTTGCATATAAAATTGGAACTCTGAAGAGTGCGGAGCCTGTGGTAACCCATTCTATAGATAAACATAACAAAAGGCCAGGCTTTTAGTCTTAGCATTCAGCAGGCAGATCCCTGAGTTTGAGGCCTGCCTACATAGTGAGTTCCAGGCCAGGACTATATAGACCCTTTCTCAAAAACAAACAGAAGTAAGTATGTCAACAAACCTTGATGTGTGTTTTAAGAATAGAGTATTTAAAAAGTGAATTAACTAGGAACCAATTTGGATCATCCAGTTAACATTATCCTGGGGCAAATTATGAAATTACATCCATCTGTGGAAACTGGACACACATCTAGCACTCCTACCTGTCATACACAGCCAATGAGGTTCTCAGAGGCTCATTTGCTATTACCTTCAAGTATGGTATTCCAATTCCAAGGAATACATGAAAGTAACAGAATCAGACCAGTAACACCCATTATCAGTGACCCCCAACATCGACTTGCACACAGACACTGAGAATTTGATTCCATGCCTAGTCTTACACTTTTGAGTTATTAGCATCCCTAGTGTCAGCCTGGGGGAGCGCTACAAGCCTGAATCAGATGGAGGAGGCGGGGGCGGGACTTTTCCTACGGAAGTTATCGGAAGTGACGCGTGGGTCTCGCGAGAGGAAGGACGCGCGAGCCTCGGCGGCCCGGAACCGGCCTTGGACCGGCGGCGAAGCTTGAGGCGGCTGGCCCTCCCGCCCCATGGAGCGGCCCCCGGGGCTGCGGCCGGGCGCGGGCGGCCCCTGGGAGATGCGGGAGCGGCTTGGCACCGGCGGCTTCGGCAACGTCTGTCTGTACCAGCACCGGGTGAGGCGGGGGCGGGAGAGCGGCGCCGGGGCTGTCTGGGCGGCCCGGGAACCGCGGCTGTCAGCCAGGGGGAGAGGTGGCCGTTGAGACCTTGGGCGGTGTGCGAGACCAGGGAGCGAGTGCGAGCCATGCTGTGCTCGTGAGCCTGCGTGGCCGGCTGCCAGGTGTGTGTGAGGTCCCCGCACAGAGACGGAGTGAGGGAGGGAGGGAGGGAGCGGGTGCAAGTGTGTGAGGTGACGGACGGAGTGTGTGTGACTGTCGAGTGTGTGTGTGTCACTGTGTGTGTGATGAGTATGTGGGACTGTCGAGTGTGTGTGTGTGTATGTGTGATGAGTATGTGTGCCTGCCGAGTGTCAGTGTGTGTGTGTGATGAGTATGTGTGACTGTCGAGTGTGTGTGTGTGTATGTGTGATGAGTATGTGTGACTGCCGAGTGTCAGTGTGTGTGTGTGATGAGTATGTGTGACTGTCGAGTGTCTGTGTGTGTGTGTATGTGTGATGAGTATGTGGGACTGTCGAGTGTGTGTGTCACTATGTGTGTGATGAGTATGTGTGATTGTCGAGTGTCAGTGTGTGTGTGATGAGTATGTGTGACTGCCGAGTGTGTGTGTGTGTGATGAGTATGTGTGATTGTCGAGTGTCAGTGTGTGTGTGTGATGAGTATGTGTGACTGCCGAGTGTCAGTGTGTCACTATGTGTGTGATGAGTATGCGTGACTGTCGAGTGTCTGTGTGTGTGTGATGAGTATGTGTGACTGTCGAGTGTCTGTGTGTGTGTGTGTGTGTGATGAGTATGTGTGACTGTCGAGTGTGTGTGTGTGATGAGTATGTGTGACTGTCGAGTGTCAGTGTGTGTGTGTGTGTGTGTGATGAGTATGTGTGACTGTCGAGTGTGTGTCACTATGTGTGTGATGAGTATGTGTGATTGTCGAGTGTCAGTGTGTGTGTGTGTGTGAGATGAGTATGTGTGACTGTCGAGTGTGTGTGTGTCACTGTGTGTGTGATGAGTGTGTGTGACTTCGAGTGTTCAGTGTGTGTGTGTGACTGTCGAGTGTTTGTGTGTGTGTGTGTGACTGTTGAGTGTTTGTGTGTGTGTGTGTGTGTGTATGTATGTGTTGTCCAGTGTGTGTGTGTGGTGATGAGGAGTATGTATGAATGTTGAGTGTCTGTCCATCAGTCCGTCCATGTGCGCATGCTTGAGTAAACAAGAGAAGTCCTTCCTGGTGTCCAGAGTTGAACCTTTGGAAACATTGACAGACTTTGGAATTGGAGCATTCCAGGCAAGGAACAGTGTGAGAGTAAGGTGGTAAAAATGATCCTTGCTTCAAAGAGAAGGAAATAGACTCTGGGGTTTGTTCTGTAAAAGACAACTAACATCAGGCTTGGGAAATTTGCTTTGATTTAATTAAAAATGTTTAGCCATTGCAACAGCAGTTATTTGTACTTCTAAAAGATTTTAAGCTAACAGTCACCTTCCTTATTTTAGTGTTGTTGATGGTCAGAGTGGAACACAGGCCTTGCACATGCTAGACAAATAGTTTATCACTGGGTTACATCTTCAGCCTCAGTTAATCGTGTTGGAGTCATGGGTCTTTTGATAATTCAATAAAAACTATAGGTCTCCTATCCAGAAAAATTAATATCCAAACAAACCAGTACATTACCATTGAGGGTTTTGCTTTCCTGAAGAATGTTGTAAGGTATATATCTTGAACAGTAATCACTGCAGTATAGGACTTGTTCTCTGTAAAGTATGTGAAAGAATGTGTACATATGTCCTGGGTCTGTTTGAGAGTTAAGTGAGATGGTAATAGAGATTTTTAGTAAGTACTAGAGTAGATACTGTAATTTTCCTCTGATAGCTCTCACTGTCCTGTGGTTGCTTTATTGTAGCTATTATCACCCTCATTAGCTGGGCTTATAAAAAGGAGCTGTAAGATAAAGATGGTTTTCTGGAAAACCATCTGTGAGGAATTAAGTTTATTTAGAAATAAATAAGCATTTTAGTAGTGTCTTGTGGTTGCATTTACTGCTTTCAGTGTATTCATTTGTAGGAATAATGTTCCAGGAGTTCATGTGTGCCTCTCAGGACAGGAGAAAGTCCATGAAATGATTTAGCTGATTTCTGTATTGGGCACTGATGGCACCCAAATCAACAAGAGCAATATTTTTCCACCCTGAAGGAAATTTCCATTTCAGAGAGAGATGGACATAGACACATGAGCATGGTGGCGTATACTTGTAATCCTAGCACCTAGGGTCCAGAGGCAAGAGAATTTTGAGTTTAGGCCAGCCTGAATGGGCTTCATACTGTGCTCAAGGCCAGCCTGCCTGTCTCAGAAATAAACCTAGATACGGTGTAAACCTAGACATGGAAAGTACTGGCAGTGTGAGTAGCCAAAGTGTTTCGCTAGGGAATAGGGTAGAAGTTCTCAAAGGGTGTTTGAAAAACCTAGTTCTATGAATACATTAAAGAAAGAATGTAGAAGCCAGGCGTGGTGGGGACACTTGGGAGACTGGGGTCGGAGGATTGCGTGCAGTTTGAAAGCCATCATGGCCACAGAGAGACCCCTTTTTAAAGAAGTGTGTATGAGAAGGAGATGTAACTCAGTGGTAAAGTACATGCCCAAGGCCCTGCGTTCTGTTCTCAATACTATAGATCCAGCCTGCCACAAACTGAAAATAGTCTGGTCGGGTAGGACTTGGGATCACAGGGAATGCATCTATTAAACATGCAGACAGAGAGGATGGGTGTAAGTCATGTGCAAATACTGTAATGGACTTGGTTGTCTATAGATTTCAGAAGCCTCTGGAGGTCCTAGAAGCTGCTATCTGCATACTGAGGACAGTTTCACTAAGTTCAAATACATTGGGTAAATGTCTGAAGAATCACCATTCAAATTAGGTATCCAACTTAAAAGCTTCAAAAAGTAAAGAGATTAACATAGTGTTTTCAGACTTTCTTCCTGACTCAGTCTTCCAATAGCAGGAACTATAGACTCATATTACCACACCCAACTTAGTCTCATTTTAAACAAACAGGCTTTTTTGTTGTTGTTAGGCAGCTAGCTATAAACTTCCCAGAGAATATTGTCTGTGAGACGATTGAGTTTTACAGAGGAGGTGAACTATAACCAAAGCATTGAAGGATCTCTTGTGGTTGGAACCTGTATAAGGTAGATAACTTCCTGTCTCATTCATATCAGAAGTTAGGGCTTACCGTTTTAGCTGTGCTGGAGTCACCATGGTGGCAAAATTTTATGTAGGTTGTGGCTACTATTAGATACCTTTTTACCTATAACGAAAGCTGAAAGGAGTGAGCACTGTGGTAAAGCAATCTCTTAGTCTCTGTTAGCCCCCAGCGCCTGCACGAAACTGTCCTGCCTTTAGCCTTCCTCCTCCTGGTTCCTAACCCAGACTGTCCTGTCTTGGTCTCTGCTTCTGCCTTCAGCACCTGGGTACTGCTCTCACCACTTTTACCACACATTTGTGACGTTCTTTCGAGCTCTTAATGCACTATAGCCTGTTTGGGTCTGACTGTATTAGTAGTGTTGTCAGAATATGATGAAGTCTGGCTGTTTCCTGAAATGTGCATAGGATAGTTTTATTTTCAGGCAGAATTGGTGAAATTACTAATCACAATCAAGAGGTCTTAGGTTTGTGTTATAGATATTCCAGCAGGCGTACGGCTCTTTTTGGATGTTTTTCCATGTCATTTGAAATGCAAAGATTAGGCTCTAGTTTTGGAGGGTTTTGTTTGTTATTGTTTTGCATTAGATTTGGTCATATGAAAACTATTTCTTGCTGTTTTGAGGTTAGGGAACCCTGAATTACTTTCTTTCTGGTTATACTAGAGTTTGGGGCCCTTGTTTCTTGTCTTGATTAAGCATGGCATAGGAGCTTGTTGGAGAAATGGGATCTTTGTATATTTCTAATAGTTCTAAATTATTAATAGTATATGTGATCTTCTGTCTCACTTTTTGCTTATATACTATGGTGTGTTTGATAGCTTCACATTATTGGTTTAATAGTCATATGGTTTTATATAACTAGTGTTATATAACTAACTAAACTAAAGAGAGCCAACAATATGCTTAGTAAAACTAAAAGAGTATCATTTTCCTGGGTTGACATTTCTTAGATTTTTAGCAAATCTGTACAAGAACCTAATTTATTTATATTTTCTATTTTGACAGGAACATGATATCAAAATAGCAATTAAGTCTTGTCGCCTAGAGTTAAGTACCAAAAACCGAGAGCGTTGGTGCCATGAAATCCAGATCATGAAGAAGTAAGTGTGCTGGGACTCAATTGCTTCAGTCCTACAGCCCAGCCAGTTCTCAATAGTAGGGAATGAGACGAGGGCCACTTTCCTCAAGACCTTTCGGTAATGTGACTTTGTCATTGAACATATGTGTTTTACTTTAGATAGTTTTTTTCACATATGGCTAAGACAAGTTATAGTTTAAATAAGCTAGCTAACATTTTCAACCTGGCTCTTTAAGTCTTTCTTCTGAATATTGAGCAACTTTATGACTAGTATATACATCTTCATTTCTTTTTGTACTTAACTTTTTTTAAAAATAGTAAATCTATTGTTTTGTGGACAATTGTTCCAAAATTTTGTAGCTGAAAACTATGAATATTTAGTATCTGTAGTTTATGGCTGAGTTAATTGTGGTTCTAGCTCAGGGCTTCTCCTGAGACATCTGAAAATGTTGACTTTAGAGCTGTAGTTATTTGAAGACTTGGCCAAGACTTGAGTATTAACTTCCAGGCTCACTCATGTGATTATTGGCCAGAGGCACAGTTCTTCAGTAAGGGAACCTCCACAGGGATGTGCACAAGCTTTAATGGCATGTGTCAGGAGCGGTCTTTGTGGGGCTGCAATCGGAGCCAGCTAAGCAGCTCCAAGTTCATACCTGAGTGGGGGAATGTGGACGAGGGAAAGGCTAGCTATAGACAATAAAGAAAGACAGAGAGACAAAGTAAAGGTCAGGAGGGCACAGTTAATTCTGAAATGCCACGAGTTTATTTTTCACCACTCTTACATACCATAACCAAAAAGGGGAACACAGTATCATGTATATAGAACAAACAGACTTTTCTTCCTCACCCTTATTCTAAGGTTTCAGTAACCACACCTTAGCTCCAACTTTTCCTTCCCTAGCCTTGAGAGTCAGGCATAGCCACATCTCAAATTCATGTCTGTTGTTATTTAGACTATGACAGCCAAAACATCCTTCTGTAGCCACACCTTTGACCTTTGGTCTTATGACTTGCTGACAGCTTTGAACTCTCTGTCCTTGTGCCAAGATGGAGTACAGCCATCTTTATGGGCACCCACAAATGCATGGTGGCTAGCTTCCCCAGGTCAATGATCTGAATGGAGAGAATAAGAAAAAAGCCAACAGATTCTTAGGGACGACATATTGCCTTAGAAGTCATATTTCATTTTTTCCTATTGGCATTCTGTTAGAAATGAGTCACTAAGAATAGTGTGTATTCTTAAGGGGAATAGAAATGAACTTTTGAGGGGATGGGGAATATTTTAATTGTCATAGTGTGCTTTCATTCCTGTAGTTGTCATCACAATTGTATTTGGGTATTGTCCTGTTTTGTAGATAAGAAAGATGAAATACACAATCATTCAACTGGTACTCTATTTGAAAGGAGCATTTTCTGACTTTAGTTTGTGCTCAACTCATTTTATTTTGGCTTTCAAAGTTGGCTATGTAGCCGAATCACCAGGAAAACTTAATAACATAAATTCTCAGACCCTTAGGCCCTTGTCTCTTAGTTCCTGGAACTTGAGACTCTACTATTTTTAGGTTCTATTACATTGTGAGGATGATCATAAAGATGATAATAGATTGTCACATTTTAAAAAAGAAGATGTGGGGCTAGAGAGAGGGATAAGCTGTTAAGAGCAACTGCTATTGTAGAAGGTTCAGGCTCAGCTTCCAATATCCACTCTGGGGCTTATAACCATCTGTAACTCAGTTTCCAGGGGAATCTAGTGCCTTCTTCTGACCTTAAAAAAAAAAAAAAAGTTAAGAACAGATGAAGTCAGTAAATAATGTGAGCATATTTATTGAGAAAAACCACATCTGTATTTATATTTAAAACTGGAAGGAAAGGTCCAGATATTTAGGGTGCCCATTATGGTTGTGGAAGAGGCAGTGTGATGTAGGCTTTGGTGCCAGATTGTCAGGGTTAAATCATCATTGACATGACCTCTTGCCATGAGGTCTTAAGTTACCTAACCAATCTGTGCTTCATTTTTCTCAAGGATGACACTGTTAACAGATGTACTTGTATTAAGATTATCATGATAAATAAATTAGTTGATCATGTAAAGAACATGTTGCATGGCACACAGAACAGCAATGGTATTTTTAGGTATATTTTCCTTGTAAAACTTGTTTATTTTAATCAGACAATTCAGAAAAAATAGCTTCTTAAGCTTTTATCTAAGTTTAAATGCCGTACAATCAGAATTTATAATTTTACAAATAAAACCAGTCTTATCTCACTAGTTAATCCCTTATTATCATTTCAAATCCAGTCCTTCATCACTGGAAAATTTTTTTATTGTAATATTTTCTCCTTACTAGGTTGAACCATGCAAATGTGGTAAAGGCCTGTGATGTTCCTGAGGAACTGAATTTTTTAATTAATGACGTGCCTCTTCTAGCAATGGAGTACTGTTCTGGAGGAGATCTCCGGAAGGTAGTGTACATGTTTTGAGATACTGAGATTGTAAATCCTAAGCATTAGCAGTGTCTGAATCATGTGGCATGGATCATCAGGAATAAGGAAAGACAGGTATAATCCTGCTACACACACTCTTTTCTTGAAGCACAGCACTGCATATTTATGGCTGCTTCCATACAGAACTAAGTAGTGTAACAGATTACATGGCTTCCATAGTTTGAAGTACGTAATATTTGACTCTTTACAGAAAATACTTGCTAACCCTTGTCTTAGTGTTTTTTATTCCTGTGGTAAAGACCACAACCAAAAAAAGCAACCTAGGAAATAAAAGCTTATATGTTTCCTGATCACAGCCCATCATTGAGGGAAACCAAGGCAGGAACTGATGTGGAAACACAAAGGAACACTGCTTATTGGCTTACTCTCCATGGCTTGCTGTCTGCTTTCTTACACAATCCAGGGTCAGCACCTGCCCCAGGTGGCCCTTCCCACAGTGGTCTGTGCCCTACCACGTCAGTTGTTTGGTTTTTTTTGGTTTGCTTTGGTTTTTTTGAGGCAGGGTTTCTTTGTGTAACAGCCCTGGCTGTTCTGGAACCTGTTCTGCAGACCAGGATGGCCTTGAATTCACAGAGATCCACCTGCCTCTACCTCCGAGTGCTGAGATTAAAGGCATGTGCTAATGTGGCTGGCTTAGCACATGCTTTTTTATTGTTGTTTCCAAGGTGGGACTATGTTGGCCATTTTAAATGAAAATACAACATTTGTGAGGCTTATTAAAAAATTGTCGTTTGCCAGGTGGTGGTGGTGCATGCCTTTAATCGGGAGGTAGAGGCAGGAAGATCTCTGTGAGTTTGAAGCCAGCCTGGTCTACAGAGTGAGTTCCAAGACTGCCAAGGTTACACAGAGAAACCTGGCCTCAAAAAACAAAACAAAACAAAAACAAAAACGAACAAACAAACAAGTAAACAGAAAGACGGGGAGAAGAAAACAAAAGAGTTGTCTTTTATTATAATTATTTTTCTATTTAACTTTAAGTGTATTTATCTTTGTCAGCATTTTTTCAATTCCAAGTGCAATTGCCCTTGTCTTTACTTTTTATGACCTTCTCATGAAATTTACTTGACCTCACTATGGATTTGGTGACTAGTTTTTTCCCCCGATGTCTCTTGTCATTGTTACTATTTTTGAAACGAGTTTTTCAGTGTAGCTCATGTTGGCCTTGAACTCATGGTCTTCCTGCCTCATCTTCCCAAGCACTACCCTTGTAGACATGTACCACTATGCCCCAATCCTTATAATTTCTTTAATGTGACTTGTTGTTTTCATTTGAATATTCTTTGACAGTATATTGATTAATAATGTGTGTTGTTATTGCTACCTGGCAATAGTATAAAATTGTAGATTTATTTATTTATTTTCATTTTTCTTTAGCTACTCAACAAACCAGAAAATTGTTGTGGACTTAAAGAAAGCCAGATACTTTCTTTACTGTGTGACATAGGTATGTAACTAATATTAAAATATCATTGTGATTTAATTAATTCTTCTTTGGTCCACAAAAACTTCTGTGTACTGCTTAGAAGTTAAGGAGAACCGTCTGTATACTCTACAGAGCATGTGTGTTTTTAACATTTATTAAAAATTAGGAAAAAACACTCTGGGTGATGGTGATGCATGTCTTTAGTCCCAACTCAGGAGGCAGAGGCAGGAGGATCTCTGTGAGTCGAGGCCAACCTGCTCTACAGAATGACTTCCAGGATAGCCACAGGTACACAGAGAAACCCTGTCTCGAAAAAACCAACCAAAAAAAAAAAAAAAAAAAAAAGAAAAAGAAAAAAAAAAAAAGGAAAGAAAGAAAAAGAAAAACATTCATTTCTAGCTGGGCATTCATTGGTGGTACACACCTTTAATCCCAGCACTCGGGAAGCAGAGGTAGGCGGATCTCTGTGAGTTCGAGGCCAGCCTGGTCTACAGAGCTATTTCAGGACAGGCTCCAAAGCAACAGAGAAATCCTGTCTCAAAAAAAAACCAAAAAAAAGAAAAAGAAAAATCTATTTCTAATATAACTAAAACTAATACATTTTTGACATTTGTTTTTATTTGGGGTTTCTCCTTGTTTGTTTTTTTTTTGTTGTTGTTGTTGTTTTGTTTTGGTTTTTTTTTTTTTTTTTTGGCTATGTATCCCTATCTGATAGATGTTCTGATGATAACAAAAAAAAAAAAAAAAAAAGGTATTACAGCAATTATTTCATTACCTCTAACACTTCTCCCCAACACTGTTTATAGTGGAATTACATCTTTTGGGAGATAGTTCCTCAAGTTATTCTGGGATGAAATTCTTTTTTTAAAATTCTTTTTTTAATCAGAAATCCTACTGGAAATTCCTAAAATAACTGTGAATTAGACCTTTGAGAAACCTTGAAAGCCTGACCTGAGTCCCCTTGTGTGTCTGCTGTTGCTGCTCTTCCTAGGTCAGGGGCAGCGTAGTCTAAGAATGTGATTTAGGTTGGAGAAAAAGGCTGTATATAGGCTTACAGTTATTTCTTAAAGATTACTTGTTTCAATTGTTTTTAATGTTCATTTGAATAAATTTTTCAGTGTTTATTTGATGTTACTGCACATCTGGAGAAGGAAATCTGAACCACTCCAGGGTTGCTGATGTAGCAGTGATGGATCATATCAGTGTGTGGGGGTGTGTGTTGTTAAATGTGTAGTACATGGATGTGATTGTTGGTGCACACTCACAGGGGCAGGCACATGGAGGCCAGAGCAGCTTGTCAGGTGTTCTGCTTTCAGGTCCTCATGCTTTCAGATCACTGACTTTTACCCACTGAGCCATCTCCAAGCCTCTGGACGTATAAATTTGTGCATCAGTGTAATCATTGCAAAATATGAGGTAAAAACTGAATGTGGCTGGACATGCTGCCACCCACCTTTAATTTTAACACTAGGGAGGGGAGGCAGATGGATCTCTGAGTTTAAGATTAGCAGGCTAACCAGGGCTACATAGTGAAACCCAGTCTAAAAAAAGCTGAGTGTAGGCGAATCCACTAGAGCCTGTTTAAAGGGGTATAAAGGATTTCTTAGGATACACTTAGGTAAATAGCTTCGGTGGTCTTCTGTTCTGCCCTGGGGTGAATGGAACCAGCAGTCTGATTTCTGACCAGCGCATGAGAGAGAAGCAAATAACCAACCTCCCTTATTTCCTTTTAAGAGGTCACATGGGCAGACAAGAAGCACAGCCTCTATCGGGCCAGATCGTCCAAGGTCATGGGCAGAGCCAATACTCACTACAGCTGAGTGTGCTGGTGCATACATATCTGCAGTCCCAGCACGTGGGAAGTAGAACAAGTGGATTAGGAAGTGGAGGCCATCCCCAGCTACATAGGGAATTCCATGCCAGACAGGGCTACATGAGACTCTGTCTCAGAAATACTTAACAATAAACAAAATGTGAGATGATTTTCTAAACAGTATTTTCTGTTACTTCATAATACATTTGAAATTTTATTTAGGATCTGGAATTCGATATTTGCATGAAAACAAAATCATACATCGAGATCTAAAACCTGAAAATATAGTTCTTCAAGATGTTGGTGGGAAGGTAGGTGGAACCTGAAGACTGTTTCATGCTTGTTATAGTCTTCCTGATATATTCTTTAGAGATTTTAATGTCCTTATTCAGTCTATAGACATAGTACTTTATAACTTTTCGATTGTAGCCCTCACTGTATGGAATTGTAGGAGCTTTTTAATTTTAGATTTGTTATTGTTAACTATTATTGTTGTTGTCATATTTTATGTATGTGTATACCACATGTGGTGCCTTTGGGGGGGGGGGGGCTCAAGAAGAGAACATCTGATTACCTGGAACTAGAATTACAAATCGTTGTGAGCTACTGTGTGGTTGCTTAGAATGGAACTCAGGTCCTCTGCAAGAACAACAGGTGCTCTTAACTGTTTAACCAACTCTCCAGGCCTGAACTGTAGTTTGTGGTTAGATTTTTGTCTTCTCTGCAGAACAATGGCTCCTAGAGAAGCATCTGTCTTGCTTATCTCTGGATTAGGAATGTTGATCTCATTATGTAGGAAACTGCCAGAGATTAGTTAACTTGATCAACATTATACAGTTAGCCAAGCCTATTCCCTGACATCTATAATCCCAGCTTTTTGGAGGTCATGGCAGGAGGGTTGCTATAGTTTGATGCCAGTGTGAGTTACAGTGGAGACCCTGTCTCAAAGATTAACAACAACAAAAAGATTAACAAAAAAGATTAACACAGCTAGTTAAATATCGATCAGGCTATCAAAGTTCACACTTTTGTGTTGTTCAGAGCCAGATTCTTTACCGTCTTCTCTCCAATTTTATAAAAACATTATTGCTTTCTTTAAATTACATTTATTTTATTTATTTATTTTGCGTGCATGAGTGCATGTCTGTGCTGTGACCTGTGTGCAGGTAATGGACAATTTGGCAGAGGTTGGTTCTTCTATGGATCCTGGGGATCAAATACAGGTAATCAGGCTTGGTGACAGGTACCTTTTTCAGCTGAGCCATTTCAATGGCCTATCTTTTTATTTTTTGCTGTGCTTAGGATTGAACCGACCCTATACATGTGATAGGAGCAATCTGTTACTAAGCTACACTCCCAACCTACCTTTCTTTTGCAAATCTTTCAACAACTTAATATATGTTATGTCTTAATATTCACAGATAATGCATAAAATAATTGATTTGGGTTATGCCAAAGATGTTGATCAAGGAAGTCTATGTACATCTTTTGTGGGAACATTACAGTATTTGGTGAGACATTTCTTTAATTTGATTACTCATAAGGCAATGAATATAGTAGTTTAAAACAATAGTAGCTCTTTTCTTACAGTGTTGGAACTTAAAGTACTTTCTATTTTAAGGCTCCAGAGCTCTTTGAAAATAAACCATACACAGCTACTGTGGATTATTGGAGCTTTGGGACCATGGTGTTTGAATGTATTGCTGGATATAGGCCTTTTTTGCATCATCTGCAGCCATTTACCTGGTAAGAAGTGATGAGAACTTTGGCATAATCAATAGTAATAGAAAAATTTCAATTGTTTCCTTTTTTCTTTCTATAGTGATAAAATTGTCTTTTAGCACAGAATTGAATGAAATTAAATGGCAAGAGGCCTTGGTAGTATTTGTGAGAATCAGGTTGTAAACTAAGGTGTCTTGTTTTTATAGGCATGAGAAAATTAAGAAGAAAGATCCAAAGTGTATATTTGCATGTGAAGAGATGACCGGAGAAGTTCGGTTTAGTAGCCATTTACCTCAACCAAATAGCCTTTGTAGGTGAGTGTGGGAGGTCAGGCCGTTATGTGTTTCAAGTAGCATTATCCAGTAGACACATGAGGCTTATTGAGCACGTGAAAGGTAGTTAGGTGTGGAAATGTGGCTCAGTGGTACAGTGTTTGCTTAGCGTGCTTGTTGTTTTTGCTGCTCAGCGCTGCGTGGGCTGGCAGAAGAGTGTGGTTATTGTGACTGAGGATCTAAATTTGAAATGAGCATAATTATAAAAAACACTGTGATTAGTGATTATGCTTTGGGATAACACAGATGTTGTGGAACTGATAACTATTACCAATCTTGCCTTAGATGCCAAGAAAACCCAAGGAATAAAGAAGTAAATGGTTTTTGAAGATTAGATTTGAACTCATCTTTTGGATTTGCCAGTCACAAAGTGACATGGGGATTTGGGCTTTTTTTTTTTTTTGGAAGAAATTTTGTTCCTTGTCATTCATGAATTATTTGAAAGTAAGATATAAATGGTACTGATAAGTCATGGGCAAGGATGACCTGTGAAGTTGCCTATTTAATTGGAACATAATGATAATTCACACAGTTTTTATTCACTTTTTCAGTTTAATAGTAGAGCCCATGGAAAGCTGGCTACAATTGATGCTGAATTGGGACCCACAGCAGAGAGGGGGACCTATTGATGTTACTTTGAAGCAGCCAAGATGTTTTGTATTAATGGATCACATTCTCAACTTAAAGGTCAGTTTTAATGGGGTGCATTTCGGAATACCTGCATTGATCTTAACAAGTTGAAAATGAATATAAATTTATATTAGTGATCTTTTCCTGGTGTCCACTTAAAAATGAACATTATATTAGAGTGGATTCTTTGTTTCTTTGGCCAGGATTTTAGGTGTCTTCAGATGGTCTAAGTAGTCTTTTAAAGTGTCTTCAAGGATTTCCTTTTATTACATTGATTGGTGTCATTACCAATTCCCTCTTTTAGATTTAGTTGTACTGGGTTTGGCTTGGTGAGGAAGGCTCCCATTTGCCTCCTGCCTGTATACTTTGCTGCTGAAAGACCAGCTTTCACAGGTCAGAGAAACTGGAAAGGAGGTGTGGTATCAGAACTGTATACACACACAGGAATCTTTTTTTCTAAGGGCCAAAGCTTAATTCTTCTTTTTATTTTTCTCTCCGCTGTTGTTCCTATTCTGTTCTTTTGCCCTGTTGTTTTCCTTCTGTTTCTTCCCTGATGTTTTCCTTCTACATCTTTCCTGGTATTTTTCTTCTACTATTCTTATTTTTCTCTTAATCCCTTTTATACCTCCTAAGACAAAAAATTCTATACAAGAAAATATTTCCTCACAACCACAAGTTACATATTTTCCAAAAACAAATTAAAATCTTTACATAGGAAGAAATCACATTATGTTCACACGTTACACGTTTTTCTTAGAAGCCCACAAGTAAACATTTTTATTTGTGTTAATTTTTCCACCATAGCATCTTTACCCCAAAGCATTGATCCTTTTGCAATTGATGAACAAAGTTTTGAAAAGCCAAGTATATTTCAGCTAGTTCTTTTTGTATTAGAGGCAGCTGTTAGCAGTTTCAGTGTAGTAATTTTCTCACCTATTCCTACTCCACAAACTTTAAACAAGTGGTCTAGGTAACCATCTATTTTTCTTTACATACAGTAGGGTCATTTAATTCCCTTTTACAACTTTTTTTTCCAAGGTGCATACTGGAGCCTTGATTAATTCTGTAAGCTATGACCAAGGAACTCAGGCCTAACCTTGGGTGTTTTTATAAGAGCAGAAGATTATATGTTCAGTAAAAGACACTGCAGTCCATTGCATTCAGCCATCTTAAATCTCAGCTGAACTACTTCAGGAAGCATTCATTGGCTTCATGTTCAGGGAGGGCATGCACAATGCAAACTGCATGTTATCATGTTCAGAAGAAGGCTACAGTGAAGTCTCACTCTGGCGGGTACTGCCAAGAATGCTTTGGAGTTATTATGTATTTGATTTTGAATTAATAGCTGTGCATTCAGAAACCTTTTATGGTACCAAATTCTTCATGACCTGTATATTCAACTATATGCTCCTACATGGAGTTTAAAGAGCTGAGGTTCATAGTCAGGATTTAAAATCAGATTGAGAACTCATAAATGTGTGGAAACTAATCTTGACATGCCCTATTCAGTAGGATTTTGAGGGCATTTTGATACTGTTCTTAGCTGACATTGAAAAGATCTGTATTCTTCTTTTGTTTTTCTAAGTCATTTCTCTGGGTAGCCCTAAGCTGTCCTGGAACTAACTATAGACCAGGCTTACCTTAATCCAGAGACAGCCTGCTTTTGCCTCCAGAGTGCTAGGGTTATAGTTATGCACACCACATCTAACCTGATACTGGATTCTTGATTTGGTTTTCTTGTATTGTGCCAAAGAAAAATCATTCCTTGGTGTGTAAGCAATGAAGGGCTTGGTGAGCCTCTTAGTTCTGTGTTATCTCTAAAAAATATTTGGTTGTGCATAATTGATTCACCCAACTTACAGTAATCATAGCATTACCTCTGCTTTTGAAAATAATTATCTTCAGACTTAGGTATTTTATTCTATGTGCATGAGCGTCCTTGATCAGATGACTGTAATATCTGCATGATTCCTGGTGTTCATCATCTTCCCTACCCTGAAATGATCTGAGTCCATCTCGTGTTATACTGCAGCACCACTATATTTACCTGTCAGTGAATCTGAGCAAATATTTACCTTCTCTTTATCTTGAGTAAATTGATGTTTCTCAAAGCATCAATCTTAAGAGGTTGTACAGAATAAGGAAACTGTGGAGTACTATTTGTAGAATTTGGGAGGCTTTAAGCATAATTTCTTAGGCTGGAACTATGACTGAATTTTGTAGAATTGGAGTTAATAGGGGGAAGGAGAGTAGGAGAGATTCATAGGCAGGGGTGCAATGAACAAAAACACAGAAACATGAACTATGAAACACATGGGTATTTTCTTAAGTTATCTTCAGCTACAAGGTATCAGGAAGGCATGCTGTCTTATTTCATAGCAACAAAATAGTTGTTGAAACATTTTTCTTTAAGAAAACACTTCAGAGAGTCTAATTAGATAAGTATTTTTTCCAACTATTATGAAAAGGCTTAAACATAAAATTAATGATATAAAAATAAAAATAATGACAAAACAGACATTCTTCCTCAGTGCTGGAGATAACTCAGCTATTGAGAGTGCGTGTTGCTCTTAGCAAGGACCCAAGTTCAGTTCCCAGCATCTACATTGGACAGCTCAAAAACCACTTGTAACTCCAGATGCATGGGATCTGATGCCCTCTTCTGGCATCTGAGTGCACCTGCACACACTTATATCCTTCAAACATACATACAGCTGTTTTTTTCTATCATTAATTATGCCAAAATTTGTCATCCATTTTCTTCACTGCACCTGTACGTGAGCAGGAGTCTGTTCTTTTTGTCCTTGGACCCTTAGGCAGACTACAACTCTAGGGTTTGGTTGCTTTGGGAGAATAATAATGCCTTTTCCTGTTGAGAAAGAGAAAAACCCATTATTTCTCTTGGATGATTGTTTCATGAGGCAATGTGAGGTTAAAGTTGAGGTCCATACTCTACCACTTATCAGCTGAATGATTCCTAACAAACTATTCACCTTCTTAGAAGCCTGGTTTTTCCTTCCATTAAAAGGGAGATTAGAAGGTATAAGTATTGGGGTGTTGTGTGAAAGCTCTTTACTCTGTGGTTAGCATTTATGAGAAACTTCATAGATGGGAGTGTTTCCTTCTCTTGAAGTAAGGTTTTTTTTTTTTTTTTTTTTCCAAGACAGGGTTTCTCTGTGGCTTTGGAGCCTGTCCTAGAATTAGCTCTGTAGACCATGCTGGCCTCGAACTCACAGAGATCCGCCTTACTCTGCCTCCTGAGTGCTGGGATTAAAGGTTTGTGCCACCAATGCCTGGCTTTGAAGTAAGTTTTTTAAACTAAAACTTCTATTTTTTGATTTTTATGCATCTTTAGAACTCAACATTTTATTTGATAAACTAATATCTGTGTGGGCATGATGATGCACACCTTTCATCCCAGCACTGGGAAGCAGAGGCAGGGGAATGCTCTACATAGTGAGTTCCAGGACAGCCAGGGCTATATGGAGAGACCCTGTCTCAAAACCAAACAAACAAAAAACACCTTATATATTTACAAAAACAAATTCAAGGCTTTGTCTTGTAAAATGTCATTTTGTAATTATAGAAGAATTTATTACTTTGGAGGAGTGAGCCTTATTTAGTACAGAAATAATGCCTGTTGCTTAGATTCCCCCCTTTAATATCTGTTCACAGAATTGTTTATATAATAAGTGGTCAATAAACATCTTTTTTTTTCTTATTTATACAGATAGTACACATCCTAAATATGACTTCTGCAAAAATCATTTCTTTTCTGTTACCATGTGATGAAAGTTTTCATTCACTACAGTCTCGTATTGAGCGTGAAACAGGAATAAATACTGGTTCTCAAGAACTTTTGTCAGAGACAGGAATTTCTCTGGATCCTCGGAAACCAGCCTCTCAATGTGTTCTAGATGGAGTTGTAAGAGATTTTTTTTTGTGTGTGTGTAGTAATGGGAGGGTGGGCTATGGATCAGGGTCTTGCTATATAGCCCATAATGGCCTCTCACTCACAATCTTCCTGCCTAAGGGAACTGGATGCACAGGCCTAAGCTACCTGCACAGGTTTTTTGTTTTGTTTTCAGTTGACTAATATTTGTACTTTCTTATGGAGCACTGGATAGTAATTCAATACATGTGTAATGATTAAACTAAATTAAGCATCCCCTTGACTATTACCATTTCTGTGTGTTGAAATTTGCAAATTCTTTTTCCTTATGTTAAAATATATAACTATTATGTAGACTATGGTTACCCTGTTGTCTATAGAAAAATTTAGGTGCACACATAAACAGCTGGGTATAGTGGTGCATAACATACACAGCTGGGTATAGTGGTGCATACTGTTAATTCCCAGCATTTGTGAGTTCAAGGCCAGCCTGGTCTACATAGTTGGTTTGAGAGCATTTCTGTCACAAAAGAAGTTTTTTATAACTTTTGTTTTCTTCTCATCATAGATGCATATATTACATGCCATATAATTTACCCATCTCAAATATAATTCATAGAATTTACAAAAATAACCGTCTTGAAAAGCAGAAAAAAGAATTTATAAAGATACATTTTAATCATTATACAATATTCCTATTCCTCATGTTCATTAACTCTTAAATTTTCATTCTACCCGTTCCATTTATCTACTTCAGTCTCTGTAGATTTGCATGCATGTATGTGTATGGCTTTGTGCTTGTATGAGTGCATATGTTTATGAGGTGTACATATGTGTCTGTGGAGGCCAGAGGTTAACCTTGGTCACCATTCCACAATAACAGTCATCTCCTTTGTTTTGAGAAAGGTTCTTCCATTGGCCTGAAACTTATTGATTAGGCTAAGCTGGTGGAATCACGAAATCCACCTGTTTTTTTTAAACATGGGTTCTGGTGATTGTTCTTGGGTTTCCATGCTTGTATAACAAGTATTTTACTGATAAACAATTTCCCCAACCTAGCATTATGTTTTTGAGTTTTATCAGTGTTAAAGGGTATTTCATTCCTGTTGGGCCTTTTGAGAAAGAGTCTTTCTGTGTAGCCCAGGCATACTCTTCACCGTACAGTGTGTGTTGGGATTACTCTAGTACCTAGTCTTTTCCTTTTGTTTACTACGAGTGTTTCTTTCACCAATATGGCCTTTTGTATTTGTTTGGTGTTTTTTTTTTTTTTTTTGGCTTTTAATTGCTAAGATTAGAAAACTTATTTTCTGCTTTTCCTAATTTTTTAAGTTAGCAGACAAAGTGATGGGTTTTGTTATGGCATTTTTATGCATACAGATCCACCATAGTTTTTCTTATTTCTACCTCATTCCTTTTTCCCTTCTTTGCTGGTCTTTGTCTTCAGTCTTCCCTCTTGCTCTCTTGTCACATGAGCCCCATTACCCTCTTCCTTATTTTGGGTGTGCTGATCACTTTACTTTTTCCTGACCCTTTGCCCCATGTCTATAAATTATATGTGAATGCACATTGACTTTGTTCAGTACATTTCAAAGAAGGAGGAAATCTGGCACTTAAGTATTTGTACAACCTAGAGTTTTAAGAATCTTTGAATTTTAATTGTTTCTTTTTTCAGAGAGGCTGTGATAGCTACATGGTTTATTTGTTTGATAAAAGTAAGACTGTATATGAAGGACCATTTGCATCCAGAAGTTTATCTGATTGTGTAAATTATATTGGTAAGTAGAGTCTGGTTAGTGGCTGAACTTGAATCTTGAAATTACATGATTAGTAAACATGATCTTTTAGTGGTTTTGTTCAGTATCTCCTGTTTGAGGTTTCTATATAATGAAGATGGACTTAATGTAGTTTAGAAGGTATAAAGGTAGATTTTAAATTACCACTAGACCCTTCTATTGGGAGGAGATTTCCCTTCCTGAGGATAGGGCTCTACAGAGAGGAGAATGAAAGCCCACTGTGCACTGTGTCTACTTTTTAATTGTTCCTTTGTTCGGTGTGTTCAGATATTTACACATGGCTTTGCCTGTAAATTTCCTAAAGCTGAGCTGGTGTTCAGAAGTAGCAAAGACTGGTGGACTGTGGAGGAGAAGGAACTTGACCCAAAGCTTAAAAGAAGTAAAGAATTTGGATTAGCAAGAGAAAAGGAGTATTCTTAACTGGAGAGAAGCAAGTTTAAAGGAAAAACATACAGGAATAATCTCAAATTCTTTGAGAGTAGTGGTTATGTCATTCAAACACACAATCCTTATATCAAGAGCAAGGCAGTAGATTCTTTTTAACATTTGTGGGAATAGATTTTGGAAAGGAAGTCACAAAGAATGAACTATGTCTTTGAAAGTAGCTTACCACCCTTATTACCATTTTGCTTATAGTTCAAGACAGCAAGATACAGCTTCCAATTATACAGCTGCGTAAAGTATGGGCTGAAGCAGTGCACTATGTATCTGGATTAAAAGAAGACTACAGCAGGCTCTTTCAGGGACAAAGAGCAGCAATGTAAGTGGGTTGTGTTGTTTTTGTTTTGTTTTTTAACAAAACACTTGTATCATGTACTAAAGAATTATTCTTGCCAGTTTTCACTGAGCAGAATTGTGTATAAGGCTAAAATATTGAACTTTTTTTGAAATATAATATTTTTTAATAATGTGTTTATGAGCGTGTGAATGGATGCACATATGGAAGCCAGAGGTTGATGTTGGCTATCTTTCCCTTATTGTTTTCCCACCTAATTTTTGAGGCAAGATCTTTTCCTAAACCTGGAACTCATTAGTTCAGCTAGACTGAATGGCCTGTGAGCTTAAAGGATCTATCTGCCTGTTTCCCCATGCCTCCAAGAACCGTCGAGACAAGCACAGGCTGCCATGTACTGAACTGAGGTCCTCATGCATGCAAAGCAAGCACTTTGCCCACTGGGCCATCACCCTGACTCCATTGAAATGCAGACTTACAGATTTCTTATTAATGGTCTAAAATCATTCAGCTGTAATGCCTTGAAAATTCTAATTCCTGAGTGGATCCTTAGCTGATGAAGATTGTTTATCATAGACATCACAGTGTGGAAATAGGTCAGCTGTTTGTCAGGATTTGATAATAGAAACGTAGGTTTTGGAGTTTGGATACTGTATGTTTGCAAATTGTTATTCAGTGTTTCTGAATGTTCATAATTTTATTTTGTTTTGCTATGGCTTAGGTTAAGTCTTCTTAGATATAATGCTAACTTGACAAAAATGAAGAATACTTTGATCTCAGCATCACAGCAACTCAAAGCTAAATTGGAGTTTTTTCACAAAAGCATTCAGCTTGACTTGGAGAGATATAGTGAGCAGATGACTTATGGGATATGTAAGTGTCTGGCTATAATGTATTTGTAAGGAATGTCTGGTCTCTCAAAACCATCTGCTCTTTTATCTTGTTGACACATAGCCAGGGATTTAAATTCACAGCAGAACAACACACAGGATAACTTAAGTTATCATATGTTTTTGTTTTCAGGGTTAGCTCTTTTAATCCTGTAGTTATGTAATTCTAGAAATTCTAGAAAAGCTAAATAATACAGAAGTGACCTTAAGACTAAATTTCAAGCCTTATTTTAAAATGCACACAGAATCTATATTGAGGTGACTTCTTAGCCATTACTCTGTACTGAAATGTGTGCTTCCCGCAGTTTGTATGTTGAAATACTGATCCTTGATTATGATAAGACCCTTGAGAAGTTATTAAGTCATGATGGAAACTTACTAGAGGCCTGAGTGAGATTCCCCCACCTTTTCTGCCATAAGGGGACACAGAAGGCAGCCATCTATGAACCAGAACTTGATCATGAACTTCTCAGATTTCAAAACTGTGAGAACTAAGTTTTTTCATTGTTTATTTGCCACCTAGGGTATTTTCGTTTCTGTTTTCTGATTTTGTTCTTGCAGTATAGCAGCTCAAGTGGAATAATACAGCCAGGGGAGTCTTAAATAATTTGGTTTTTGTTTGTTTGTTTGTTTGGTTGGTTTTAGTTAAACACACACACACCCCCCACACACACACACACCAAAATTTTTTTTCTAATCCATCTGCTGTGGAATTCTAGCTACTATTTTCTTACTGTACAGTCTCTTCATTTCAACTTTATCTCCCTTCAGATGTGTTAAGGATTTGTAAAGAGTTAAAATCTAAATAAACAGATGGTTTACTTCATGAAACATATCTTTTAAAGGAAGTAGATACTGTTGATATATGTACTTGACATAAGTTTGGATATCTCAGAATAAGTGACCAGACGTGTCAGTTACTGAGTATGTTTACTCTCTAGTGTTATTTCTGTCTAGTGTCTGATGAATGACAAAGCATAATTATTTCATTAGAGCATCTTTGGCTTGTCAGAGGCACACTATACAGCCATTAACATGGTGAAAGAGATCTAGGTGTGCTGATATTAAAATATCCGTGGAATATTTGACAGTGACTGTCTTAGTTACTTTTCTGTTGCTGTAAAGTGACACCATGAACATGGCAACTTATAAAAACAAAACAAAACATTTAATTGGGGGCTTCTTTACAGTTTCAGGGGGTGAATCTGTGGGCTTCATGGTGGGAAGCATAGTGACTGGTTGGAAGGCAAGCAGGATGGCTCCAGAGCAGTAGCTGAGTGCTTACATTTGATCCATAGACAGGAGGCAGAGAAAGAGCAAAGCTGGACTTGGCATGGACTTTTGAAAACTCAAAGTCCACCCCCACTGGCAGTTCTTCCAGAAAGGCCATAACCACTAATCCGTCCTAAACAGTTCCAACAAGCCAAACATTCAGATATATGAGCCTGTGGGAGCCATTCTCATTTAAACCCCATGGTGATACTAAGTTATGGGGAAAGCATGTATAGACTGTCTTACTTATGAGAGATCAGTTATATTACCGAGAACACTTGGAGTATAGGGGAGAGTCTTTTCTTTTTTATATGCTTTTATAGTTTTTATTTGTTTAATTTTACATTACTGGGGATTGAACCCCGATTCTTATGTTGTTGGTTTGCTTTTGTTTTTGATACAAGATCTCATGTAGCACTGGCTGGCCTGCAACATGATCACTATGTAGACCAGGCTGGCCTCAAACTTCTAGAGATCTGTCTGCTATGCCTCTCAAGTGCTGGGATTAAATGTGTGCACAACTACATGTATCCAAACTCAGAGCCTTGTGTATGTAGAGCAAGTCTACTACTGAGCTACAGTCCATGTTTAAGTTTTCTGAAACATGTCTAGGTATTGCTTTAAGATAACATTTTTGGATAAAAAAACAAAAAGAAAAAAAAACTATATACTAGTCCTCCTAGAACTTCCAGTACAACTTTGTGGCTTAAAACAACATAGATATAAAAACTCAGAATTTTCAAGGCTAAAATCAAGATGCTAGCAAAGCCATGATTCCTGTGAAACCTGAGAGAAAGAATCCTTCCTAACGTTCTAAGACTACCAGCCAGTTTTTTGCTTATAGCTTTATTGTCACATAATTGTTCATTCTCCTTTTGTGTTTCTGTATACCCCTCTCCCCCAAGTCTGTTCTCTAAGGACAGTGGAACAGAGTCACACTAAAGTAAGGGCCTAGCTTAGTTTAGTGTGAGTACATACATAGATGATTAACTCTATAAGTCATCGTATTTCCAGTGAGGTCACCTTCCAAGGTGTTGGGGCTTAGGAGTACAGCATATCCATCCATTTGAGAGACGCGCTTGAACCCATCATGTATCTTTGATGTTGACAGAGCAGGAAATAACCAGGCTAATGTTTAAAGACACAGTTGTTTCAGAGGAAACCAATTTAGACTTGAGTTTTTATTTTTCTTTTCTTTAGCTTCAGAAAAAATGCTGAAAGCATGGAAAGAAATGGAGGAAAAGGCCATTCACTATGCTGAGGTAAAATCATTGAACTCATTCTGTGTATTTAATGTCTCCATTAGAAAATACCTTTGGTTTTGGCATATAAAGAATACTTATGTCATTCCTGAAAGTCAGACAAATAGTACATGCTTTTTATAGAGAGAGGAAGGTATGGACTTTAAAACCAAAGGCTTTGGGCAAGTTTTAGCTTCACCAAACTCCAGTTTCCATATATATATATATATTAGGGGCAGCAGTTTTTTCTAATAGGCTTATGAACATTAAATGGAAATCAATAATAAATGGAATGTATTATTACTATTATTTTTCTGACTGGTTTAGATAAGATGGCTTCACATCTGTTTAAATGGAACAGTTTTATTTATACCTGATGTTGTTCCATAATTATAGTCTCTGAGGGACGTATAGATTGTTCCCTAGGTTGCAAATTTCTTCTGTATCCTATATGTCCATGGTCCCAGACTGTTGCTTTCCTTAGTACCAATCCATGTGGATAGGTCAGTTAGTATCATGGGCTGATATGTAAGAAATGACAGTGGGTTAGTGGCCAATTGTCTTGTGAATGGCACTTACACTAGTTTGCTTCTCCAGAGGCCAGAGCAAATGCTAGTACTAGTTGACCATGGTCAGAAGGGAAACACAGGAATAAGAATGTTGTTATTTATTATTGTTGTTCGAAACAGAGTCTCAGTGTAACGCTGTTTTGGAATTCACTCTGTAGACCAAGCTGACTTGACTCACAGAGAGGCACTTGCCTTTGCCTCCTGAGTGCTGGGATTAAAGGTATGCACCATTGTACCTGGCATAAGGTGATTTTTATGAAAGATTGTCAGCAACGTACAAAAGTCCCCACCATAGCTGAGGAGCTATTAACAGTTATGGTTGCTGGGGTGGGGAGAGTTGGTTTTCTTTCATGAGGTGACCATAAGTAGTTTGAGCATGCCCTATTATTTGGCCTCACATTCATTGGCATATGAGCATCCCAGATCCAGAGCCTGTGGGTTATTTAAAAACAAAAGAAAAAAGGATGTGAAGTTGGGAGGGTGAAAGGGGGCTGGGTCTGGGAAGGTTAGAAGGAGTAATGGAAAGTAAATACAAAATGCATTGTATGCAACTATGAAATTGTCAAAGAAAATCATCCTGTCTTGTTTTTTGAACAGCTTTAACAAGCCTAGTTTGGTGTTATAATCCCAGCACTCAGGAAAGTAAAACAGGAGAATTACAGGTTCAAGAATAGCCTAGGATGTATAATACCACTGTCTCTTTAAATAAACAAACCATTAGCTTTAACAAATTACTTTGTAGTAGTAAAATATTGAGTTCCACTGGCATAACAGATCATTCTCTACCTTTAAGATCTAAACCTTTTAAAAAAATTTTTTAAACATAGTTCTTTATTGATTCTTTGGAAGTTTCATATCATGTACCCCAATCCTGCTCACCTCCCAGCCCCTCCATATCCGCTCATCCCCCTGCAGTGGCCCCTCCCCAAAATTAATTGAAAATAAGATAAAACAAACAAAAACCTACTTTGCTCCTCCAGCACATCTTCATTCATCCTGGTGGCATTGGGAGCTGCAGTGTGTCACACAGTATACCCCTTTTGTCCAAACAGACCCACCAGCAAAATGTTCATTGCAATGAGTCATTGGTCTGGTTCAAGGCCTCTGGCCTGTCATCACTGGACCCTCTCTGAAATCCTCTTGGGTATTGTGTTGTGATGGTGTGCATACTCCAGCAGGCCTAAATGGGGCAGCTGTTAAGGTGGGCCAATCCAAGGCCCAGGATGTGGATCTGGGTGGTAACTGAGCTGTTTGGTCTGGGCCATTGGTACCACCCCCTCAGGCAAGGGACAAAGCCAGCTAGGTCCGTGCCATCGGGGCCAGCTCTCCCACACCTGTGGTGAGGGTTGGCACCATTGAGCCTTGTTTTATATGGTGGTAAGCCTGTCATTTTCCTTGTATCATATTTCAGGTTGGTGTCATTGGATACCTTGAGGATCAAATTATGTCTTTGCACACTGAAATCATGGAGCTTCAGAAGAGCCCCTATGGAAGACGCCAAGGAGACTTGATGGAATCTCTGTAAGAATGTATCTGTGCTGTTGGCCTTCATTATATAATTTGTTGTGTTCTTTCTACTTATATCTGGCAGGATTAAGCCTCTGAGTGGTCTAGTTTATGATTTTTCTTACCCCTAATATATTCCTATGGTATGATTTTTTAACATTATTTCATTGTGGGGAGTACACCATCACGATGTATACATGTAGAGATCAAAGGACAAAATTGTGAGATGGTTCTCTCCTTCCACTGTGGTGGGCCCAGGAATTGAACTCAGATTGTTAGGCTTGCCAGCAAGTGCCTTTAACCACTGAGCCATCTCTACAGCCCTTACAATATCTTAAAAGGAAACTATTTCTTAGTAATAGTGAGTTTGGAAAATAACAATTTGGATTGTTCTTTACTATTAAAAAAAGTTTCTCTTTCATGTATTTATTTAAAGAATATTTAAATTACAAATGATTTGCCATTTACTCCTGTTTTGGTCCAAGGTATAATCTCTTAATTCTATTGAGGTTAATTTCCTAAGTGTCTAGATTACAAACTTCAAATTTTTTCTCTAATCATGAGCCATAATTTTTTCCCATTTCACTGTTTCTAGTACATTTGTGGTGGAAGACCAGAGCAGATACACAGTCTATAAAAACTTCATGTTTTGGAGACTAAGGAGGTGGCAAAGCATTCACTGCCCAAGCTTGAGGACCTGAGCTTTGACTCCCCAGGACCCACATGTAATGTTAGGTGTGGTAGTTTGTCTGCAATCCCAGTGCGCCTACAGCAAGAAGGAGACAGAAGCAGAAGCATGCAGGCTAGTTGACGTAGCACAGGCAGCAGCACACAACAGAACTGTCTCATTTGACAGTAAGGACTGACACCCATATTAGCTTCTGACCACCTCACACAGGACATGCAAGCATGCCTCTCACACAAACACACAGGCACAGTTGGTTTTTGTTTTTTTAAAGCTCCACATTTTAAGGACTTTTTTGTTTTTCAAGACGAGGTTTCTCTGTGTATCCTTGGCTGTCCTGGAACTTGCTCTATAGACCAGGCTGACCTCAGACTCAAAGGCATGCATTTGCCTCTGCCTTCCACCTCCTGGGATTAAAGGCGTGTGCCACCATCACCTGGCTTAAGGACTTGTATTATTATTCAGTGAAATGTTCTGTAAAATATGCATTGATGATCTGTTCTTGCATAAAAATCAGATCTTGTCCCAATAATCAATATTATTTAAGTTGTGTATTATTGCTGATTTAAGTTACTTCTACATACAGAGAAGTTTTTGTTTTTCTCTTTTGTAGGGAACAGCGTGCCATTGATCTCTATAAGCAGTTAAAGCACAGACCTACAGGTAAGACACTTCTATCACAATATTTAGAGGTATTTTAGGACACTCCCTAACTTAACAAAGTAAATGTTTATGTCATAATAACTTTAAATTTATAAGAATTTAAGAGAATAGAAAGGGAATGTAATGAGGATATTGAAGTAGAAAAGTTTTTAAAGTGAAGTGAGGGAAAGTAAAGGAGAAAAAAACTCAAAGAAAAAAAGGAAGGAATGGGGAAAGAGGCTCAGTGGTAAAATGCTTTCTACAACAACATGAGATGCTAAGTTTAGACTCCACCATTCACATAAAAGCCACAGACAGCAGCATACTCCTGTGACAGCAGTAGTCCTGGGGAAGTGGAGGCAGAGGGAACCCTGGGACTCAGTGCCAGTCCAGCTGAAATAGCAAGCTTTGGGTGCAGTGAGATACCCTAGCTCAACAAATAAGGAGGAGAGCCATCAAGGAAGATACCTGAAGGTGACCTTGGATCTCTGTGCATACATACATACCCTCCCCAAGAAAAAAGAGCCAAAGAGGAAAAAAAAAAAAGTGTAAAAGGTTGGGGGGAAATACTGCTTAAGTTAAAGAGGTTGGAAAGAATTCAATGCAATGGGTTCTGGATGGAATGAGTCCATAGTCTGTTCAGAAGCAATCTGTCTTAAAAAAACATGCCTGCACCAGCACAGGTCACTCACTGCTCATAGGTCCTTGGGGCAACAATTTGTACTGAACATCTGGCAGATACAGAGAGCATTGTCTCCTGGAAGGAATGCTGGTTGAAAACCAGAAGATTTGTATTCTAAATTGGGTATTTTACTGTTCAAATAATCTCCAACACTTCTCCCTATTCATATTTCCTTTTTTTTGTAAAACAAGTCGAAACCTAGCCTTCTAAACTCAGTAAGCTTTGGTAGTATATTTGAGAGAGTGCTTATGAAATGCTTTGAAAACAGTAAGTTAGTATATATATATATATGCAAAACACTTTTATTTTACTTAAAATATGTTTATTTTAAAGGATTACATAAATAATAAAGGGGTATCTGTGCTCCTGAATATATAGTATTTTAAAAAGATTTATTTATTTATTTATTGCTTGCTTGTTTGTTTTGAGAGAGGGTTTCTTTGTAGCTTTTGAAGGCTGACCAGGCAGGCCTCGAATTCACAGAGACCCACCTGTCTCTGCCTCCCTGGGATTAAAGGCGTGCGCCACCACTGCCTGGCCAAAATGTTTTCTATAACTTCCATAAAGTTTTCAAGTTTTATACTTGAAAATTTATAAGCATATAGCAACATATGGAACTTTATATAATATTTATGATCTTTAAAATAAAATAAAAGCCTGTTCTCAAACACTGTTTTTTAAATTTTTTCTTTGAGATTTATTTTTAATTTATATGTGTGGGTGTTTTACATGTATATCAGTATCCATGTATATGCAGTGCCTGCAGAGGCCAGAAGAGGGTATTGGATAACTGTACCTGGTGTTACAGGTAGACATGTGGGTGTTCTGAACCTGTGGAAAAGCAGCCAGAGCTCTTAACTGCTGAGCCATCTCTCCAACTCCATATGCTGGTTTTTATTGCAGTAGAATTTGATCAGTTTATTGCTATAAATATCATGACATACATGTCAGATAGGCACTTAACTTTATTGGTGGTCAGGTTGTTTAGAAGTGGTCCCTGCAGGAGGTAAAACCTGAAAACAGTGGACACTGACTTTTTTTGCCCTCTTGTGGCAAAGGCTGAAGTTCTGAGGCCTTTACCATTAAAAGAGCTAGTTCTATGGGAAACCTCTTGGGTTTGGTTTGTGGAATTTATGAAGGACTACTGTTTGGAGGAAAGTGTTTTTGGAGCTTTGTATCTGCTTGGGTGAGGGTGTCAGGGAGGCAGAGCAAGAGAGACAGAAATTCTGGGAATGTAGCTGGGCTTTGGGAGAGGCTTCATGGAATGATTTTTACAGAAGACAGATTTTTTTTTTTTCCTTCTCTTGATGTACTGGAGATCTCATATATATGCCTTGTATATGCTTAGCAGGCACTATCGTTATCTCTAAGCTCCATTCCCACAGCCTTTCAAACCTCTTTTAAAACTTCTTCCATAGTTTTCTTTTTTGGGAGTAACACAGAAAAACATTAACTGTGCAGTAAATAGCAAGTATTAGCAATAGTGGTATTTTTGCTTTCAGGCTTATTACCCAAGAAATTGCCAGAATGATGATGCATGTGCAGTTTTTTGCTCTTTTAAACTTAAATCGCCACATTCTGAAATACAAAAATTAATGCTACTTGTTTTAAAAACTGAGATGGCATCACTTATAAACCATGGAACTCAGTGTAATTAACAACCAACCATCCTATTTGAGAACATCTGCCAGGTGCCAGTTCATTTTAGGGGAAATTACCAGGTGTCCACTGATCTCTTTTATTACTATATTAGGTTTGTTTTAAGTCAGCTTTTTTTCAGGTGAAGTTTTTGTGAGTTGTAAACAGATGGATTAGCATGAAATTCCAAGCAACCTGGTTGGGGCAGTGAAAGCCTGATTGTCCTACTGTTCTAAGTAAGCAGTGTCAATCATGTAAGAAAGTCAGTCTTGACCAAAGGTTGCATCTGTGTCTGAGTTTGGGTTTGTACAGGTTAAAGATCAACCGGACTATTCATCTAAAACACAGCAACGTACGTCTCTAAAGATTAAATGCCCTCAACCATGCATAAATTTACTTTTTAGAAAAGATGTCTGAGGGTGTGGTGTATGCTATATGTGTGGTGGTATGGATGGAAGTTTCTGTCTCGCCCAGTCCCACAGCTGTTTAGTTCCAAATAAACACACAGAGGTTTATATTAGTTATAAACTGTTTGGCCAATGGCTTGGACTTGCTTTCTCTTAATTATTAACCCATTTCTATTAATCTGTGTGTCTCCACATGGTCTTGACTTACGTGAGAATCCTACGTTCCCGGTAGCTACATGGTGTCTCCCTGACTCTCCTACTACTTTTCTCTATCCCTGTTCCCTGTTTGGATTTCCTGTCTGGCTAAATCCTGTTTCTCCATTGGCTGAAACAGTTTTATTCATCAGCCAATAAGAGAAACATATATTCACAGTATGCAGAAGGACATCACCATCATGGTGGTACCCACAGAGGCCCTCCTGGAGATGGAGTTATAGGCATTTGTGAGCTGTAATGTGGGTGCAAATCTGTCCTTTAGAAGAGCAATAAGGGCTCTTGACAGTTATACCCAGCCCCGTAACTTTATGTTTTGTGTACAAGTATCATTGAACTATACCTCCAACCCCTTAGACTTTATTTATAGGTAACTTTAAAATTTTTTTAAAGGTTTTATTCATTTAGAATACAGTGTTCTACCTGCATTGAGGGCACCAGATCTCATTATAAATGGTTGTGAGCCACCATATGGTTGCTGGGAATTGAACTCAGAACCTCAGGAAGAACAGTCATTGTTCTTAACCTCTGAGCCATTTCTCCAGTTCTGATAATCTTAAGTTTTTTAAAATCTGTTTTAATTTGGATGGTGTTATAAAGTTTTCATGGGGAGATGTGAACAGTCTGTTAACATTAGACGGGGTACCAGTGACAAAGTAATGATTCAACCCTAGTCTTGTTTGGTGAATCTGAGTTTCATTAGGATTACTTACAGAAGCTTAAGTTGCTTTTTTTTCTGAAGAAAATGAGTCTCCCCTCTCTTCTCTGTCTCTCTGCAACTGATAACCTGTTTTAGATTCTTCTGGGGGAATAAGGCCTCCTAATTGCCTCCTTCCCCACCACCCCCCTTTGGGGAGTATTGAAGGATAAGTCGTGGGAATGCCTCAGGAGCCACTTTCTGCACCATGACAGAAGCATTAGTCTTATTGGATCTCACAGCTTCTCCTCAAGGCAACAGCAGTGTCACACCTCAAGAACAGCATTCTATTACAAACAGGGATGTTTTTTACGCTACTTGCAGTTTTTTAAGGAACTTTTGTTTGGGAGTTGCTGTTTTCTTGACGAGAGGTTAGAAATGCACTAACTGAAGTCTCTTGCAGATCACTCATACAGTGATAGCACGGAGATGGTGAAGATCATTGTGCACACTGTGCAGAGTCAGGACCGCGTTCTCAAGGAGCTGTTTGGTCACTTGAGGTAGAGACATTGCTTCATCTCCTCTTACTAGCACATTCGTGCTCCTTTTCAAATATGCTCTTCTTTGGTAAACAATAGTTCTGTCAATATCTTGGGAAACATAGCCATTTATAAGCCCTAAGTGTATGCATTACTTTTTACTTTATTTATGTGCATGGGTGTTTTGATTACATGTTTGTCCTATGTGAGTGAGGTCAGAAGAGGGCATCTGATCTAGAACTGGTTACAGATGGTTGGGAGCTGCCATGTGGGTGCTGGAAACTGAACTCAGGTCCTTTGGAAGAGCAGCCAATGCCTTTAACCACCAAGCTGTCTCTTCAGCCCCTATATTCATTGCTTTTGAGATCAGTCATAAATATGATGCGGTTGTGGTTCATTTCCACTGGGTTTGGGAGTATTACACAGTCTTGAGGGATGTCACAAGTATCTGACACTGACTTACTTTCTGCAGCAAGTTGTTGGGCTGTAAGCAGAAGATTATTGATCTACTCCCTAAGGTGGAAGTGGCTCTCAGTAACATCAAAGAAGCTGACAATACCATCATGTTTATGCAGGGAAAGAGGCAGAAAGAAATATGGCACCTCCTTAAAATTGCCTGTGTAAGTAATCATTAGTGAATATAATACCGAGCAGCTGTTACTTTCTGTTACAAGGGTTTTTATTGCTTTGAGCTGTGTCCTTTGAATATTGGTATTTTATATTGGGTGCGTCCTTTGAATATTGGTATTTTATATTGGGTGCACGTTCCTTGTTTGGTATCTGAGTGATTATAGAGGTAGGACTTGTAGGCGGACTTTCTGTCCTACCATCCAGTTCCCAAATAACCATATAGAGAATTATTATTCATTAGAAATCCTTGGCCAAGAGCTCAGACTTGTTACTAACTTGCTCTTACATTTTAAATTAACTCATTTCTTATCTACCTTCTGCCATGTGGCCATACCTTTTTTTTAACAGGGCAAGTTCATCTTCTCTCCATGTCTCTCTTGACTCCTATGACTCCTCCTCTCTTTTTCTTCATGTTCTCTTTGTGTGCGTCCCCCCAACCAGTCATCTCCTATATTAACCAATGAGAATAATACACACTTACAGTGTACAAAGATTGTTTTACAGCTAGGACTTCTGTATTCTGATTCTCCTTTCCAGTCCTGGTGGTACTGGTGGTGTGTGTGTGGTTTTTTTTATTTGTTCCTTTTGAAATAAGAGTGTTCACTTCAGTCTAGGCTGGGAGCTGGACTGCACCTTACTGCAATTTTTCTGCTCCTCAAGTGCTGCGATTACAAGTATGAGCCACCATATCCAGCTCAGTCCCTCTTTTTTATAGTTTTCTCTGCCCTGGGTTGCTGTGGTTGCCCAACCCAATTTGGGGTAAATGCATCTGACTTGTTAAGTCAGCCTTCATTCAGCTGTTGCCTTCCTCCAAACCAAAGCTAGGTTAGAGGAATTAGATCCATTCAGTTTTAGTCAGTGTTAGATACACTCAGTTTTAGTCAGTGAAGAAAAGGGCCAATAATGATATAGTTAGTTAGTAGTGGTGTGAGTAGTTTTGTTCTCAAATAGTCAGTTGTACAGATGAATAATGATTGAATTATGAATTTTAAGTATGTTTATTTTTTTTAAATGGTATGAGTCAAGAAGTGCTTGCCTGCAATTTATTGAGAGTATGTGCTTTTTTTTTTTCTTCAGACACAGAGTTCTGCCCGCTCTCTTGTAGGATCCAGTCTAGAAGGCACAGTAACCCCTCCAGCATCAGCATGGCTGCCCCCTATGTTAGCAGACCGTGAACATCCTCTGACACGTGTGGTAACTCCTCAAGATGGGTGGGTTCATTTTGTAACAATAGATAGTTATATTTCAGAGTGGGATAGGAGCGAGACAGTAGAGCATGGTGGTTAGTAGTGCCTTCAGACCAGGGTCAGTTTTGATTAACTCAGTATAATGCTGAGTAATTTAGTTCTTGTTTTTAATGTTCATATATTTATTTTCACTTTAAAATGAGGATGTCTCACAGGATTGATGTGAAAATTTCAGTTGGACAATGTATATAAAATGCTTGGGTATTAAATTGCAGTAAGTGGTACTGACAACTATTAGCTCAATTCAAGTTCTAAGCCATTTCTATTCCTGGCTTATCAGTTTCCTTTACCCAAACCATATCCCTTCCTTAACCATTTATCTCTATGAGAAATTATGCTTTTTTTGCAGTTTCCATTTTTTCGGTACCTGAGTTCTTTTTAATGAAGTAGTGAGATCTATTTTATAATTTAGTAATTCTTAAATCTGTTATTTTCAGTTCTTTTAAATCATTCTGCAAATAAGAACTCAGATTTGCATCCTGCATTTTGTCTTTAGTTCCTACTCTTCTGCTAAAAGCTGAATGACTGTCCATCTCTGTTATTTTCTCAGCATAAGGTGTGCCGTGTTCAAGTGGCTCTTTGCTAGCTTGTGTATTGTCGCTTTTCTCACAACTCATGGAGACCTCCACAGCACCAAGCATTTCCTGGAAGTCTGCCCATAATTAGTTTTGCAGAAGTGCACCCATGTTACATCACTGCTCAGGAGGTCATGCAGTTGCACATTCTGTACTCTGCTTTTATGAAAGAAAAAGCACATGGCAGGAAGGCAAGCTGATATCAGGTATTTTATTGTATAAAGAAAGCAAGTTCTAGCGTATATCTTGGGGTCATTATATATGTGGCCCAATATGAATACATATACAAGTATAGCAGAGGTTGTGACTTGTAGACTTTAGGAAATACTCTATTAGAACTAAAGAAGTAAAATTTACCACATCCTAACCCTTTGTTTTCATTAAAGGCATTTAGGCTTGGTAGGGGTGATAATTCCAAGTATCACCTCTGTAGATGACTTCCAATTTGAGTGTGTAGCTGTTTCCAACAGTGTAATGTATCTTAAAAATATATTTTCTGATAAAGGAAAACTAATGTTAATTATAATGTACCTGTGGCACTTAATTACCAAGGACTAGGAAGTTGTTAGCATGTAGTTATCTATCAGGATAATACCTGAATCATGTTTAGTTCTAAGCTAGCAGTGGCTATTAACCACGGCCTCAGTGTTAGAAGAGGGATTGAGGGTGAAGGAGGGTGACAGGACACATGGAAGAGGAATGCATGAGGGGGAAACTGGAATCAGGGCCTTCTTCACGTACAAGTATGCAGGGGTACTTTGTGGTTCAGGGTTTCTTCTGTTATTCTCAGTAGTCAGCTTGCTTTTTGCATTGCTACTGTCTGTGGTTTCCAATCAATTTCTCTTTCCTGGAACTCTGCAGACCAAGCTACACTTTGGGAACCCCCCCCCCTCTTTTGTGTGTGAAGTGAGCATGCTAGTGTTTTACTGTTTGTAAAAGGAAAAGAAAACAATCCAGAAACATAACAAACAAAACAAGAATGCTATTTCATTTGTCTGTACCAAGGGGATCTTTCCCAACTGTCATTTCTTCAGGGAGGAATGAGGAGTTAGGATTGCCACTTGTTTCAAAAGAAAATCTGATAGAGGTAAAGTCGACTTACTAGAGTAGGCAGAATTGGTGGCTTGGATGAAGCAGAAGCAAGAGTGGGCGGGATGAAGAAACTGAAGATGGAAGCAGTCAGTTTTCCTGGGTTCTAGCTTGCAGAAAGTGGTCATCCTGACCTAAAAGACCAGAACATAGGCAAGCAACACTCAGGTGCTCCTTTGCTGAACTTGAAATGGTTTTGTTCTTTCCTCCATTAGAGAGACGTTACCACAAATGATAGAAGAAAATCTGAACTGTCTTGGCCATTTAAGTACTATTATTCGTGAAGCAAATGAGGAACAAAGCCATAGTATGATGGTAAGTTTTTTGTGAATATGGGTGTGTGTTTTAGGTATGCTGGATACAAAAGGTTTAATTTTCCATGTTGGCTGTGTCTGGCATTGTATGTGTGTGTGTGTGTGTGTGTGTGTGTGTGTGTGTGTGTGTGTGTATGGAATAAAACTCAAAGGAAAGAATATTTGAGAAATATTTTGAACCTCAATTTTCCTTCTTTGTTGTACAAGGATGGTTATCCTGCTTTCATCCTTGTTGCTGTAATAACTTAGCCTTACAAAAAGCCACTTAGGGGTGAGGAGTTTATGCACCTTAAAATTACAGGCTACACACCACCACTGTAGAGAATTCAAAGCAGGAACTAGAACTAGCTAGACATAATGTCTACAGTCAAGAGCAGAGAGGAATAAACATCTACATTCCTGAGAGTACTCAGCTCACTTTTTTTCATATTTATACAGCACAGGGCCCAGCTCTTGACTGGTGCTGTGCATACATACCGATGTGCCAGACTGATCCTGAGTGACATTGGGAGTCTCTTCCCAGGCCATTCTAAGTTGTGCCAAATCCACAAAACTAACTTTATTTGTTACATTGCAGCATCATATCATCAGTGATATATAGTAGTAGTTTTGGTCAGATTAAGTTTTCTTCACAATGTGACTACTGAAATGGAGTGAATGTACCTTTTTACTCTATAATTGTTTATTTAATGCGTATAAGATCACTTGTGCTAATACTTAGTAAAAATTGATTGTATCAAGATGTAGTTGCTATGAATTATTGATTTGTATAAACTGGAAGAAGTTACTGTAAAATATTAGCAAAGTCATTGCTGCATTTAATCTTGATATCAACTCTTTCCACTTATGAGTAAATATTTTTACTCAAATTTTCATGAGAACTTTGAAATACTTTTGAGATTACCAGAAGATAAGGTGAGGTATTTTCAAACTATAACTTCTCTAGTTTTTAACTTTTCAAATTTTGATTTTAAAATGTCCAAATATTAAAACAACTCTAAAAAGTGAACTTTACATTCAGACAGCTTCTAATTGTCACTTTTTGTGCCTGCTTTTAGAGTCTTGATTGGAGTTGGTTAACAGAATGACCTGCTGTTCATTGTCCTCAAAGCTATGAATATTGTTCCTGCACATTTTCGAAATTCATCTTTGTTCTCTGATGCTATTCTTCACATACCATCACTGGAAGAAATGGCTGTGATCAGAAACTACGAATGACTTTACAAGAGCAGTATCTTGACTTTACATAATGATTTCGCCCTCTGCATAGATAGAATTTTATTACAAATTAGTGGTTAATTATTTTTTACACTGCAGCTATCTAGGGAGATCATTAGTGACCTGCTTATCTTTAAAATTGACAAAATACTACTTGTTCAACTGATGAAATATATATATTTAATGTGTGTGTGTGTGTGTGTGTGTGTGTTTGTGTTTCCGCTCTCCCAAGACAGGACAGGGTTTCTCTGTAGCTCTGGCTGTCCTGGAACTCAGAGATGCACCTGCCTCTGCCTCCTGAGTGCTGAGATTAAAGGTGTGTGCCACCACTGCCAGATCCAATGTTCATTTTAAGTAAAAGCTGTCCACCTGTCTCTGAAAGAGATTACTCACCAGTAAAATTGTGCTTCCTGAAGACTAAGCTGCCCCCTTGTGTTGCTCTCAGCAGATACTCTAGCTGGCACCGCAAGGAGACAGATGAATCCCATCTTTAACCACACATGTAATAGTGTCCTTTTCTTACATAAGGGATTGCACATGTGCCTTTGATATCAACTGACCATAATGAATTGTGTTGTGTGCTATATGTATATTATTTAAGGTGTACATTTAATAATATCAAAGATGAGCTGCCTGTTAATTTATAATGTATTTGAAGATTGTATTTTTTTGCATTTGTAAAAATGGGTCACTTGTTTAAACAATCTTTTGTGTCTTATACAAGTTTCAAAAGGTCTGCATTCATTCCTTTATCTGTAATTATAGTCTCAAAATCCAAGAAGTCCTGAAAACACGGTTTTCTTAACACTTCTGGGCAGAACCCGGATCAGACGGATCCTCTGCTGCCAGAAGGTATTTGGTAGTTACGCCTGAAACTTGACAACAAAATTCATTTTCTTCTGGATCTATTTTGACCTGACACTGAATCTGTTTATCCCACTTAGTGTGAATATTCATTTATTTTGCTGCATAAATATTAATGTGTTTGATTATTGGGGGGTGCTGCCACAAACTCTTTTGAGGGTTAATGTAGTTGGTATATGCACTGAATTACCTTTCTAAAATCTGAAAATTTCATAATTCTGAAACATCTGGACTTAGGGGTTTCAGATAAAAGATTGTGGATTTCTGCCTTCTGTTAAATAATGTTGAAGGTATTATTTTGTTTTAAAAAATGTGAAATGCTTTTATATTCTAGTTTTTCACTTTGTATATTAAATGATTTTAAAATTGTTTTTTGAATCTCTACTTATTACTAAAAAGCAGATTGTAGTACCACAGGCTAATATGAATTGAGAAAATATAAAAGGGTATATGGTACGATAGGAGCACGAAGAAGTTACTTTGTGTGTGAGCACATGCATGTGCACGTGTGTGTGGAACCAGAGGTGTAATTTTCAGGAATACTGTCCCACTTTTTGAGAGAGTTTGTCATTGACCCGGAGCTTATCAATTAAGCTAGGTTGAGTGGGCTATGAGCCACCGGTATGCACTTGTCTTTGCCTGCCCACTGTTGCAATTACAGGTGCTGACCACCATGTTGCAGAATATGTATTTACACTGTGAAGATATGCCTTTGCCAAGGTGCCTTCTGATTGGTTTAATAAAGAGCTGAATGTCCAGTAGCTATGCAGGAAGAGATTAGAGTGGGACTTCTGGAGCCAGAGAGGACTCTGGGAAAAAGAAAGGCAGTTGCTAGCCAGACATGGAAAGGAAACAGGATGTTCAAGATGGAAGAGAGATAACACCATGTGGAAGAGCATAGATTTAAAAATCTAGGTTAATCTAAGTTATAAGAGCTATTTGAGACAAGCATAAGCTAAAAGCCAAGCTTTTACAATTAATAATAAGTTTCCATGTCATTATTTGGGAGCTGGCTGGTGGGATATGGTACCTAGCCTCCAGGCATGTATTTCCACATTAGGGCCTTAAAAAATCTCTAAAAAAAAAAAAAAAAAAAAAAGGAAGGAAGGAAGAAAAGAAAGAAAACCCCAACAACAAAAAACAAACACTGCTTCCTAGTAACCTAATGCTTTTTATATATATATATATATATATATATATATATTCCTAGTAACCTAATGATATATATATATATATATATATATATATATATATATATATATATGCGCTATATAGAAACAGTGCAGGCTCAGCAAATTTGCAGAGCTGGGGCACATAAATGATGCTCCCAGCCTGTACCATAGGCATAACTCTCAGCTCTCAGAGACCTAAGTAGGACTGAGCCAGCTGCTAGGGCACAGCCACATCACAGGGAAAGTTTAAGGCTTGGCTCACTTAGTCAGAGAAGGCTACAGGTGTGTATTAAGCAGTTCAGACTGGAAAAATGGGTATAGAAAAATAAGCTTAAAATTAATAAATAGGGGCTGGAGAGATGGCTCAGAGGGTTAGAGCACTGGCTACTCTTCCAGAGGTCCTGAGTTCAATTCCCAGTAACCACATGGTGGCTCACAGTTATCTGTAATGAGATCTGCTGCCTTCTTTTCTAGTATACAGGCATACATGTATACAGAACACTGTATACATAATAAATAAAAACCTTAAAAATAAAGTAAGCTGGGCAATGGTGGTATACACCTTTAATCCCAGCACTGCGGAGGCAGAGGTAGATGGATCTCTGTGAACTCAAGGCCAGCCTGGTCTACAAAGTAAATTCCAGGACAACCAGGGCTACACAGGAAAAAAAACAAAAACAGAAAAAGAAGAAAGAAATAGATTACTGGATGGACAGTATTTAGTAACTTCCTCGCTGTAATGTTTTTCCTCCCTAAGAGGTGCTAGTACTTACTATTCTTTGTGTCTAAAAACATTAAGATCTCGTCTTTTAAGCTGATGACATAGTCCTCCCATTCCCATTTTATTAAAGCTGTCATTTTCCTAGTCAGGCAAGTTTGAAAGCTTGGAATTATCTTTTTATCTTTTGGTTTGGAGACAGGGTCTCACTATTAATCTAGCCTAGTCCAAACTTGTGTTTCTTGCCTCAGTTTCCAAAGTCTCTGTTACAGATATGTATGTACGTGGCTGTCTGTGTGTATGTGGCTGTCTTCTGTCTTTTAAGTTATCAAGTATCAATGTTTCTTTAAGATGGCAAGTCTGTGCCTATCATCTAAAGGATGACAGGCAAACTCTGGATTCAGTAGCTCTAGAGTCTGGTTGCTTTTAATAATAAACATTTATTGGGTACTTGTTGCTCAGAAGATGTTAACCTACATGGAAAGGCCAGGAAGTGTTTTGGTTTTATTTCTGTTGTTTTAAAACAGGATCTCACTGCACAGACCTATGCAGACCAGGTTAGCTTCAGACCAGTGCTATCGCTTCTCTGTCCCAAGCTAGAATTACAGGAGTGTGGGGCCTCACCTGGCTGACTTGAAATTAACACAGGCAAGTCAATAAAGGTGTTTACCTCAGAGTCTAAACATGTAATTACTGTTCATTTTTTCCCCAGAAATAATGCATTTTTAAGTATCAAAGTCATCCATTGGCCTGGTAGTGGTGGCATGCCTTTAATCCTAGCACTGGGGAGGCTGAGGTTGGGGGATCTTTGTGAGTTTAAGGTCAGCCTGATCTACAGAGTGAGTTCCAGCAAGTTCCAGGACAGGCTCCAAAGCTACACAGAGAAACCCTGTCTTGAAAAAACAAACAAGTAATCATCTGTACAAGGCTTTACAGTAGGTCCTTTTTGATGGGCCATGACTGGAGTGATGTTAACACCATAACCTTAGGCTTGCTGTTCTTTGTTTCCCAGCTTCCTGTCTGTCTTCACTTGCAGAGAGACTGCTTTCTGGTATTTTCCTACACCGGAGTTCAGAAATACTTCCAACCTTGTCCAGTTGTCTCATTTCTGCCCTTAATGAAGTGAAATGTCCTTATTTCCCATGTGTTTATATATCTCTAAACTCTACCCTTTTTTGTTTTGTAATACATGCACATGGTGTGGGGTTTCCCCCTAAGCTTTATACACAGTTATTGTTATTGTGTCTGTTGTTGTGTGATGAGGAGATCAGAGAACAACCTCATACAGTCGGTTTCTACTTTTCACCTTTATGTAGAATCTAGGGAAATGAAGTTATCAGGCATGTCCACAAACTCCTTTCCCCACTGAGCCACATGGTGTGAAATTTTGAAATCTCAGTGAGAAAAAAGTTCCAAGGAGCTGGATAGATGGCTCAGGTTAAGAGCCTGGGCTACTCTTCCAGAGGACCCTGGTCGATTCCCAGCACCCATGTAGTGGTTCATGCAGTGTGTATCACCAGTTCCTGGGGATCCGATGCCCTGTTCTGACTGCTGAGGGCACCGGGCACACATGCATGACATGCATGCAGACAAAACACCCATACAAATAAGTCAGTCTCCTTGCCATCCAGTTCTATCAGCAGGAAAAGCTTTAATCAGGTTCTAGCCTACCCTACCATGCAACTCCTTTCCACCATACCAGCTTCATGGAAAACCAAGCGTTCACTGACAAGACAATCCCATCCCCCACACTCATCATAGGTCGTTCTGTCCCTGTTTCTGGGTGGCCTTCAGAAAGCACTCTGGTGAAGCAGTACGGCACACCCAAGCTTGAGTGATTAACGCAGATCCAATAGCTTCCTCCACTGGACTCAAACCCCTGGTTCCTCGAGACTGGTCTGGTACTTTCCTTAGCGCAAGATGTATACCTAAAGAACGTGGGTACCTTACCAGTTAGGCTTGGTACAAACCACAAAAGGATGAATCCCTACACTGACAACCCCTACACTGAGGGGGTTTGAGTCCTCGGGACGGGAGAGCCATGAATAGTTCGAGTCTCAAGGGTCAACCCCATACGACTGCGGCGCTACGAAGCACCGCGCTGGGTGCGCCTGGGCCAATTTTGTCCCGCCCGCTCACCGTCTCACGAGTCGCGGGCGGGGGCTGCGTCGCGTGCGTCCCCGCGCAGCCGCAGTGCCAGGGAGGTGGGCGGGGCCGGCTGTTGGCAGCAGTTGGCGGGGCCGGGAGGCGGCTGCACGTGCGGGCGGGGGCGATGCGTCACTGACCGGTGAGGCGCGGCTGAGGGGTCTCGGTTGCCCGGGTGTCCGAGGCCAGGGCCGACCCCTGTTGGAGCCTTCCGCCGGGGGGAGCCGGGGGGAGCCGGGGAAGGGGTGTCAGGACGTGCGCCGAGCCGCGGCCGCCGGCGCGGGGAGAGCGAGCGAGGGGCCGGAGCGCGGGGCTTCCCGCCTCAGCCCGCGACCGGACGCGGGCTCTTCACAGGGCGGGGGCCGGCCTGCCTGTCCCTCAGGGGACTGAGGTGCCTCCCCTTCCCATGCCCAGGAGGGACAAGGATGAACATGACTCAAGCCCGGGTGCTGGTGGCCGCAGTGGTGGGGCTGGTGGTGGTCCTGCTTTACGCCTCCATCCACAAGATTGAGGAGGGACACCTGGCCGTGTACTACAGGTGAGCCGTGCGGGGGCAGCGCAGGTGCCGAGCACACGGGGAGAGGCTCAGTGGCCGCGGCGGCGTCGGGAGAGCGCTTCCGACCCTAGGAAGTGGTTTCTCCCCAGCTGTTGGGAAGTAACCTTTGGCCGGGCACCTTCAGGTGTGGGGCAGCTTAGTGCCCAGTTCGTTTTGTGCAGACGTGGGGACTCCTTAGGAGGGGAGGGAAGTTGACACTGCAACCAAGATGACTAATTCGAACTCGTTATGTAGTCCGTGCAACTGTACAGGTGTTTGGTTTGCCACCGTGGATGCTTTTCGGGATCTCTGGTCCTACCTATGACATTCTCCATAAGTTGCTTTTGTTTTGTCTTCATTGAATGCCTCCCCGTACCTGGCTACGTCTCCCAAAATCTTAATGACTGTGACAGTGTTATGTCCCTAAAGTCAAGAGACAGAAGTCGCATTTACAGGCCCCCTTCCTCCCTTTCTCCAAGTCAAGGTGAGGAGAGTGTGGTCTATGTTGCTGTCTGGTTGATTTGGCATAGCTTTTCTTCGCTATGAACTGCCACCTGCTCCTTTAGGTATAGACTGATAAGAGAAGCCAGTTTGGACAAATCGGGGTAGTAGTTTATTCAGAAAACAGATTTTTGCTTATTTCGATCATGCCCACCCTCCCAACTGGTATTTCTACTTTTAGATCCATCCTGAGCCCTAGAAAAAAATAACGATTTTGGTGGTGTGTCTTAACAGATGGAATTCTAGCATAAGAAGTGCCAGCCTGGACCACATTTCCGTCCAGTTTGTCATTTGTCTTTCCAACAGGGAAAGCACAAAGAGAATATGGAGGTACTACTCCCCCTAAAATAAGTGATGAACCAGAAACAGTTCATCTTTTTAATTATGACTTCCCAACCTGTTTGTGCATTCAGGACAAGGATCAAAGTATGAATTTACTGTTGATTGTATAAAATAGGACTTTTTGATGTATTTGTCCCTAAACTCTTCCTAATTTCCAGGGGGTGTTTTCATAGTCCAGATAGTCCAGAATTCGATGAACAAATGTGTATCTCGCCTACCCTTTCAACCTTCTGGCGGCTGTATTTTGTTTCCTTTATACAGAAACTTTGGTCCCAAGATTTTAATGGTGTATTAAAAGTATCATTAGCCTCAGAAATTTTCTTCTTCAAAGTTTGTTTCCCTGTTTTTTAAAACTTAGTGATTAAATGTATTGTTTTGACTTGGCCTCTTGTTATGTGCAATTAAGGTACCTTAATTGAGAGTCATTAGAGTTTTTCCATGAGTATTTGTCAGAAAGCTAAAGACCTACTTGAGAGGATTTGGACCCAAGAGCAGTGCTAGAGACCCAGAGGTGTGGTTGGTGGAGCTTATGAAACAAGGTGCAATATTGGCAGTTGAGTTTGATGCATTTTCATATTTTTAACTGTGGTGGATGTTTTAAGTAGCAGTTGTTGATTTTGAGTAACTCTGTAAGGCTAGTAGGTTAGTAACATGAATAATAGTGAATGTTTATTATAGCATTTTAGAATTGGGAAGAGAGTTTCTCTTACTTGCAGTTTTGTCAACCAAAACATCTTTTTGCAGGGGAGGAGCTTTACTAACTAGCCCCAGTGGACCAGGCTATCATATCATGTTGCCTTTCATTACTACGTTCAGATCTGTACAGGTGAGTGATTCCTAGGGATTCCAGATAGACAGGTGTGACAGGAGTTACCACACTTATGGGTGGAGATGGGTTTCCTTATTGCTTAAGCAAATGTTGGTATTTACTTAATTGTGGAGTGAAAGTTCAGAGTACAACTGTCCTAGAACAAGCATTGATTTCAGACCTTCTTGTCTTGGAATGAAGTAGGCAGCTTGTCAAGACTGACTTCTGCCATCTGTATAATGGTGTTAGCAGGTTTTCTGTTACTTCAGTCAAAATAAAAGTAAGAATTGAGAACACAATTAGGAGTACAAATTAGTAATTACTTGGTTTAGAACTGTTTGGTTTCCATAGAGGCAGGCTCCTAGGCTACTGTTAACATGGAGGAATGAATTTTTATACACAGCTTTTTGTCCTCACATTTTTGCCTCACATTTAAATATAAATTTATGAGAAACCTGAGTGCATATGGCATTTTGATAACATCTTAGAATATCTGAATTAAGTATATGGTTCTTGCATAAAGTATCTTGGCCATAGGAAATGATTAATAAATATAATTTGATATAACAAGATGGCAAAAATAAGATTAGGCTCTAATATTGCAAACTCAGTGAGATCATAAATCTTTGAATTCAGTTTCATCTACCATCTGCTACAGGTTTTTCAGGAAACAGGAAAAGTCAATGTAATTATTATTATCACTTAAATTTTTAGCTTTCTGCTAAGTAATAGTAATCATGAATAGCTAACTCCCCCAGGTTTCTTTCCAGTCCCATTTTATGGTTTGTGTCTATTGAAGTGAAACATGGTAAACATGGTGTTCTTTCTCTAACCACAATGATCCCAAGATTGGCTTTTTATATTTTAGTCATACTTTTGAGTTTTATAAAAAAAATGTAAAACCATATTTTATATATAGTAATATAGTTTACATATTAAACAGCACTATGATAGAATGAATTGATACATTTTTAAATATATTTATTTTTACTCTATGTGCATTGGTGTTTTTGCCTTTGTGCTTGTCTGTGTGAGAGTGTCAGATCTTGGCGTTACAGACAGTTGTGACCTGCCATGTGGGTGTTGGGAACTGAACCTGTGTCCTCTGGAAGAGCACTCACTTCTCTTAACCACTGGAATTAATACAGTTTTAAACAAAAGAAGAAAGGGGAAATGTTAGGTTACAAAACCTCTCCCCTAGGAAAAAAAAATTTATATTATTTAGTATCAGTATGACAAATGTATCCAGTGACTAGTAATGTCTAATTCCTATTGCACTTTTATTCCTTCTTGTCTTGGTTAATGTTGTCACTCTTTGTTCACCATCTCTTCTTTCTGCTGCCCTGATCTTGTAGCCTTTATAGGCTCATCCCAGTCTCTTTCCTCTTCTGATCTTAGTCCCCAGCAACTCTTTAATAATAGTCTTAACGACAGCATCATCAGACTCAGAGATTGGGTCTCCTTAGGTCTGTCTTGTTCAAAGCCAGGTAAATCTGTCTTTGCCTTCCCGAAACTCGCTGTTAAGAAATATGGTGTAGCAATAACATAAAGTACACATAGATAATAATAAATAGATTTTTAATTATAGGTATATAACAAATGTGCATGACAGTTATAAACCATCAGAGATGAAGTGAAAGTAATAAAAAGATTCCAACGTAAGTATTCTAATTTGCATGTTTAGATATTAATTAAAAATTAAAATTTTGAGCCAGTGTAACAAAATAGGAATGTTCTTTCTTGTGTTCAAAAAAAAAAAAAAAAAGCAGTATTCTAGGCAAGAATTGCATCAATAAAACTTTTTAAAGAAACTTTATTTTGTGTTCATTGGTGTTTGCCTGCATATGTATCTGTGAGGGTGTCAGAAGCCCTGGAACTGGAGTTACAGACAGTTGTGAGCAGACATGTGGGTACTGGGAATTAAGCCCAGGTCCTCTGAAAGAGTAGTCAGTCCTTTTAACTGCTAAGACATTTTAACAGAATTGATAATTGAAAGGACTAATATACATGAATGTGAAATTCCATATGTAAGATATGGAGACAAAGCAGTGCTTAGAGAAACATCAAGTCCTTCAGCCGTTCACTTTTCCCTCGTGTGTTTTTTTGAGACATGGGCTACTGTGTAGTTCAGCCTAAACCCAAACTTGCACTTCAGTCTCCTTAAGGCTGTGATTACACATGTGTGCCACTGTAACATTTCTTTCATATTGAGAAAATAATTAGGTATATAGAAGTACACAGGATAGGATATTAAATTGAAAAGTTATTGTTTAGCTCCTAGTTTTTCTTTTTTGAAAGTTGGCACAGAATAGTGAAAATTGCCTTAGTTTAATGCTTTGAAAGAAATAAAATATACTGAATTCGTTTCTATATCAATCTTGTCACTCCCTTTGTCTAGAGTTAGCTCTACTAGCCCCATCACACTAATCTCTCAATCAAAGAATTACATGTTATTCTTTCTGTGCTGCAACTGTATATTCAACCAGTGATCACATCTTTCCTTTACTATGTCTCCAAGATTGACATGTTTCAGTTTTCATGGCTTTGCTAACTTATCCTAGACTTCTTTAGCCTTCTAGTTGGTTTTCTTGCCTCTCGGTAAGCTGAATAACAACTGTATAACATGATCAGAGGAATTAAGGAGCACACCTTTACCCCCTCCAGTGCTTAAGAGATCAACTGTAGGGCTTAAACCTAGCAGAGCCTTGAGTATTCTAGGCAAGTCTCCACCACTGAGACTTTGTCTTTTGTATCTTCTTTGCCCAGTTTGGGCCTTGCTATTTCCCAAGGTAGTTCGAAACTCGCACTCCTCCCTCCTCAGCCTCCCACATAACTGGGGTTATAGGTCTGCATGGCCACTCCCTTATCTGACAGTTTTTTTAAAGGTTCATTTTATGATTATATATAACATGGATTAAAGAGCACTTAAACTGTTTGGCAAATATTCAATATCTAATATCATTGTGTTCTTTTCCTGGAATTTACCACTCATCTGAGTAGTGCCTTCTGTTTCAGGCAAACCAGTCTGCTTTGGGTGTGTACTTCTGTCTTCTGCTATGTGTATTTGAATAGGACATTAGTTGAACTTAAGATGTCCCTCTTAGTTTCTCCACTTCCAAATCTGTCTTTTTTGTTTTTATTTTTTCGAGACAAAGTTTCTTTGTATAGTCTTGACTGTCTTGGAACTCTCTTTGTAGACCACAAAGAGATCCACCTGTCTTGGAACTAAAAGTGTGTGCTACTACTACCTGGCTAGATCTATTAATATTTAATTTCAGAGATATTTTAAATGTTTTATTTTTTAATTTATACATATTTGTGTGTGCCTACTTGTCTGTGCACTATATTGTGGTATCTGCAAAGGCCAGAAGGGATATTGAATGCACTGGAATGGTAGTTACAGGCAATTGTGAGCCACTTATGTGGGTACTAGAAACCAAACCCAGGTCCTTTGAAAGAGTGTTAAGTACTATTAATTACTGAGTACTCTCTCTCTCTCTCCCTCTCTCTCCCTCTCTCTCTCTCTGTCTGTCTGTCTCTCTCAAGACTAGTATTTCATTTCTTGTAACAATACCTAAGAGCTCAATTTATACTATTATTTTTGTACTTACTGATAGGTTTCTTTGTAAGAATTTTATTCCCTATGCTAGATAGTGACTTTTAGGTTAACAGGGACCATATTCCATAAAATAGCATATTTTTTTGTGCTTAACAAGGTATAATGTGTCTAGAATTTACTGCTGGCTTATTTGAAACCTTAACATACATAATCGGAGTTCATTCTGATACAAAGAAAGGTGTGATGTGGCAAAGCAATTAAGATCAGATTATTGGTTCACTAAGGAGGAAGCAGTATTGGTTGTTGGCACTTATATTAAAAGGCAAACTGAACAGAACATGTGAGAGAGCAATAGGTCCAAAAGCAAAACATTGACTATAGCTTTGCTGTTGAGTTCAAAGGTAGCTTTGGTTGATAAAGTACTTGTGTGCAAAAATAGTTACTTATCATCACTGTAAACAGTTAATAGTCAGGAATCAAAAGCGCAGAGCACAGACCTTGGTCATAGTGTCACTTGTAAGTGAGCTGTGTAGTTTGAGAACTCAAGCCAGCCCTAGGCAATAAGATACTTAAGAATTTTCCTGCCTACTAGTTGATATTGAATATTTCCTAGTGCATTTTGAATCCAGCCTTCCTTATAAAACATGTAGTACTCAAGTCTTTGACAAGAAATGGCTAACTCAGTAGCTGATCTTTGGAGGCTGAAGTCATGGCTGGGCTCTCTTGTATTTACTTAGGAGCAACTTTCTAGAAGAGTTTCCTCTGGGATCAGCTGTGTGTGTTTGTTGGTTTGAGACAGGGTCTCTGTATTCTTGACTGTCCTGGAGCTTACTGTGTAACCAGGCTGGCCTTGAATTCACAGATATCCACCTGCCTGTTTCTGAGTCCTGGGATTAAAGGCATGAACCACTGTGCATGACCAGATCAGCAGTATTTCGTAGATTTTTTGTTTGTTTGTTTGTTTTGTTTTTTGAAACAGGGTTTCCTCTGTGTAACAGCCCTGGGTGTCCTGAAAATATCTGTAGACCAGTTTGACTTCAAACTCACAGAGATTTACCTGCCTCTGCCTCTGCTGGGATTAAAGGCATGCAAGTTTTAATGAGCAATTTTTTTTTTTTTCCTGTCCAGACAACATTACAAACGGATGAAGTTAAAAATGTGCCTTGTGGAACAAGGTAAGCTTCCTGCTTTGTTACCCATCACCCTTTACTTTCTTTAGTCCTAACGTTTTTGGAGCAGTAATCACTAGATAAACCTGGGACTTAGTATGTAGACTAGGTGGTGTCAAACCAGAAACAGTCCTGCTGCCTCTGCTTCCCAAACCCTGAGATTGTGGGTGTATGTCACCATGCAAAGACAACTTCTGTATAGGCATGACAGCAACAGAGATTTCTGTGCTGTGAGTTACTTGGATGAAATTGCAACTGGGAGCATTCCATTTTAGGATATTGAAAAGAGTGGAGTTCTAGAGCTAGCAGACTACTGTTTATTAGCGTTACCACACCTGTGTTATTTTAATTGACAGGAAAATGAGGCAGGAAGTATAAACTTCACATAGCTCTTGCCTTTCCACTGATGCATTGATTAGCTTCTCTAAGTTTAGTTCCCTGAAGTAAGGGAATAAGAACTATGTTACAATTATTATAAGAATTTGAATTTGTATATGTGGTCCAGAACTTGTCTCTGAATTGATGCTCAGTAAAAGATTACTTCAGACAAAATCATTCTACTTCTCTCTATGTTAAGTATCATGTAAATGAGAGTTTCTGAGTCAGTTGGTCTTTAATAGAATTTATGCCTCGACTGAAGTCCCTGAGTAATGCTTTTGGTTTAAAGGCCTCTAAGGATTGCTGCCCTAAAAAAGGCTGAGGGCAACAAAGGAAATAAACAAGGCTTGGGTATCACTAAAATATTCTTAATACATTAAATTGTAAGAAGTGAGGAATGTGAAGTACAAGGCATTTTGATGACTTAAAGCATTGCTTTTACAAGTTTTAAAAGATAACTTTGACATCTGTAGAGGGACAGATTTTATAAGTTAATATATCAAAGTTCTTCCTAGATTTTAAGTTAGATTATCAAGTTACCCATGTATCTATATATAACTTTTTGATAGTACTTCACTGCTTTTATTGTGGCTCTGGCTCACACTTTTTCTGTTTGTTTTTGTTCATTTGCTTTTAGTGGTGGGGTCATGATCTATATTGACCGAATAGAAGTGGTTAATATGTTGGCTCCTTATGCAGGTATGTTACCTATCTGCTGTGTTTGTACAATTATAACCAAGGTATTTATAACTGAGGAAGGAGTAAGAAGGTACTTTTTAAAGTTTTACCACCTCAGTGATTGCTGATGAATATAAGAATAATCATGAAAATATTTCTAGGAAATAGAGGTAGAAACACGTCACAAGTCATAGATAGAATTAGTTTTCAGTAATCTTATGAGCTACTCCTGTCTTAATTTACTGTCTTTGAAAACAAGTGTTTCTAGAAAAAGAAAGTGGCATTGTATGCAGTCATGGTGAGGAAGAATTTCTTTGTGTCCTTAAGATCTATAACTAATCAATTTCCTTGGGTCATATTCATTTCTCATTGTAGAAAAATCTTTTCTAGTTGAGATTTGCCATAACTTGAAGCAGTCTGAAAGCCTGAAGTATAAGAAAGCATTTTCTTAATAAAAGATAAACACTCACAAAGACAAGGTGGATATGTGTTCTTTAAAAACGGGGCTGTGGAGGGAGATGGCTTAGTTATTTAAGTGCTTGCTATGCAAGCTTGAGGACCTGACTTCAATCCTCAGCATGGAAGAGCTTAGTATACTGTTGTGCACGTATAATTCCTGTGCTGAGGCAGAAGCAGGGAGATCCCTGGGGTTCACATTCTAGCCAGTCTATCCTAACTAGTGAGAGGCCCAAGAATGACACCTGAGATTGGTTTGTGGGCCTATGTGAGTGTGTGTGTGTGTGTGTGTGTGTGTGTGTGTGTGTGTGTGTGTGTGTATGTGTGTATGTGCATGCACTCACAGAGATGCATGTACATCACATGTACATACACATGTATGTACATAATTGCAAGTTTTGAGTGTCTGGTCTTCATTCTTATTAATGAATTGGCATGCCAAGTAAACCAATGCCATGTGTTTTGCAAGAGCGTTGAAAAAGTGAAATGGCAGCCTCTGCCTTTAAGGTGTTATCATTGTACTTGAAAAGACATGAGAGGAAGGAGAAAACAGATACTGAAGTGTAGGGTCATGCCAAGTTTCACGCAGATCATGGAAATATTTCAGAGTAAAGAGTTGCAAGTATATTATTGTCAGGTGGTTTTGAATGATATTTTTTAGAGATTATTTTCCTCATTTTTTTTTCCATCTTCAATCAGCCTTCCATATCTGTGGTTTATGTGTTCATAGCTTCAACCAAGCACATATCAAAAATATTCAGGGGAAAGGCTGAATCTATACTAAAGATATATGAACTTTCCCCCTGTAATTATTCCCCAAACTATACAGTGTAGTAACTATTTATATGGTAAATTATATTGTGTTAGATATTATGTAATCACCTATACATGATGAAGTATACAGGTGACTATGCAGTTTATATACAGATATTACTGAGTTTAATATGAGAGACTTGGACATCTGTAGATTTTAGTATCTCCATAGGGTCTTGGAACCAATCCCTGTCCCCCACCCAGATATCAATAGATGACTTTGTGTTCCCTGATTACAAATCACTGAACTGGATTATAATTCAGAATTGAAAAAGAGAAAGCTGATGGCTCTCTCTAGAGATGGACATACTTTTAGATCACTGGTTCATTTGGAAGATGATGAAGCTGTATATTTAGAAGTTATTTATCAACAACTGTTCGTTTAACTATGACCTAGGATCCAATTGCATCTAATATCCTGTGGAGGAAGGCTGGTGAAGTAAGTATTTGGGTGTGAGAATGGGTGCAGAATGCAGCATATTTTTTAGGTAGAACGTAGGTTTCTGACATGTTCTGGTATGTACCTTTGGTGATATTTCTGAATGTTTTGGTTCTTAGTTTCCTAAGATGGAAAATTGGGGATAAATGAAGCACCAATGTATGTGTCGCCTGATGTAAAGTCTGGTAAATGTTAGCTCCTTCTCTGGTATCTAGAGACTTTAGTGTAAGACTTTAAAACTATGCTTGAAGGTAAAAAAAAAAATTATAAACACATTTTTATATATTTTGAATTATATATGTCTGTTTGCAGCAGCTTCATCATTTTATTCTTGCTGGTCTTCAGTTCAGTCATTATCTCTTGACTAAAGTTTTGCTTTACAATAATTGCTCATACTTTCCTGTTTCTCAGTTCATCTTCACACTGCTGCACAAGTACACATCTGACTGTCTCATTCCTTCCTTGGTGTTGACAATCTATCCTTTCCTTAGTGTGAAATATAAGTCTTCTGTTAATGTTGTAAATGTAAGAAAATGTTAAATGAGCCCATGAAATATAAAATCTGTGAGTAGTTCTTTATGTTGTCACTATTTTGTTGACACTTTTCCTCGTGGATTGTATATCACTTTAACTTTACCGTTGCTGAATTTGAAGATGCTTGGATAATTGTTGAGTGAAACAAACATGGGTTGAATTCTCCTTCAGTGTTTGACATTGTGAGGAACTACACTGCAGATTATGACAAGACTTTAATCTTCAATAAGATCCACCATGAGCTGAACCAGTTTTGCAGTGCCCACACACTTCAAGAAGTTTACATAGAATTATTTGGTAAGTGTTAATTTGTTTTAAATATAGAAGTAGACAATTAATGATTAGAAATCTTATTAACTTAAATATTGATGTTGTAATGTTAGTAAACCTTGGGTCATTTGAGCATTTTCTCTGAATCTTAATAGAGCAAGCACCTTTAAAATACTTTGCTTTTATCTAGTGATAATTTTTTCTTCTCTCTCTCTCTCTTTGAGATACTGTCTTATATATATCCCAGACTGACCTCAAACTTAACAGGGATCATCAACCTGCTTCCACTTCCCAAGTGCTGGGATGAAAGGCATGTACCACTATGCCCCTCTTAAAATATAAAGAATTAGAAAATCACCAGGTGATGGTAGCACACATCTTTAATCCCAGTAGAGTACTATGGAGGCAGGTGGATCTCTGTGAGGTCAGCCTGGTCTATAGAGTGGGTCCCAGGATAGCTAGGACTGTTTCACAGAGAAACCTGTCTCAGAAAAATAAAAAAAAGAAAACAAACAAACAAAACAAAAGAATTAGAAAATCTTTATTCACATGCTATATTCTGTTTTCATTATATTTTATTAAAGCTTAGAAGTATATGTTTGGGAGTGTGCTTGACACAAGCTAGAGTCATTTGGGAAAGGGAGCCTCAGTTAAGAAAATGCCCCAACTAGTTGGCCTGTGGAGAAGCCTATGGAGTATTTTCTTAATTGGTGATTGATGTGGGAGGTCACAGCTCACTGTCAGTGGTGACACTCCTGGGCTGAAGGTCCTGGATGCTGTGTGAAAGCAGACTGAGCCAGCCAATAAAGGAGTATCCTTCTGTAGCTTCTGCTTTCATTACTGCCTCCAGGTTCTTGCCCTGCCTTAACTTCCTTAGTGAAGGGCTGTAATCTGTGAAATGCAATAACTCTTTCCTCAAGTTGCTTTGGGTCATGGTGTTTTGTCACAACAATAGACACTAAGACAGGGGTATGTCTTGAGATGTACTTCCGTGCAATTGGGATTCAGGATTTATTAGGAGGATAGGCAGGGCCTGTCATGTAGTTTTATTCACAACCATGATTACTACACATAAAGGATACAGGTAAAAAACTAGCAAAAGTAAAAGGTATAATGGTGAATTTTAGTAATAAGGTACAAGCACATGTGAAATGTTGACTGCTGGACAAGCTCATTAGCTACTCAGCACCTAGCAATTTCACTGGGACTTGATAACATAGATGCCCTCTGCCAATCACATGACATACTTCTAGGCTCCCTAAGGAAAGCTAGTGTTCAGTACAAACTACTTTATATAAATAGGCACAGTGGCACCTTTTACCAGTTCTGGCATGGTGTTGGGAGTCCTGTCCACATCCAAACTTCTAAATACAAAGGGCCGCAGTACCAGGCCTGTGTGTTACCTTCTATTGCGGTTTAATAAGGATCAGGATAAACAAATAGGCTGAATAGATGTTTATTCAGGGAGAAATAACTTACAACCTAGACAGATGAACACCAGCAAGTTCCACCGATGCTCTCCTCTCCACCTCCTGCCAGCAAGTCCCGCCAGCAAGAGAGCATTCCCTTGGCTCCTCCTCAGACTTAGTTCCACAGGTCACTTCCGTCCCTGGCCCCACCCCTCCAATGGGCGTGGTCAGTACCACAGAAGGAGACAAAGTGAATATCCCACTACAACCTTCCTTATGTAAAAGTTTTCACTTGGGACAATGAAAGTTCTTACCAGGGAATTGGGATTGTTGCCTTTAGTATTCACCTCTCCTCCTTGGAATTCTTAGTTTATTTCTCAGACTGAGGTATGGGAATGGTTAATCCCTTTGAAGTTTACCAGTTGAGGGACTGACAAGATGGCTCAGTGAGTAACAGGGCTTGCACTCAAACCTCAGTTCAGTCCCCAGGCTTCACATATTGGAAGGAGGGAGCCAACAACACACAAAATAAATAAAATGTAATTAAACCAATTGCTTTCTTTTGATGATTGACAACCTCTGCAATGCCAGACTTGTCACATCACTGGTTGCTTTAGTAATGGTGAAAGTACCATTGAGGTGATTAAAAAATTCATTCATTGTAAGATCAAGTAAAGTTACAGCTTCTTTTTGGTAAAGACTTGCCTCTCTTTTTAAATTCTTTTTTAAAGTCCCAAGTCAACAGTAAGGTGGTAATCAGCAGAAAAGACATTTAGCTATTTGGGCATTTATGTGAATCAAGATACAGAGGCCAGATGTGGTGGCACATCTATAATCCTAGCACCTAGAGAGCTAAGGGCATTATAAGTTTAGACCAATCTGTGCTATAAAAGGAATAAGGTATGCATTGAAGAAGCTAAAGATTCAGTTCCTTCCTTTATTCAAAAACTGTTTTTAGCCAATAATTATTAATCTAGTAAAAGTGTAAGTTATGCAATAAATGCAGTGATCCAAAGTTAAGTTAAATTTACTGAATACAGTTTGTGGGGTAAACTTAGAATGGCTGTCATATTTCTTCCTTAATAGGTAATTTCTCAAAAAGAAGAATGCTTCATATTCATCTCACTTATACTTGATATATACTTTATTTATCAAGATGTTTAAGCTCTGTGAAAGAATAAGACTGGAATCAAGGTCTCTTCTGACTGGTTTTGTTTTGCTGTTAATTAAAAATAACCGAATATCATGAGATTTGTTGTTCTTGGCTTAAAAAACAGATCAAATAGATGAAAACCTGAAGCAGGCACTGCAGAAGGACTTAAATGTCATGGCCCCAGGCCTCACTATCCAGGTAAGCTCTGGAACTTCTAGGGACATTCTGGGCAGTTTTCTAGAGCTGCTGTTGAATGCTTTCATGTGGTTGGTTATGTAGTAACTTAATCTAAACACTATGGTATTTTGACTTTACATCCCTGTGGAAATGAGAAAGTATGCTGAGTGGTATTTTCTGGTAAATTTTTAGGACCATAATTCAAAACTCTAATATAGAACTAAGTTTGTATTTCTATCAAGTATAAGTTCTTTTTTAAACACAGAAATGGTTAGTAACCAGTATAAAAGTATACCTTTCCTTCAATAGCATCGTGAAAAAGGAGTCAAATATAAGAAACAAAATAGATGTTAGAGTATGAGCTGACAGGGGGATCTACTGGGCAGTGATTGCTATAAGAGTGTTGCAAGAGTAAGAAGCTATTTCCAGAGAGCACACCTAAGGACTTAATCCAATTAAGCTTCTAGGTAAATATGCACATTTTTATTAAATGAAAAAACAGAAAAATATTTCATGTCAGGCATGGTGTTGTTACTCAAATGCAGCTGAGATCTCAGCTACATAGAATTCCTGTACTCTTATTACTTAGTCATTTCTCTGTTCCCAGTTTTTTGTTAATCAATATTAGTATAATGAACCATGACATGTCCTTATGTACAAATTGTCTTCCAAAGAGACTGCACACATACACATCATTATCAGCAATGCTTTATGACATCATCACTAGCATTGGATTCAGTGAGTTGTGCAGGCTTTCTCCATGTAGATAAACGAGTGGTTCTCTCCTTTTGACTTGTATTTCTTTGGTTATTAATGAAGTTAAACATCTTTTGATATTTTTTAATGATCCCCTTCTACTTCATATCCTTTGCCCATTTTTCTGGTGGATTTTCTTTCCATATGAGATTTCGGCACTGATTTAAATCTGTGGGCGATTTACTAATATAGCCATTTTCATAGTTAAATCTCCCAGTGAGCAAGGAAGGTCGCTCAACCTTTTAATGTCCTTTAGTGTCTTAAGTTTTCACCACTTAATTAGACTTATTTCTAGGTTTTCCTTTGTTTTTGTTGGTTTTGTTTTATCCTATTCTAAATATTACCCTCCCCCGCAGTTTCTTGAGAAGTTCATTATTGATATATAGAAAATATACTCTTTATGTCAATTTTGTATTCTGTTACTTTGCTGAAATGTTTATAAGGCCTAAGAGTTTCTGGGAGCCTTTAAAAATCTTTCAAATAGGTTGAATATTTGATTTATTTTCTTGTTGGTATCTGTTTATTATGAATGATACATTAATAAAAGAATTTTGACAAGAAAGCTAAGACTTGGAGCACCGTATTGAGTAGAGATGTAGAGAGTGGGAACATCTCGGCCACTGTAGTTTTTGTACCTTACTAATCTCTAGGCTGGGCTCAGCCAGGTCTGCCATGGTTTTGGGTGACCTACTGGTACCTATAAAAGACTTTGTCTACCTCTGCAGCCACCCCTTGTAGTCCAGCAGAGCCAAGAAGACTCAGGCAGTCTAAAGAGAGGCTTATCATGCCACTTTCCTTCCCACTAAGCTCCCAATCAGCTATTCTACATCCAGAAGTACGAGATCACAGTGGGTAGTGTGCCTGTGGGCCTTGAGTGAGAGGTAGAAGAATTATCTCCCTGGAAAGGTTGTGAAACTGTATTTGCAAAGCTAATAGAATTTATTGTAAAAGAAACTATTACACACTTTTATCCATCTCTGCACCATATCGTCTCATGGACCTAAATCATATGAAAGTTGTTAAGGTGATTGTCATTCTGCTCAAGATCCATTTTATGGACTTATGAGCTCTGCTTTAGCCTCCAAAGGCTGGCCATCTGCATATGCCCAGTCTGGAAAACATTTTGCTATCTGTAGACATTAAATGGTTTGGTTCATCCTGGCCATGGAAGTTTGTCTAGGTGAGCCAGACAAGATGTCCTTCTCAGCTGTTCAGGCCCATCAAGCCACTTCCGATAAGGAGAAGGATTGGGAGCATTTCACCACGCATTATTTCCTGGATGATCAGAGCCAGAATAGCCTTGTCTGAGACTCTTGTTCTTAGAAGGGGTATGTCATCCAAGTAGCACTATGTCCTACATATTGTTCATCATTCCCTATTGGTGTACTGGGGTTCTTTGGATGTAGACATTATTCTAGAGCCAACAAGCTGCTGCGGAAGTCAGGAAAGAAGCCCATTCACTAGGAGCTGTAACTCCTGCTCTGAGGGGTATTGTCTCTTAGGGCTTTTTTGAGGAGCTGTTGCTAAAGTATTTAACAATTATGAATCATTGAAAATTTTCTCTGTTCCTAAGTACATTGTATAATGAGGGAGAGAAAGAATACCAAGAACCAAGCACCAAGCTCCCCTTCCTATGCAGAAACTATAGATCCCCTAAGACCATTGGTTCTCAACTTTCATAATACTGTGACACTTTACAGTTCCTCATGATCTCCAAACATAAAATAAAATTTCATTGCTTCTTCATAGCTGTAATTTTGCTACTGTTATGAATAACAATGTAGATATCTGATATGCAATCCCAAAGGGGGTCTTGACTCACAGGTTGAGAACCTTAGATCACATCTCTGAGTCCTCTGCAAGAATAAAATGAGGAACTCGACCAAGGCAGGTATGACTTACCCCAAAGTGCTTGTACTTCTCTAAAGACAGGTGCAGTCAAATACTTGAATTTTTTCTCCACCTCTCCTATAGGTTAGAGAGGATACATCCACCAACCTTCAGCCAGTAGTTTGGGTGTTTACCACTCATTTTACATGATGAGTTATAAACGTATAGGCTACAAAGTATTCTGTGTGTATTCTTTGAAAGCCACCTCCAACTTTTATGAGGTTCTTGGGCCCCTCCCTGGAGGAAACATCATATTTTTGCAATGTCTGAAACTATGACCCAGAAATTGCCGATCTGTGTCCTACTTGTAGTAGGGAACTTGTGTGAGTTTTCACATACAGACTGAAGAAGTTGCTTGTCTTCATCCTTTCTGTGTCTTAACAGTTGCTCCGAAATAATCACAAAGAGGTTTAATATTCATTATAACTGTTTGGTCGATAGTTCAGGCTTATTACTAACTAGCTCTTACAACTTAACCAATTTCTATTAATCCATTTGCTCATGTGGCTCATGTCTTGTCACCTCATTTTGTACATGTCCTGCTTCCTTTCTGTCTGCCTGGCTGCTACTCTGACTCTCCCTTTCTTCTTCCCAGCATTCTCTCTGCTCAGAAAAATCCTGCCTAGCCATTGGCCTATCAGCTTTTTACTAATAGTGAGAGTAATACATATTTGCAGTGTACAAAGATTGTTCCATACCATCATCTTGTTCTTTTTGAGGTGTTTCCACCAGCAAGTGGTGAAAGTTGAACAAAAAAGAGAGATGTTGTTTGGTCTTTTAGGTTTTTGTTGTTGTTGTTTGTTTGTTTGTTTGTTTTTAAATATAAGTTTATGTTCATTGGTGTGAAGGTGTCAGATCTCCTAGAACTGGATTTATGAACAGTTGTGAGCTGCCATGTGGGTGCTGGGAATTGAACCTGGGTCTTCTGGAAGAACAGCCAGTGCTCTTAACCACTGAGCCATCTCCAGCCCTTTTAGTTTTGTTTTTAAATGAGGAAATGAGTAGTCTTCTTCTAGGGATGTGCAAAGGTTGGTTTTTTGTTTTTATAATTATTTATGTATTTGGGTGTTTTGCCAACATGTATATCTATACACCTCAAAGAGTACTTCTGGATGCCCTGGGACCAAAGTTACATTCTAAGTCCCTAGGTGGGTGCTGGGAATCAAACCTGGGTCTTCTGGATCTCTTAACCATTGAGCATCTCTCCAGCCCTCAGAGGTGGAGGTATTTTAGGTCATCAAAAGTTTGGTTTTTATGATTAGGAATCCAACCCATAATGCTGTTTCTTAGGGACTGAAATCCCCTTGTGATTTTTTTTTTTCTACAACAATAGAGTATTCCTCCATTTTATAAAATACTTAAGCAAACGCTTATGCGTATTTTTCCTAGTCTTTTAAAAATAAAGTCTTTACTTGGTCAATACCATCAACTTAGATACTGATGGAATGTTTGGTTTTTACTGTAGACAATCCTGAGATAACTGGGAAAGAAAGGGTTGTTGAAAGTTATGGGCTGGTGAAATGACTCTACAATAAGTGTATAAAAATGTCTTTTAAAAAATTGGGAGATTTAAAAGTAAAAACAAGCTGGGCGTTGGTGGCTCATGCCTTTAATTGCAGTACTCAGGAGGCAGAGGTAGGCAGATCTCTGTGAGTTTGAGGCCAGCCTGGTCTACAGAGTGAGTTCCAACACAGGCTCCAAAGTAATACAGACAAAAATCCTGTCTCAGAAAACCAAAAAAAAAAAAAGGAAAAAAAGAAAGAAAAAGTGAAAACAATAAGATTCATGTGCTTAAATGCTTTTTATTTACACATTGAGCCAGTTTTCCAAGGGAGATTAGATCATGAGTTACGTGTGTGCAATATCAGTGGTGGGTGCAGGATGTTTAGTTAGTAAATACAAAAGCTCCCAGAGATAAGCTCTTAGTATAGGAAAGTTACACTTCAAAAGCAGCACATTCCAAGTAGATACTCTTAATTATGCCAAAGTTCACTTTGATTAAAACAACAGAGTGGCAGTAAATAATGTCTACAAATAAATGAGAAAGAGAGAATACAAGCTCTGAGTTGCTATTTATTATCCTAAAGCAGTGGTATTCAACTGTCCTAATGCTTTGACCCTTCAATACAGTTCCTCACGTTGTGCTCACCCCCCATCATAAAATTATTTCATTGCTACTTCATAACTTTGCTACTGTTATTAATCACAAATATCTGATATGTGATCCTCAAAGACATCACAACCTACAGATTGAGAACCGCTGTCCTAAAGCTTGGACTGCATTTTTACCTAGTATACCAACAGTTTACAACTTTAGGAAGTGATCACTTGCTTGCTGGACACAGTATTATTTGCACACACTGACTGGGATTTTCATGTGCTTTTGACATAATTTACCTCTCAACCTTGTTCCTTTGACTGACTTGACTTTCTTTGGTTTGCAAATTTGTAATGGAAAGCAAAATAATCCAACTATAGAGCTTTGTAAAAATTCTCTTCCTCCATGAGTAAGGTGGTTTTTCTCTTGAGGTCAGGCCCCATTTAAGTAAACTGTTATTTTTGACTCTTGGAGTGACAGTGTATAAAGTAGATCTGCTATTAGGATCCCTATATAAATTAGTGGGGAGCTGTGTTGCAGTTGTTATTTAAGCTAGAGTCATCTGAGGAACGCATCTTTAGGAGACACGGTTAAAGACTTTCATTGTTGACGTGGTAGTTTGGTTGTTTTTTTTTTTTTTGGTGGTAGGTCTGCCTCCATAGCCAAATCTGACCTTGAACTCCCTCCTGCCTTCATCTTCTAAGTGATTGGATTATATGTGTGTGCTACCATGCCTGGTTTGAAGAATTATTTTTCATATGTATTTTGACTATGTTTTTTGTTTTGTTTTGTTTTAGGCTGTGCGTGTTACAAAACCCAAAATCCCAGAAGCCATAAGAAGAAATTTTGAGTTAATGTGAGTAACATTCATGGGCTCCTACTATTTCTGTTTAGAGCTATTAACATGTTACTATAGCAGTCTAGGGAAGGTGTGGAAGGAAATGCTCAATGTGGGATTGGATAAATAGCTTTCTCCTGTACTTTAGTAATACTACCTTTTGTATCTTAATGCCCAGTAAATACTTAGTAGATTTCTCTTTATGTATGGACATTTCCAGAACAGTAGTCAAAGGTGCAATTTGCTGTTAAATGATTGCTGGAGACACAAGTAGCGATAATCTATCTATTCATGAATAGAGCCTTGAACAAGACATTAATAAAACAAGGAAACCCTTTTTGTTGCCTTATTATTTAGGTGACTCAGCGGTTAAGGGCACTGGCTGCCTCTCTAGAGGCCCCAGGTTCAATTCCCAGCACTCAAATGGTGGTTCACCACCATCTCTAACTCTGTCCCTGGGGATCTAGTGCCATCTTCTGGCGTCTATGGGCACTGTAAACACATGGTTCACAGAAAGAAGCCAGGCAAAACACCCATATGATGAGAGATGCCATTATGTATATAGGCTTCTCATACTGGTTAATGAATAAAGCACTGTTGGCCAATAGGAAAGCAAGATAGGAGGGGCTAGGAGACAAGGAGGAAAGAGGAAGTAGTAAGGAGGAGCCAAGATGGAGAGTGGGGAGAAAGCAGTATGCCAGCCGGCTCCCCAGTAAGAGAAATACATAGATCAGCAGAAATGGGTTAATAATTAAGGCAGAGCTAGCCGATAAGAAACAAGTAACCGGGCCAACAGAATTATATCTAATACAGAGTCTCAGTGTGTTATTTGGGGCTGGCGCGGCGGCAGGACAAGACTGGCGGCAGGCAGAAAAACTGTACTCCTTATACCCATACATATTTATTTTAAAGGGATTTTTTTTTTTTTTTAATGAGTAGATACCTACTTGGTATAAAGCTTAGGGATTTTTTAAATTGTTATTTGTGAAAATCAAATCTGGGTCTTTACGCATTGCCTGTAAGGAGGTCTTGCCTGAGTTTGAGTTGATTTCTGGATATCTTTCTTTTTTATGTTTCTAGAACTGGTTAGAGAGAAGTTTCTTACCTGACACAGGATTAGTTTCTAAGTGTTTTAGAGGATCTCTTTATGATAATACTTACAATATTTGAAACATCAATATTCTCATAGAGTACATATGAAAAGAAGAAACAAACATCTTGAGAAATTTTGGCTGTTGGGAAGAAATAAAGAGATGATGCTAAATTAAAAATAACTACCAAAAAAAAAAAAAATCCAAGAATACTATAGATGAGGACTGGGTATGTGACTCATGGCAGAGTGCTTGTTTACCTGACATACACAAGGCTAAGTTCAATCCCCAAGGCACACATATGCATGTACACACACACACACACACACACACACACACACACAGAAAGAGAGAGAGAGAGAGAGAGAGAGAGAGAGAGAACATAGCAAGTGTATATATTCAGGGCCCAAGAGAATAGTAATACTGCTCTATGGTTAGTATACCGAGTCCTTTTTGTTCCTAGTCTATCTTCTGTTGTGCAGTTTTATTTCTCCTGTTTCATTGTAGAGCTGTACTTTAAGAGTATAAAGCATAAAGTATCAAGCTGGGAGGTAGGTTATGAATCTGAGCCGCTAATAGAAATAATGTTTATTCAAGGATCAGGGTATCTTAAACTTTAGATATGATTGCTTCTACTAATAAATGAATTGTATGGGTTTTCTCCTTCCCTCCCTCCATTTCTCACTGTCTCACCTCTTTCCTCTTTCCTCCTTCTGCCCCCCTCTGTCCTTATCCAAAAGGATCACACACACGAGAAGCTTGAGCTACACTCTCAAACCTGCATGTTACTGTGCTTTATCCCTAGTACCACAAAGAGGGAAGAGGGAGGGAAGGGACAGGCAGAACCTTTTCTGATATTTATATAATGTTTTACTTCACAGGGAGGCAGAGAAGACAAAACTTCTTATAGCTGCACAGAAACAAAAGGTTGTGGAGAAAGAAGCTGAGACAGAGAGGAAAAGGGCTGTTATAGGTACTTGGATTTATTTATGTCTCACTGTAGGTATTGTGACTTTGTCCTGTTCTTTATCAATTTCATTTTGGATAATGTGGGGACTCAAGAGAGTATTATGTAGTGGAGAATTCCAGAAACTTCATTGTGTGTCCAGATGTTCTTAACACATTAAAAGTAAGTGAAGCCAGTAGATAGTGAAGCAAAGCCTCATTCATTAATTTTCAGTCTGCAGTGTGATTTCATTCTGGTGAACTGTTGAAGAGCTGCTTTGTAGTTTGTCGTTACTACAGCAATGCTGTGTGACTGACCTGTTCAGTGTCTCTGAACACCGTGCAGGAGTTTTCCTAGAGTAGCATGGTTCAGCATGGAGGTGAGGGGCAGTGCCTGTCACCAGATTATTTTCCTGAGCCACAATGAAACATGCCAACTACTGAGAGAATTTAAGAAGTTCGAACATCTTCACACATTTTTTTTTTTTTTTTTGTATATTGAATCTAATAATTTTACAGGTTATAATTTTATGTTTTGTTTTAAATTTTACTTTTCTAAAAATTCATTTTTATTGTAATTAGTAATCTGTTGGTTCCTACTAGATTGAAAATTCAAGGAAAAAAGGTACTTGGGGGTAGGTTGTTGTAGAAAACATTCCTCAGAGCAGAATTGCTGAATCACAATGTGAGCATACATTCAGGTTTCTCTTGCTGCCAGACTATTCTCTCCCTGGTTCTTCCATCTTCCCTGTCTCCAGCATTGAGTTCTGGTTTCTATACTGTTCACTGAATTCTCCTTTCTCTATGTCCTCCTTACCTCTTGGAGTTACCAGACTTCAAACGTTCATGTCAGTTCAGTGATGGACAGAGTATCTCATACTTTAAATTTTAATATCCCTAATTATTGGTAAAATTGTTTATTGGGATTTTTCCTTTAAAGTATATTACCTTTTAGTATCCTAAGCCAGTTATTTGACTGCTTTATTGAGCTGGTTTATGCTATTCTTTCTATGTTTTGAATACTGATCCTTCCCCATATTTATGCTTTGTAAATTATTTTTTCTTGACTTGTGGATTCTTTGAACTAAGATATCCTTGAGTTATATAAATTTGATTTTCACATAGTCTAATTCATCAAAAATTCACTGGTTTGTGCCTTGTTTACAAGTTCTTTTCTCCACAGGTATCAATTTTATTCTAAAAATTTAAAGTTCTGTTTTTTTGTGTGTGTATGGACCTTTAATTCATAAGGGATTTATATTAGTGTTTAATGTGGCAGAGATTTGGCTTTACTTTTTCCAAATGGCAGTTATCTCAGACTACTGAAAAGTTCACTATTTCTTCTTTTCAAATGTCATTTATGTATACATTAAGATACAACATGTAATTTGTTCTCATCCTAAGATCTGTTTTTATTTTAATTCCTTGTTGTGTAGCTTCCCTGTTACCTGTTCTTACTATCTAGAGTTTTTCCTTAGTTGTTCATGTTGGCTGTAATGTTGACTATTCTAAACTATTCCCGAGATTGCCTTGACTATACGAGGCCCTGTGAGACTATAAGGACCAGCTCAGTTCTGTAAAATACTCAGTTTTGTTGGAATTTTATTGAATGCATACTGATTTGGAGAAAATGGAAAAGTTTGATACTGAGTTTTACAAATCTCTTATATTTCTATTTATGAGAAATGTCTTTTTAAAAGTATCACGATTTAAGGTTAGGGAGATAACTCAGGCTATAAAGTATAAGAATGAAGACTGCAACTCTGAATACCAGAAACATGAAAATAGGGAGTGGGTTTTGTGGCCCACTTTTAATTACAGTCTCACAAGGCAGAGACAGGATCCTCAGAGCAAGCTGGCCATCAGAACTAGCTTTTTAGACAAGCTCTGGTTTCATTCATTGAGAGACCCTACCTTAAGAAATGGAAGAGTTGCCAAAGATGACTACGGATACCAACCTTAGCCTCCACGTGCCTGTGCACCCACACTGATATGTTCACACACACACACACACACACACACACACACACACACACATACACACACACACACACACACACGAAAACTGGAAAAGGGGAGAAGGGCAAAATAGTCTTAAAGTTCATCCTCTTGGTGCTGTGTGTGGTGGCACATTCCTTTAGTCCCAGCGCTCAGGAGGCAGACCTTTTGAGTTTGAGGCCAGCTTGGTCTAGGAAAATGAGTTCCAGGACATGACTACACAAAGAAACCCAGTGTCCAAAAAAAAAAAAAAAAAAAAAAAAAAAAAAAGCAATTAATTCCTGTGTAGCCTTTTAAAGTTTTCTGTTTCTGTAATAAGTAGGCTCTTTTACAAAAGCGCTTTTTCTTATTTCGTTTATTATATTATTTATTGGATTTTTGTTAGCAATTTTGTTGAAAATGCTAATATTTTTAACAGTGTCTTTGTTTTCTTGTGAGCAGTCATGTTGTCTTTAGATATAAATAATTCTATTTTCTTCTGTATATAAACATCACACTTCATGTCACTGCTTTAAGCTATGGCTTCCTAAACACTTTACACAGCAGGCATTTTTGGTTTGTCTCTAAATAGTTCCAATAACAGTTGCTATCTTAACATTTGCTACTTAATGAAGTTTCCTCCTGTTCTTTGCTTGCCAGAGCCCTTATTAAGAATTAGTGTTAAAACTGAGTTATTTGAATATATATATTGAGTTGAACTTAGGATTTTTAAGCTGTTAATATGATGGATTGTATTGTTAGATGTTATAATACTGGATTTATTTTTTTTTTTGTGTGTTGCTCTATTAAACCCACTCAGTCATGATATGGAAGGTTCACCATAATCTCTTGTAGGTTTGCTGATAAATTTTAAAGAATTTTTACCTTTTTTATTTTCAATAAATGAGATCATCTTACAGTTTTCTTTTCTTATAAATTCTGTCATATTTGCTTATTTGCATTTTGTTTGGGGGTTAGGAGTTTGCTTTTTGTTGGGTGCCTTGTTTCTTCCAACCCCAGAATGACTGGAAGAGCATTTATTTCCTGGAACATTTGTATATGATATGATATGATATGTATGTATGTATGTATGTATGTATATGTATATGTAGTTTCTTTTTCATGGGTTTCATGGAACACATAAAACATTTTGCTTTAATATGGCTTATGTTGTTTTCCTTGCTCATACTTTGGAAACAACCAACTCAATTTCATTTTTTAATTACATATAAGTTTATTCCATCATTTATCTTTTTAAGGTTTAGAAATGTTATTTTTGTTGGAAAATCTCTATTTCATGTAATACTTCAATTGGGGAAATGGGCTTATGGAATTCACTGTAGCTCTGAACACACCCACCATAGTCTACCTCTCCTTATAGTGTTTGCTTGTATATTCTTTTTTGTTGGATCGGTTTTGATCTTTCTTGTTTATTTCTCAGAGAACTGGTTTTGGTTTTGGCTTGCTTGATTTATGCTTTCTTTCCAGTGTTATTACTATGAATATTTGTTAGTTTCTTCTCTCTGCATACTTTGAATTTGGTTCTTTTAAAAATTCTAAAGTTAGTTGCTTAATTCATTGACTTCAGTTTTGTTTTGTTTCTTTTTTTGTTTGCTTGTTTTTAGTGGAAGTTTGTAGGAGTATAAATTTTCTTCTGAGTACTGCTTTGGTCTTGGAGAATTTGTTTGGTAGTTGTTCTTTAATTTGCATATGTTCGGTTTTCTTTAAGATATTTCCATTATAGTTTCATCATTAATCCATGAGTTATATGTATTACTTTTTCAGTTTTTTTTTGGTTCAGTGACTTTTAAGAGTGTATCATTGTATTGATTTTCATTGTCATAGTCAGAAGATAGCACCTGTTGTATGGGTGGTTGAGTTGTGTGATGAAATTTGATCTGCAGTCCTTTTCTGTAAATGCCTAGTTGTGCCAGAAAGGGCTGACCACATAATCCCTATTTGTTGGATGCAGGTTTCTGTGGTGATTGGTTTCTGTGGTCACATCTTCTATGTTCATCTCATTTTTGTCTATTGTGATTGATCACATCTTGCTCACTCATTTTTTTGCCTTCCAGTACTTTCAATTTACTGAGAATATTGTGTTAAAATTTCATGCTATATTTGTTGACTTATAATTTTTTCCTTTCTTTATTTTGAATCTCTATTATGAAGGGCATTTACATTCAGGATCATTAATCTCTCTGGAGATTTCCTACTGGTTTATAATAACATTCTTTATCCCTAAACCTATTTTGTAGCATAAGACTTACGTTGTCTGATGATAAAATAGCTATGTTGGATTTCTCTTGGCTGTTTCTTGGTGTATCTTCCCATTCTTTTACTTTCAACTTTTCTATGTCATTATGTTTTAGGTGTGTCTCTTATAAACAGCATATAGCTGGATTTTGTTATCTTATCCAATGTGAGAATCTGTCTTTTAACTGGTGAGTTTTAGTCTTTTTATATTTATTGTAGCTGCTACTGTATTTAGATTTGTATGTTGTTACTCAATTATATGCTATTTACCATGCATTTTTCCTCTACTTCTTTTTCCATTGTGAATTGTCTTTATTTTTATTTTTTTTTCTTAACTGGAAGGTTTACATTCTGTTTATGGAATGTATAACTAGTCATCACTTGTGAAATGTTAAGTATCTGAATCAGTAAAATCTAAAGTTAATATTCTCTGTTCTCTTCTTGAATAGTACTTGGAAATGCTTTAATGCTCATCTCTGTTCTCTAGTCTCATGTACTATTGTTCTGTTGTCTCTTTTCATGTTGATTTCCTCTTGTTCTTACTCTCATCATTACTATTGACTCTTACAGTGAACATTTACTTCGATTTGAAAGTTAAGCAACTTATTCCTCTGCTTCAGACAGTTCACTTTTTTCCTGCTAGTTGATTATTTTCTTGTTTTGTTTTTCTGGTGAAGGCTAATCTTTTTCAGTTTTCCTTGGTCAAAAGTGCTCTCATTTCATCCTCAGATGGTACTTGAGCCTACAGTCCTGTAACAAACTAAATTTATTTTTTCTTATCATTTTGGCAGTACTTTTATATTTTTGTTTGGCCTCTTGTATGTGATTACAAGGATGCCAGCAAACCGCTTATTCTCTTGGGGTAGTCATTCTTCTCCTGCTTTTAGAATGACTGTGTAGTTGTTCTCCAGCTCTCATGAGGCCAGCAGGTAGAGTTCTCTAGTCCCCACTTGTCTAGGGTTGCAGTCTCTAGAGGCTTGGCTTTATTCGGGAGTCAGTTGTAATGTGCAAGGCCTTATCTGGTTGGAGCACTGCCCCAGTCCTCCTCTCTTTGTTGTGGAATAACCACAGGGACCCAGCTCTCCTTCCTCTTGCTGTGTCACTTGAGGACTTTCATTCTGTCTTATGAACTTGTGTGCATTTAAAGACAAATTTGTTATGTTTTACGTAACAGTTTAAGGTGTTACTTAAAGGAATTTTCTCATTTGTCTGTTTCTACTTTTCTGGAGCTCCAAGTCTGCTCATGTTTGTCATTGTTTTCTTCCCAGGAAATGGAGAGTGATGTGTCTTGAGCTTATGCTTACAGCTAAATGTCCAGCCCATAGTTTATTTTTTAGTTAGTATAATACAGAATGCTTTCACTTTGCTGGGTCCTAGAATAATTTTAAAGGATGCTGCCTTCTGAAAAAAGGAAAGTATTTGGAATTTGCCTGTTACATGTTTTTCCCCAGAAGTCAGAGATAAAGATATGTTGAAGTATCTCTTGGGCCCTTTGGGGTTCCACACCAGTCTACAGGTGTTTAAATCCCTTATAGGAAATGGAATGTATTTCATCTAACTTAGGTACATTCTCCTATATACTTTACATCATCCTTAGGTTACTTATATCTGTTAAAATGAAAGTACTCTATAAACAGTTGTTACACTATACCATTCAGGGAATGATAGCAAGAAAAAGTGTTTATGCTCAGTAAACACATTTTTTAAAATTTCTGAGTATATTCAATCTGCATTTGGTTGAAACTTCAAGTGAAAAACATTTTACCACAACGTCCTTATCATCTTTGGCTGAAAAGGAAAATTGAGAAATTTTTAAAGAAAATTACAGTGATAGAATTTCAAGTGTAATTAGTCTCTCTTATTTGGTCCTGGGGTCTCTGGTTTGGACAGAGATTTGCTAAAAGTGTTTGGTTTTTCCCGTGTGTACTTGGATGTGGCAGCTACTGGGTTCACTAAGAACACTTGTTTCCTTAAGTAATTAATTTCTGATCATATTCTTGATGGCAACTTAATAGTAGAATCTGAATATATTAAAACTAAACTGTCACTCAAAACATAGGCTTTCTTTATTGTCTTCTCTTGTTGTCTATGGTGTTTTGTTTTGTTTTGTTTTGTTTTGACTTATACCTATGTATCATCTTTTATGCTTCCTGGTATATCCCTACCAGGTCATGTTCGTTATTTTCTATAAAATATCTTCTTGGATTAATTTCCCTTATCCTGTTTTTTTTTTTTTTTTTTTGACACTTTATGCAGTTGTCCTATATTTTCATGAGTTTGTATTGCTCCATTTTTGTACTTTTTTTTTTTTCCATTAGTTTGTGAACCATTGCTATATAGTCTCATGAGAGACTGGAACTGTTGACCTTTTGTAATCTTCTTCCCACAAAGCTTGCACTACGAACATAAGATACTAGAAAAAGAAAGGAATCTCCCTTCAAAACATCAGAAGCAGTTAGCCATAAAGCCTAATTAATGTTAGACCATGTACTGCTGATTCTGAGTGTGTTTCTTTGTTGTGTTATTATAGAAGCAGAGAAGATTGCACAAGTGGCAAAAATTCGCTTTCAACAGAAGGTGATGGAGAAAGAAACTGAAAAGCGCATTTCTGAGATTGAAGGTAAGGCTGAAGTTCTGAGTGTCCTGGACTGCCTCACTACCTCAGGACCAGTTCTTACTGTCTTGTGGGGGAAAGCCATAGAACATTCTGGTCTGGAGGAAGGAGCTAGCCTGATACTACAGACAGACAGACAGCAGACAGACAGGGAAAGAAAGGAAGGAAGGGAGAGGGAGGGAGAACACTTTATAATCTCGCTCTCTCCTTAGGCTATGACTGTAGTAGCTGCCTTTCATTTCCTTTCTCACAGTGGAGTTTATTGGCTCTCACTTATTCTTTGATGAAGTATAAGAATTCCTCAAAATCTTTTGTTAAGAATATATAAAACAAAAATCTGTAATCACATGGTGATATGTTTGCTATTGAACTTAGAGCCTGCATATGATAATATTGATATTCTTAGATCACAGTCTTAAGGAACTTAAATACAGCTATTTATCTCTCTCTGTTAACTGATTCTAGATCAAATTTGGTGAGGATGGGAATAATGCAATATCATAGAGCTTTTATGTCTAAACATAGTTATTTTGCCTGAACCCTGCCTGGTAAGGTGATAGGAAGTTGGAGGGAGCTAGAAGAAAAAGGAACCACTTAGAGCAGAAAATGAGTGAACTCAAAAAGCCATTGTTTAAGAGTAATGAACATATTCCCCTTGAACAGGAGCTGTCCTGCTGGGTGGTGGTGGTGCACGCCTTTAATCCCAGTACTCGGGAGGCAGAGGCAGATGGATCTCTGTGAGTTCGAGACCAGTTTGGTCTACAAGAGCTAGTTCCAGAACAGGCTCCAAAGGAATACAGGGAAACCCTATCTTGGGGGGGAAAAAAAAGAGGAAAAAAGAAAAGGAGCTGTCCTGAGGATTGAGATAAATTGTTAATATTATAACTTAAAGTGAGGCAAATAATTGAAATATTAAGCAGCAGAAAAGGTACTCGTACCCAGATGAGGGAGTAGAGTGGCAATTTTCCTTTGTTCCAAACTTGCCATGATTCTTTTATTTGCTAGATGCTGCATTCCTGGCCCGAGAGAAGGCGAAAGCAGATGCTGAGTATTATGCTGCACACAAATATGCCACCTCAAACAAGGTGACTGCTTTCCTAGTGACTGTTGCTGGTTTGCATTCTCTTTTCATGTGTTCTAATACAGTAGAACTAATTGTATTCAGTATCAACAAAAGGTACTTAGCATGACACATTGATCCCATTGGTTGGGAGGGAATGCACACACACACACACACACACACACACACACACACACACACGCACACACACTGACCCAGGCAGAAGTCACATGCATGCACAGGTGGCTAAAGAACCAATGGGTGGGGCAAGAGGAAGAGCTGGCCAAGGATATGCCAGCACCCATATACTGGAGACCCAGCTAACCCTTCCGCTGCAAGCTGGACAAGAGTAAATATTAAAACAAAAGCAGAGCACAGGAAAAAGGAAGATGTTCAGACAAGAGGCTGGAGAGATGAAGAGGGAAAGACGCAAGAAAATTTGGAGACAGCAGCCTCAAAGAGGGAGGTCTTTCTTTATGGGCATAGGGCCCATAGGGCATAGGTTCCATGACTCCAGTAGTTTACTGAGGCTGATGGGATCTGCCACAGCACCGCTACATCCTGTGCCCTCTCCCAGTGCACAGGGAAACCACAAATACTAGCCCTGCCCATTGACACCCTTAAAGCCTTCTTCAGTACGCACCCCCACCTCAACACACACTCAAAGTTAGGTCCAGTATAGGCCAAAGTTAGGCCAAAGAGAATGCTTCGGGAACTCTTCTTGGTGGAACCAAAGCCAGAGAAGCAGTCACAGCTGCCATCTCCTCCTCAAATGTCAAGTGCTCCTTGGCCCTCCTTTTCTTCCGTGTCTCTTTGTTGTGTGCTTTGGCCTTTTCCTCCTCTTCTCTGAGTTCCTTCATTTTTTTCCTCAAAATTATAATCTTTCTGCTTCTCTTCCATCTTCTTATTGACCTCAAAACGTTCTTTGTTTTGATCCATAGTGGGATGTTCCATGCACAGACATACCCAGGTTTTGCTGACTTTTCTTTCCAGGAAATTGTAGGAGTCTTTAACCACACAGCCACAGACATTGCAGTAGTAGCCTCCCATTCAGGCTGTGGGGTCGTCTTGGTAATGGCAGTTGTCTTCTTCCCAAGCTGGGACTCCAAATTCACCTTGTAGTCCCTCCGCTGCAGAAGCTCCTGCTTGACTGGCAGCACTGGGCTTCCTTCTCTCTCTCTCTCTCTCTCTCTCTCTCTCTCTCTCTCTCTCTCTCTCTCTTGTGAGCTGCTGCTTCACAAAATTTTCATATTCATCTCTTTCCATTTTTATGTCCTGATGCCCAACACCATCTTCCTGGTAAAGTGCAAGATACTTTTCATGTTGAAGACTATCTGGTGTATTGTGGTGCTTTTGCATCCCTGGCCCTTCCTGCTGCACACCTATAGTACTTGTTTTAACACCTTCTCCTCACACACACATTTCCTTGTGTGTAATATGGAGATTGCTAAGTAGATCATGCAATTTGAAGGATTAAAATCAATTTAGAAAGGAAAGACACAAATTAGAAGAAATGGTAAGATCTGATAGAATGGAAAAATGTAAATTGACAGAACTTTAGAAACTAGTATAAATAAGAAACAGATTTAACATGAGAAGAAACAGATTGGAATTTTGTCAAGATAAAAGCAAGATGAGAAATTCATACATCAAACAGTTCAAATTGATGATGGGAGAATTTGGTCAGAAGCGTCAGGATCTTCATAATAGGGTTGAAGAGATGGCTCAGTGGTCAAGAGTGCTTGCTGCTCTTCCAGGGTACCAGAGTTCAATTTCTAGCACCCACATTGGGTGGCTCACAACTCCAGCTCTAGGAAGTCAGACTCTATCTTTTGCCCTTCACAAGCATCCACACATGTGCACACATAAATATACATATAAACAAAGTATCTTTTTAAAAAAAAAAAAAAAAAAAAAAAGACTTTACTATTTTCCTTTTTTTTTTTTTTTGTTTGTTTGTTTGTTTGTTTGTTTTTCAAGATAGGGTTTCTCTGTATTGCTTTGGAGCCTGTCCTGGAACTAGCTCTGGCCTCAAACTCACAGAGATCCTCCTGCCTCCTCCCTAGTACTGGGACTAAAGGCGTGGCCCACCAACGCCCAGCTAAGACTTTACTATTAAGATCAAATTTTTTTCTGACAGGATCATCATTTTATGCCATCTTGAGAAGTGCCCTCAGATAACATGTATTAAAAGGACTTCAAGAAGCAATTTAGTTGTACAATATAACTAGATTTAATTGCAATGTTTTGGCAGAGAATAAGAATCAGCTGAAAGGCTGGGCAGTGGTGGTACCTTTACTACCAGCACTTGGGAGGTAGAAGCAGGTGGATCTCTGTGAGTTTGAAACTAGCCTGGTCTACAGAGCAGATTCCAGGACAGGTTCCAGAGCAATACAGAGAAACTCTGTCTCGGGGAAAAAAAAAAAAAACCAAACAAACAAAAAATAATCAGCTGGAGGGTGGAGACGAAGGACTGGAAGATGTTTGAGCACGGAGAGAAGTTCTCTAGCACTACAAAGGACAAGAGAGACTCAAGACAGTTACTAGGATAGTCCTGGAGAACATCAAGGGGAAAAACTCAAGAGTTTTAGTAGACCAAAAGCAAGTTTGGTTTACTATATCTTGGCACTGTGATTTACACAAATGCTGACGGTGAGACTAGAGATGTAACTCATTTAGTAGAGTGGTTGGCAGCATGTTTGTTTCTGGGTTTGCTCTCCAGCACCATATAAACATGAGTGTGGTGACAGATGTCTGGGAATCTCAGTACCTAGTGGTAAAAACAGGAATATTAAAAGTTCAAGGTCATTCTCAGCTGCATAGCAAGTTTGAGGACAGCCTGAGATATCTGAGGTCCAGTTTCAAAAATTATATATTGATAGAAGCAGTTCTGGTGGTTGACAATCGTCTTATTATTTAAACAGCTAATTTCTGGATAAAGGCAAAATACCAGAGTAGGTGATTATTTGACATATTCCATTTTTAAAATTTGGTTGGAAAAGTTGAGTCACTACGACATCTAGTTATGCAATTTTGAACCTAGGCTTTTCCTTGGAAGCCCTTCAGTGATCTGTTGACATGTATGCCCCTCTCAAGAAAATCAGTAGAAATTCTGTCAGCTCCTGGTTGAGGAAAGCTACATGAAATAGAAAATGTATGTAAACCACTTAATGAGCCACAAAAGAAATATTATTTAATCCCCAATCTACTAAAAAAAAAAAAAGAAGAAGAAAAAAGAAATGAAATTTATCCTGTATCAAGTGGGAGCTTGTTAAAGGGATTTTAATTAAAACTTAGCTGTTAAGAGGATAGCCACACTCCAAAGTGAAATAGGGTCACTGGCAAGCATTCCAAGTTGAATCATGTTACTCAGGAGAGCAACTGGAGAAAAGTCTTAGGGAAAAAGAGATGACTATTGGACCAAACTATTCTAACTCCTTTGCTCTTGTTTATCCCACACAGCACAAATTGACCCCAGAATACCTGGAGCTCAAGAAGTACCAAGCCATCGCTTCTAACAGTAAGATCTACTTTGGCAGCAACATCCCTAACATGTTTGTGGACTCCTGTGCTTTGAAATATTCTGATGTTAGGACTGGAAGAGAAGTCTCCTTTCCCCCTGAGGAGGCTCTTGAACCCTCTGGAGAGAGCCCCATCCAAAACAAAGAGAACACAAGTTGATGCAAGAGGTGGAAATGCTCTCCCATATCAAGGTGTGACCCAAGGGGCTAAGTGGGAACAGTGATTATGTGGACTCTTCAGATTCACAGAGCATTTGTGCTCTGTTGTGACTTCTCTTGTCATGGTCCTGGTTTGCCAGCTGACTGCAGGATAGGACCAGCTGTCTGGCGCTCAAGTGGTCTTTGCAGCCACAGTCTTATCAAGTATCCTGTATGTTTTCCTTTGTAAACTGGTACTCATGAGTGAGGGGAAGTGACGCTAACATACTGCCTGCACTGGAATGTCAAACACTATATAACAAGCTGTGGTTTTTGTTTTGTTTTGTTTTTTTAAGCTGAGGTCTATTAAATAATGTTTACATTGGTCCTTGGGGACTTGTGTGCTCAGACATTCAAGAGCTAGGAGGCCAGAGAAAAAGACCACCAGAAGATGGTTAAGTTAAAGAAGACTGTGACACTTGGGACCCAGGCTCTCTTTAAAGTCCTGTGCCAGCATTCCTACATGTGATTAACAGCCAGGCCTCTGGATTCCTAAGAAATGATCTTCCAGTTGAGCAACCATTTACTTGATACAATTTGTACCTTTCTGTTTTCCTGCAGTCAGGTTGGTGGCCTGCAGGGACACACACTTTGCCACCCAACCAGAGGTTTCTCGAAGAGGTTCCTGATCATGCATTTATTGCATTCAAGAAAGCAGCTGAAATTTAAGGGAAATAAAACCTGCACAGCACCAAAACTGTGGGGGCCTGTATTTCTGTATTGGGTAATGATGTCAATATCACTGCCCAGCCCACGTGTGACTAAAGTGCTTGGTTTTAACCACAGACAACTGTTTAGATGTCTTGGAACAAGGCTTTAACCTGATACAGGAGCAATGTACAATCCCTAATTGGCTGCACAGTATTATATCATAATTGCAGGGCGTTTGTATTTTAAAACTGGATTTGGGGTACATTCATTTGCCCCAGCATTTCTGTCTAAAGGTCAAGGTTCTAGGGCTGCCATGGTTGTTAACACACTGAGTCTTCTTAAAGTCGTTCACAAAGTGTGGAGCCAAGTAACCTAGAGAGCATCCTCGGCAATCTTTGTAGCCTTCCCTCTGACCCTTGGATGCTGGTATCAAAGTTGCTTTTCCAACTTTCACCTCTAGGAAATCAGAATTCTATTGACTTCCTGGCCAGCCGTTGAATTTATTTTCCATAAGAAGATAACAGAGTTAACCTGTGGCTATAGGAGATCTGTTTCATCCTGACCTTTTTTCCCCTATCAAATTAACTTTCCTGTAACATTATGCTGCACAGGTAGACCTGAGTCTGGCAAGCTTGTTGACAGCTCTTGTGTATACTGTGTTGAAGCCAGACAGAAAAGTAATGGGACCACTTCCTGAAACCTCTCAGCCATTGCCCACAACAGCTGAAGGGTTGTGCCAAACATTTTCTTCGAAAAGGAAAGCCCAGATTTGAATGGGTCTTTTCCCCAGGCCTTATAGTGTAGAGGCATTTGTAATATGGAGAAAATAATTTTTCTCATTTAATAATATAAATTACCCTTAAGTGACTTTTGTGTTCTTTAGCCCTTGTTTCAAGAATTTTTGAACTATATAAATATACCTGTCATATTGTTGCTGCGGATAAATAATGATTGCTGTGGGATATCTGGATCATTGAGCTTTATGCTTTCATTTCTAGAGATGTTTCTTATTCCCATTAGTGAATGGCTGTTGTTCCAAAGTGATGGCTGTGGGTTTTCTTAACCAGCCACAGGCCCTGTTGGCTGGGCTGAGGAACGGGGAGGGAAGTGCCATTGTCAAAAGATTACAGAAAGCACTTCCACTTGAGCTCCCCCAGTGGGGTGAGCTTCCACATGCCCGCCCATCCTTCAGGGATGTTCCTTTTGGTAAATATACACTGTAATCTTCAAGTCTAAATTTATATGTGAAAGCTACCTTTTTAAAAATAAGAACCTAAATAAAATTATTTTCCTACTAGTGATTGTGTGTATTTTGTTTTCCCATATGTCTTCATGCTTTTCTGTTGTTTTAACGTTTCTAAGGCTGTCTTGCGAGTTTGTTTGCTGATTGAACTTTAACTGTAGAGTCTTATACTTTTTTTTTCCCCAAAATAATACCTACCAGGTGTAATTTTTTAAAATAACATTTCCACATTTTCGTAACTCCTAGAATTTAATAAGCATTGCTATTGTTTGTGGGGTAAGTCAGAAGCAGGGCATTGAAGAATGAAGACAGCAGGCATTGTGCCCTTAGAGCCTGAACTAGAAGGAAAACAGTTCTGCATTAAAGGGAGGAGGTAGCTTGTGTACATTTAAGTGGTAGTGAACTAACTTCATTAGTTCAGAGTTACCAGAGTCAGGATTGGACCTGGATTCTCTCCCAGAGAACATCTCACATGGACACCAGATATTGCCAATTTTGGATTTCCAGCCTCCAGAACTGAGAGATTGCTGTTTGTCATAAATTACCTAATCTACAATGTTCTTTTAGAGCAATGCAAGATGAACAAAGACAAGACATTGGTTCCAGAAGAGCAAAGTGCTGCTGTGATAAATATCTGAAAATGTGGACATAGTTTTGGAATTGAGTAATAAGTAGGAGCATTTGGAGAATCAGGGTAGAAACAGCCTGGGTTTCCATGAGCAGACTGTCAAAGGAACATTCTCATGAGGGCTCAGCCAGGAGAGTTGTAGGGAGACTGAATTTACAATACCCCAGAAAGACAGTTGTGAGTAAGTAGAGACAGGAACTAAGTGTTGAGAGCAGGAATAAGGGTTATCATTGTTCCAAGCTGAAAAGGCCACTGTGTGTGGCAAGACATTCTAGAAGATGAATCTTAAGATTGTTCTCTGAGATAATCTAGTGAAAGAAATCATTTCCTTTCTTTGTTGTGCAGGGGATTGAACCCAGAGCCCAGCACATGTAAGTAAATACTCTGGCAATAACTTCTCCACACCCTATTTGAAAAAAAATCTGTATAATCTTTAAGCAACTGTATGACTCCTTTTAGCAGAAGATAACAAAATGCAAGAGGCAGGGTATGATGTAAAGATAGGCTGTTAAAAGGAAACAGAACTTAGAGATGTGAAGAACCCAGAACTTAGAGATGTGAAGAACCCAGAACTTAGAGATGTGAAGAACCCAGAACTTAGGGATGTGAAGAACCCAGAACTTAGAGATGTGAAGAACCCAGAACTTAGAGATGTGAAGAACCCAGAACTTAGGGATGTGAAGAACCCAGAACTTAGGGATGTGAAGAACCCAGAACTTAGGGATGTGAAGAACCCAGAACTTAGGGATGTGAAGAACCCAGAACTTAGGGATGTGAAGAACCCAGAACTTAGAGATGTGAAGAACCCAGAACTTAGGGATGTGAAGAACCCAGAACTTAGGGATGTGAAGAACCCTTAGCCTGGCACCTGTAAAGAATGACAAGAGAAAGCCAGTGTTTGCTGAAGCACTGGTAGAAGAAAGATAACTGCTCTCCCCTCGACCTTGGGACTTCTTAGTCGCTATTACCAAAGTCCCATAAATTTATATTGGTTATAAATTCCCCAATTTCAGATAACTTACAGCACAAAAGGGACCATGATAGCCATATTTCTTTGGAAATGTTATATCTTTGCTGTTGTTTCTTTTAATCCATTTTTTCCTACTAATTTCTATTTTTTTTAACATTCAAAAAACGTATTCTCATATAAGTATTAGGTACATACTATGTCACTTAAGCTACAAAAAAAAAGGTGTGTAATTTTGGAGGTGGGGTGGGTCAGTTTCTGTTTACTGGGACAGGCCCTCATCTGCAGCCATTCTCTTTGAATCCTCACAACCTTAAGAGGTTCTGCTGTCATCTTATAGCTGGGGTTTGGAAGGGTCACGTGACCCAAAAATCACATGACTAACAAGTAGCAAAGAAAGTTCAGCAGTGGTGGCACACACCACCTAGCACTTGGGAGACAGACAGGCCAACCTCTGTGAGTTCAAAGCCAGCCTACAGAGCAAGTTTCAGGACAGCCAGGGCTCCATGAAGAAACCCTGTCTCAAAAAACAAAGCCAAAAACAAGTAACAAAGTAAAGCTTTGCCACAGCCTTTAACCTTGTTCACTGAAGCAATTAGCACAGATGCTCTGAATTTAGGAGAGATTTCAGAGGGTGTATCGTCTAAATGGAGGCCAGGAAAAGGATGAGAGGTCGGTGTTAAGTTGTGACCCATGGGTTGGCTTTCTCTGCCCTCTGTAGAGCCACGAAGAAATGTTCCCTCTAGAGGAGCTAGTCAAAATAACAGCTGACTGCAGAAACAAGCTTTTCGGAGTCTGGACAAGGAGCATTCTTCCATTACATAGACCAAATGAAACTGAAGAGCATTAAAATGGGCATTTTGGATACATGGCATACCACCTGTGTTTAGGTAGGTGTTCTCATATAAGTATTAGGTACTTATTGTTGGTAATGGTACCATAACTGGAAAAGTCCCCTTTCCAGGTCATACCCCTCCCTGAAGACAGCTTACACACAGGAAGTGTTTGGTTCCCGAATAGAGAGGCTGAAAGAATTGCTTGAACTAGTTTGCCCTCCAAAATTTCACCATTTTGTTGTCAGCCAGGATTTGCATCTTAATAGCTATATTAAGTTGAATTGGAATTCAGACATATAAGGGAAATTATGACAAGCTGCGTATTTGATTTCCCCTATGCCTATCAGTTCTGTTCGGCAGACCTCTTGAGTTATGTCTGTATTAGATGGTTTCACTTTCCTCTAATTGCATTTCATGCAGGCACTTCAAGGGTTTTTACTTTAGGAATTCTTTGAAGCCGTAAGCTGTAGTCAGTCCACATATATGCTCAACCCAGACATGAACAAGAGTTAATACCTCCAGGGACAACCTTCAGCCAGAGAGAAATGAGCATAAATGATTTCTGTGGGGTGACCCCCATGGAAACGTTTTCAATGGAGGCAGTGACCCTGATATAACAGAAGAAGCAGTTTGAACATGAAGTTAAATTCCAACCAAAGTTTACAGGATAACCTGGTGTGTGTCAGGAAACTTAAATATACAGTTAACAGACCAACAGTCAACCCAGTAATAAGACGGTCTCTGCTCTCTTAGACTCAACAGTCTCATGGAAGGGTGGACTTTTAAAGATAAGACTACCTACATGGGAAGAACATAGCGCTGGAGGAGTGAAAAAAGAGGTTGCTGAAGCACAAGTTAATCACATTGGATTGCCAAAAATAAAATAACCCAATACTCAAATGGGCAAACTATCTCAATCCAGGTTTCCCTAGGAACATACACAGAGCATGTACAGATTCAGTGCTGGGGTTAGAGAGATGGCTCAGTGGTTAAAGAGCACTTAGGGCTCTTCCAGAGGACCTGAGTTTGGTTCCCAATACCTACATGGCAGCTCACAACCAAAAGTAACTACAGTTCCAGGAGACCTGACTCTCTTCCGGCCTCTGTGGACATTGTACACGTGTGTACTTACATTCACATAGGCAAATATGCACATACACATAAAGCCAATTTTTTTAAGTGTTGAGTTCTGCAGTGGCTAGTTTTGTATCAGTTTGATACAAGATAGAGTAATTTTGGAGTTAGGAACCTCAGTTGTGTAAATGAAGCTCAATAATTGGCTGTGCTTCATTTTCTTGGTTGACATTAGAATTGGAAGGGCTCAGCTCACTGGGCAGGGCCACCGCTGGGGTAGTGGTCCTGAATACTATGAGAAAGCAGGCTAAGCAAGTCATGGCAAGCAAACCAGTAAGCAGCTCTGTTCCATGATTTCTGTGTCAGCTCCTGCCTCCAGGTTCCTGCCCTGAATTCCCTGGATGATGGACCACAAACTATGAGAAACAAATCCTTTTCTTCCTAAGTTGTTTTGGGTCATGTTTCTTTATCACAGCAATAGAAACCCTTAGTTATTAGGGAAGTGCAGTAAGATAACACTTGATGTTCTCTGGGCTACCTATAATGGCAATAAGTAATGATGGCAAGAAATTGAAATCCTTAAACATTGCTGGTAGGGTTGTAATTTACTTTGGACTACTTTTTTGACTCTGTGAAATAGTCACCATATGTCTCAGGGATGCCACTTCTGGGCATCTATCTATCCAAGAGCACTGAAGCATATCCTCCAGCTGATGAGTGGGCAGATCATTATCGTGTCATGAAAAGGAATGAGGCACTGAGCACCAATGGATCTTGAAAGCCTGCGAGTGAAAGCAGACACCAAAGGCAAAATACTGTAAGGTCCAATTATATCAAACATGCAAACAGGCTCATCTAACACATAAAACACATGAAAGTAAGTTCGTGGTTTCCTCAATCTGAAAAGAGAAATGAGTGGCTTCAAACGAGGGCAGCATTTCCTTTAGGAGTAAAGAAAGCATTCCACGTTTACATTTAATGACTGTTCTAAACTGAACACTGCTGGTCAGTATAAAGAACAAACTGGGTGGTGTGTAAAGTTTATCTCTGGCTGTAACCTTTTTTTATAAGACGGTTAAACTGATACTATGAAAATCCCAGTACCAAAACCTTTCAGGAACTGAAAACAATTCAGTGTAAACACTAGAACAGGTAAGGATGGGGACCCCAAACAGGAGCCCCAAATGCAGAGGTCAGGAGGAAAGGGCAGTATGGTGGGCCTCCTAAGTCTTGTCACACCCTGGTGAGTTCCTCCAAAGACTGGAAAGGAAACTTGGAAGCAAAGAGCTCCAAGATTACAGTCAGAGCCTGATAGATCAGATGGCTATAAAACAGCTTTTTCTAAGCTTGTTTACCACTTTGTTTATTCGTCTGTCTCAACAGAAAACAAACTTGTATACTGAAGGTAAATAATTCCCTGTGGTGGGCAGTACAGAGCTGGCTGTGAGGTGAACTCTAGCCAAGCTGGAACTGCTTAACTAATAATTCTAGTACTACATGCACTTACCTTTTATTTTTACTGCAGACTGTTATTTTTAAATTTTTAAAAATAGCAAATTAGGCCAGGTGGTGGTGGCACATGCCTTTAATCCCAGCACTCAGGAGGCAGAGGCAGGCAGATCTCTGAGTTTCAGGTCAGCCTGGTCTATAGAACAAGTTTCTAGAATAGCAAAGGCTACACAAAGGAAACCCTGTCATGGACAAACAAGCAAATAAACAAACATTAAGTTAGAATATGAAACAGCCACACTCTCAAACAATAACCAGCTGGGAGGTAGTGGTGTGCATGACTTTAATCCCAGCACTCGGGAGGCAGAAGAAGGCACATCCCTGTAAATTCAAAGGCAGCCTGGTCTATAGAACAAGTTCCAGGAGAGGCTACAGAACTACACAGAGAAACCCTGTCTTGAAAAAAAAAACAAAAAACCCCAAAAGATTCATTATTTTAAAGAGCTAAGCATAGATTGATACATGTTGTAGTCCCAGGAGACTATGATGGGAGATGAGTTCAAAGCCAGCCTAGGGTCAACAGAGATTGATTATTTTAGATACAAATAAAAACAAGATAACACTTTTCAGCTATCAACACTTCCTTTTATTTATTTACTTACTTATCTATTTTTACTGTTGTAAAATACACAACAACAAACATTTTACCATTTTAGCCTAGTATGATAGCATTTACTCACAGTTCCATCATTCAGGAATCTGAGGCAGGAGAATTACCTAAAGTTCAGGCAGCCAAGACCACATAGCAAAAACCTCATCTAAAGAAAAAAAATGTCATTTTTTTCATGTTTAAAGTATGTAATTCAGTGGCATTAAGTATATGCATAGTATGGTATGACCAACTAGTGTTATCAATATTTTCAGAAGCTTTCCAACATCCCCAAAAAAAAAAATAGCTTCCCATTTCCTCTTCCTAGCCCATGGTAACCTCTCTTATCTATTCTGTTGACTATTAATTTGCCCATTTAAGACACTTCATACAAGAATTTGCCCTTTGTACCTGGCTGTTTCATTTGGCGTAGAGTTTTCAGGGTCCATCTACCTTGCAGAACATACAGAATTTCATTCCTTCTTAAGGACAAATGGCATTCCTTTGTAGGTTCTGTGATTTGTTTGTTCAATTACTTGTTGATGGACATAAAAGACTTAACCGATGAGAGATCTGATAACTGAAGAAACTCTGCCAAACCATCTCAGGTCATGTAACCTATTTTTTATTGTTTTATTTTTCCCCTAGTTTGTGAATGTAATTACTTAATGGTCTTTAAACCTATGAAAAGCAAAATAAAACTTAGTACATAGTGAGCACTCAGTGCTGAAAAAAGCTACATGCAATAAAGAGTCCTTCAAAATAGAAAGAGCTGGGGGATGGCTCAGGGAGTAAAGAATTCTCTGTGCAGGTAAGACAACCTGAGTTTGAGTCCCCACACCTAACGTAAAGCTGGGTGAGATCCAGTGCATCTGTTACCCCAGTGCTCAGGTGGTAAGATGGGAGGTGGAGACAGGAATCCTGGAAGTTCAACAGCCAGATTGATAGCTTGGCATATGGAAATGCAAACAATAAAGAGTGTATCTTAAACAAGGTGGGATTCGAGAACCAACATCTAAGATTGTCCTCTGACCTACACAGACAAACATACACACACATCATATACATACTAAAACCAAAAGAAAGTTAGAGATTTTCTGAGTAAAAGTAAAAAGCAGCAGCACTTCTTGAGCTCAGGCGGCAGCAAACAAACCCAATCCCATTCTGTTTTGTTTTGTTTTGTTTTGTTTTTTTTCCAAGTCCAAAACTCAGAACAACCTTTGCCCAGCAGGGAACACACCCTGCATAAGCTTTGCTTCCTAACAAGCAACAGCCAGGGCTGAAATGGAGCTGCTGGGAATCACTACCCTTGTTCTTGTGGTTTCTGTGATTTGCCTCAGCTTCCTTTCAGTGTGGGCAAAAACACACACTGGGGGAAGACTTCCCCCTGGCCCAACTCCACTTCCCATTATTGGGAATATACTGCAGTTAAACCTGAAGGATGTCCCTGCATCTCTTTCCAAGGTAAGGGACTTCCATCCTAGGGTGTTTGCTTGTGGGTTACGTGCTCACCTCTGAGCCCTGCTCTCTCATGATGCCCTTTCTCAGTTCTGCTTACCACATATTCTCTTTGGGGTGTTCTATTAGGGGCTACAGAAATGCAAATAATCTTCATCCGTTAGGCTGGGTCACTTTAGAGGAGGCAGTGAGAGGCCTTGGCCTGAAGATACTGGTTGGCTTCTGAATAAGATTCTGGGATCAGAACATATATTAAATGAAATGCTGACCCCATTAACATATAACACCAAAGGCAAGCTCAGCAAATGTGAAAGTGTATATTATTGATTTATACTAAATTATCTGTGGGAAGCTTTCTAAGGAGGACCCATTCCCTCCCTAACAGTGTCCTGTAACACAGCTTGTCTGCCCTGACCACAGTTGGAGAAATAATATCTCCCCAAATTCACTGTGCTAAAATACATCCCTCAAGACGGAGAAACTGTGTAAGGATTTCTCTGATGATATGTTTTTGCACTAAATATTTATTAGATGAACAGATTAGTCCATGTTTTATGACTTGGAATATTAATGCATAACAGTAGAAAAGTCCCTACCCTTGACAAGCATATTCTAATAAGAGTGACTCAGACAGAATGAAAACAAGTCGTGTCTTTCAAGTCAGCTACAGAAAACAGCAATGCAGAGATGGAAAGAAGCAAGCATTTTAATAGACTTTTTGTTTTGTTTTGTTTTGTTTTGTTTTTTGAGACAGGGTTTCTCTGTGGTTTTGGAGCCTGTCCTGGAACTCTGTATGTAGACCAAACTAGCCTCGAGCTCACAGAGATTCACCTGTCTCTGCCTCCGAGTGCTGGGAGTAAAGGCATGTGCCACCAACGCCCAGCTTAGACTTTACTTTTCAGACTATACTTTATGACATTTAGTTTGTGTATGTGTGTGCATATATGTGTTTGCATCATTGAGAGCACATGCCATGACACACATGTGGAAGTTAGAATACAACTCGAAGGCTTTGACCCTCCCCCTCCATCAGGTAGACCCCAGGGATTGAACTCACATTATCACATTTGGCATGCACCTTCACTTGCTGGACCATCTCATTGGCCCAACCTTACTTCTTGAGCACAGTGAGTTTTAAAGTGCAACTGAGCTGGGCGGTGGTGGCACACGCCTTTAATCCCAAGCACTCAGGAGGCAGAGGCAGGTGGATCTCTGTAAGTTCGAAGCCAGCCTGGTCTACAAAACTACACAGAAACTGTCTTGAAAAATAAACAAACAAACAAACAAAAAAGTGCAACTGAGCTCCAGACACAAAGAATGCCCCTTCTCCTACACACAGTGTCACCTCTTTGCATCCCACACCAAGTGGAACTTTTTTTATAACTGAGGAATTGTGTTGATTCATCATTATAATCCAGAATGCCAAGTTTATGTTTGAGTTCTCCCTTTATGCATCCTCTGGACTTGGGCAAATGTATAATGGGGTATATTTGCCCTTAAAATGCCAGAATAGTCTTGCTGTCCCAGAAATCCCCTATGCTGCCTTGACAACCACAGCTCTTCTGCTGTCTCCATAGTTTCCCATTTCCTAAAATGTCATATAGATGAGTCATATCCATGCAACCTTTCCCAGTTGGTTTCTTCTGCTTAATAATAAGCACCTAAGATTTTGAAAGGAAGAAAATACAGCCTAACTCTCTAATGACCACTAAAAGTTAAAAATTTAGAAAAAGTCCATCAGCATGTATTTAAAAATCACCCTAGCTGCATGCAAAGCTCAGGAAAAAAAACCACATGAAATAATGTGGTCACAATGACTGGTTTTTGGAAATTATTAACCTAGTTTCTGAAGAATGTTGTTATCCACAACAACAGTCTGGGAACTGTATGGGTCATCCTGTCCACAAAGAAAATTAATAACTAAAAGACGGGACTCATAGCAAAAAGGGAAAGACAGAGAAAACAAGAGCTTCTGCCAATAAGATATAGATAACTCCCTGACTGGAAAGTACATTCTTCCAGCCGTTCAAGGACAAGGCCACTGAGCTCACTGGTTCTTGAGAAAGAAAACCCCCCTAACCTTGTCTTTTCATGGCTTAACAGATCATTTCTGTTCGAATTACCTTTGACAACTACAGATAAAATGGCTATAAGCATCCACATGTAGGTTTTTGTGTCCTAAGTTATTGGTTCCTTTGAAATACCAGGGGACAGACAGTTGCTGGATCATGTGCTTAGTTTTGTAAGAAATTGCCAAGTAAGATGACAGATAAATCCATAAAGTTAACCTGAGAAAAGAGCATTCTGTGCAAAAGGACCAAGATCCAGTACTCTGTAGCAAAAGTAGAGTCAAGGAGTATCATGGAGGTGAGTGCAGATAAAATAAGCAAAGAAAATAGGCAGAAGTTGGCCGTAGTGCTATGGAAATTCAGAGGGGCGATCTCTTGATACACTCAGGGCTTCTCTGAGATCATTGCTTCTATTCCAAGAGACAGGACTTCAGCATTTTTTACATGAAGTGACATAATAGGACTTGGGTTTTAACCACATGGCTCTGCAAACTGTAGTTAGGGTAGATTGTAACGATCCTAAGAAAGAGGCAGTCTATCTATGCAATAATCTGGGGGCGATGATGTGCCTTGGACTAGTGTTAACAACAGGTCAGGAAAGGTGGCTGTACCTGGAAGTCAGGGTCAAAAGGATCTGTTACAGGTTTGATAAGAGGTACAAGATAAAGAAACACGAATGGTTGCTAAGTTGCAGCTCAGCAGATTGCTACAGAATCAGATGGGAGAGACTATGGAAGCAGGGGTTTTTGATATTAGGGAGGTAGAGCGTAGAAAAAGCTCAGTCAGACATATCTTTCATTTCAAAGACCTACTAATTATTGGGGTCAGTATGTGAGCAGGTAAGTTAACACAGGAAATTGAAATTCAGGGGCTGAGCCCAAATTCAGAATGTACTTAAAGCCATGAAACTGGATGAATTCATCCTAGGATAGGTAGACTGAGGCATAATCTCAAGACACCCCAGCCAGATAGTAAGAAGTCTCGGGGGGATCTAAGCAGGAGGGACCAATGAAGTAAGAGGAGCCCCCAAAGTGTGGTGGCGTCCTGGAACCCAAGGGAAGGATACATGAAATGAAGTATTTTAATCATGTCAGACACCAATTGCTACTAAAATAACATTAGCAAAGCAGAACTTCTAAGGAAGCCAAAAGTTCTCAGCACAGTGGTGTCATTAGTAACGGGCTTATGTTGGGTTACAGGAAAGACTGGAGGAGAGATGGTAAAGAGAACAGAGTTGACAGCTTCCCAGGCTTTGCTCTGACGAGCTGTGCTTTGCCCTGTAGCTTGAGGAAATCAGAACCCAGTGCACAAGCTGGGAAATTGCCCACCTCCAGCAGGGGAGTTATGTGTAGAAACAGGGAAGTCTGCACCTGGGCACAGGTTCTGGTGAGTAGCTTCTGCAGTGGATGCAGTGGGAACTGGAAGACACAAAGGAAAGTCATCGACTCAGAGGAAGAGGAAGTCATCATCGGGAGAGGAAGGGCTGGCAGGCCATATCCCAAAATACAGCAGTACAGCTTCATCTTCCAGGACAGAAAAGGATGGTTTAGGATGATAGAATTCTCCAGTGTTGGAGGGGAGGCTGGGAGATGACTGCAGGAATAAAGGAGAAAGGGAAAAGAGAAGACCCAGGGACTAGAAGAAAGCAGTGGACAAGTGGTAACTTCTTTGAGCCTTTTAGAAATAAGAATCCCAAACCAAAATCAAAACAAAACAAAAAAATGGGAATCCTCATAAACAGATGGACTGTAGGGCCCGAGCTGTAGCACGACCCTCAAAACTGTTTCTAGGTGTAATTTTATTTCTCACTAATTTGTTTGGCACTTGAGCATTCATGTAATTTCAACTGGCTGCTTTGGATTCTACTGTGGGGACATAAAATGGGTTTGAAAATCACCCTAAATTGCAGGCGACCTTAGTGCACTGCTCTCCTTTTGGAACACTGCTACCATCAATATCTGGTATAAACAGTCCTTTGTTTATACCGAACAATAAACTTTTCCCTAAGTCCCTCCCCTGGATGCTTCCTCTGCCTCTTTAGACTTTGGGGCGTAGTTTGGTGTTATTCAATTTTTTGAGACAACAGGGTATCATGTAGCTACTTTAGGCTGTCCTCAGACTCACTATATAGCCAAGGATGACCTTGAACTCCAATCCTCCTGTCTCTACCTACCAAGTGCTGAGCTTATAGGCAGGTACATGCCACTACCCCAGCTTCATCTCTAGTGTAATATAATATAATGGGTTATATAAGCAACCCCCCCCCTTTTTTTTTCTTTTTGAAACAGCGTTTCTCTGTGTAACAGTCCTGGCTGTCCTGGAACTTGCTTTGTAGACCAGGCTGGCCTCACACTCACACAGATCCACCTGCCTCTGCCTCTTGAGTATTGGGATTACAGGCATGTGCTACCACCTCCTGGCTTAATATGCCATTTTTAGTTAGGCAAGTATATAATGTGCTTTGAACACACCCCCTCCCGTGGCTCACTACCCTCCCCTTTCTTTCCCTCCCCACTCCCACGAATCCCCCTGTAACTCCTCCAGATACAGTTTCGTGTGTCTGTATAAATATAGAACCCACCAATGAGTGAACACATGCTCAAGTTTTAAACAAATTATTGAAACACAAGTTTACATATAAATATCTGTTTGTTGTGGCCGAGGGGATGCTTAGTAGATAAAGCTTTTTCTAAGCAAACCTGAGGACCAGAGTTCACACCCTCAGAACCCACTTAAGGCTGAGTCTGTAACCCCAGTGTTCCTAATGAGATGGGGGGTGGGGGCAGGAGCCCCTGTGCCCCCCCCCGCCCAAGCTTGTGGTGTGGCTAGTCTGGCAGACACAGTACAGACACAAATAACAAGGGACTCTTGTCTCAAACAAGGTATTAGACTGTCCTCTGACCTCCACATATATGTCATGGAATGGTCAATTCCCCCACATAGAAGCACACAAACATCACATATATATGTGTATATACATATACATATACATATATATATTATTAATAAATTTGTTTGGGGAATGGGATGTAGCTCAGGGCCCCAGATGTGGTTGCCAGCATCCCCTGAGACTGGCTTAATTAACTATTACGATTACCTCCAGTTGCTTTGGTTTTCCTGCTGTGATATGGCTCCATTTTTCTTTATGACTGAATAAAATTGTATTGGTGTGTATACTACAGCTTTAGTTTAATATAAATGGTATCTCCTTCTAGATCGTTACCCACTCCTTTTTTTTTTTTTTTTATGTTCTTCTTTGGCATCCAATACCATACTTCTTATCACTGTCCTAGAACTGTACACCATTTGGATTACAGATGTCATTTGTTTGGTTGTTTCTTTTGTAAACTTTTTACCATGTACATTTGTTGTACATGATATACTATGTTATATAAGAACACGTGGTGATATATCATTTATGATTTAATAAAGATTGCCTGAAGGATCAGAATGCAAAGCCAGCCACAGTAGTTCTCTATGGAAGATAGACGGTGGTGGTGCACACCTTTAATCCCAGCACTCAGGAGACAGAGGGAGCCAGATCTCTGTGAGTTCAAAGCCACACTGAGCTACACAAAACTGATTCAGTCTAAAAGAGAAACAGCTCACACAGCGGAGTTCTCAGCACTTGGGATCACACACCTTTAATCCCAGGATCTGAGATGTATAAAAGGAAGAAGCAAAGGGTCTCATGGGAGAATTTGTCCCCAGCCACACTGAGGACAAGACAGCCCTTTCAGTCTGAGGTAACGGCTAGTGACTGGCTGCTTTGCTTTTCTGATCTTCAGCTGGAAGTTTGAACCCCAATATCAGTCTCTGGGTTTTTATTTCTCATGTTACAAGGACATTTTCATTCATGGATAGAATGTGTATCGAATATATCCTACCCCAACTTTGACTATTTCCTCCCTCTCACTCCCGTTAGGTTTAAACCCTCCAGGGGCTCCTTGGTTGTGCAGTGTCTGATGCAGGGTAAAGTTGCATGTGCAAATGAAGGAATAAAAGGACTGGTTAGTTAAGATTACTTTTCTCAAGTGAGACTCGGGGAGCAAAGGCCAAGCCCTGTGCAAAACTCCTATTACAAATGTCCAATAGAAAGATTTCACAATATCATTTACACAAGAATTTCTGTCTCCCTCCAGCTGGCTGAAAAGTATGGGCCTGTTTACACTTTGTACTTTGGATCCTGGCCTACTGTGGTCCTGCACGGATATGATGTGGTGAAGGAGGCTCTACTCAATCAAGGTGATGAATTCCTTGGGAGAGGACCTCTTCCCATTGTTGAAGATAGCCTGAAAGGATATGGTATGTTTCAACCCAAAATGCAGGCTAACTTCCCCCTGATGCCTGGATATTTAGGGCAAAGAGATCTGATTACTAACTTAGTCCATGTCTGTTTTGCACTTAGCAACTAACCACAAGCTTATTACGATGCTGCAGTAGGATTCCAGTGCAAATATCCCAGAGCTACCAAAGATTTCACAGGTGATAGACATAGTTCCCAACAAGACCGACCTCACTACAAATGACAGACGGACACTTAGAGGTTCCAGGTCACTCACATTTATCAACTGACTAAAACTTAGGGAGTCTGCTTCAGATTCAGTCATTTTCATAATAACCCACAGAGCTCAATAAGGTGCTAGGCTTAGAATTACAATTTCATTGCACACTGAGCAGAGATGTAGGACAGACCTTGGAGGATTCCAAACACACAGGTTTTAAAGAATGAAGCACATCCAAGGGAACTCACCTTAGCCTTGGTAACCAGAGTATAGCCTAACATATATCATTAAATGAACATGATTGATGGAGGGGTGGAGGGGTGAATGTGTGTGTGTGTGTGTGTGTGTGTGTGTGTGAGAGAGAGAGAGAGAGACAGAGAGTGAGAGAGTGTGTGTGAGTGTGTGTGAGAGAGAGAGTGAGAGAGTGTGTGTGTGAGAGAGTGTGTGTGTGTGTGAGAGTGTGTGTGTGAGAGAGAGAGTGTGTGTGAGAGAGTGTGTGTGTGTGAGAGAGAGAGTGTGTGTGTGTGAGAGAGAAAGTGTGTGTGTGAGAGAGAGAGTGTGTGTGAGAGAGAGTGTGTGTGAGAGAGAGTGTGTGTGTGTGAGAGAGAGAGAGTGTGTGTGTGTGAGTGAGAGAGTGTTTGTGTGTGAGAGAGAGTGTGTGTGTGTGAGAGAGAGTGTGTGTGAGAGAGAGAGTGTGTGTGTGTGAGAGAGAGAAAGTGTGTGTGTGAGAGAGAGTGTGTGTGTGTGAGAGAGAGTGTGTGTGAGAGAGAGTGTGTGTGTGTGTGAGAGAGAGAAAGTGTGTGTGTGAGAGAGAGTGTGTGTGTGTGTGTGAGAGAGTGTGTGTGTGTGAGACAGAGAGTGTGTGTGTGTGAGAGAGAGAAAGTGTGTGTGTGTGAGAGTGTGTGTGAGAGAGAGAGTGTGTGAGAGAGATTGAGTGTGTGTGTGAGAGATTGAGTGTGTGTGTGAGAGAGAGTGTGTGTGTGTGTGAGACAGAGAGTGTGTGTGTGTGAGAGAGAGAGTGTGTGTGTCTGTGCGTGTGTGCGTGCATGTAGAGACCACAGGTCTTGCTCTTCACTTTATTTTTTGAGACAGCATCTTTCACTGAACTTGGAGCTTGCTGACTGACCAATAAGCCCTAAGAATGACTCCTCCTGTCTCTTTCTCCTTTCACCCCTATGCTGGAATTGTAGGCATGCCCACTACACCCAGCTTCTTATGTACTGGGGAATCTAAGCTCATATTCTCAGTTCTCATGCGTGTGGGGTAAGCATCTTAGCAACTGAGCCATCCAGTTCATGAATCTTTGGTCACATGGCTTAACTCTTATCCCCGGAGCTCCCTAAATTACCTTGAGGTTGGAAGTTCAGGATAATATCAAGTGACTCAACCTTTTCAACTGAGTTGGCATGTCTTCTGGCATAGCTAGCCCTCATCTTGGAATTATTCAGGGCTCATTATGAATCAGTTCAGTAGTATAAGCTTGGGCATAATCTAGAAAATATACAGTGAATTTTTAAAAAGGCTCCTTATACCCAGGACACCCATGGGGTTTAGGAACTTAGAAAAAGAAAAGGCGATAGAGATCTTAACATCATTTTACTGTGTAGTTTCTGCAGCTCCTTGGAGATGAGCTCAAGTGAGATGAAGTCACTTGAAACTTGTGTGAATAGGATTGAGCTAAATCCATGCAAAAAGCTTTTGTAACAGGAATTGCTACTCAAAGGTCTAGGGTTGGAGAGAGGCAATACTTGGAGTGCAGCTTCATGGGGACGCAGGTGGCACAGTGGCAGGAACACCAAACAGTGACTACATGTGGCAACTTTTGGAAGGTGAAGGGGAAAGGAGGAGGAGGGGAGGGGCCTGTGAGTAACCATGGTCCTCCCCAGTCATCTTCCCATTCTCATTTGGGTACAGATTCACAGAGAATTCATTTAATTACTGTATCCAAGACTTAGACATGTGTTACACATTCCTTTCTATGTGTCAAATGTTACACAATAAAAGAAAAGCCAAGAGTCTCTTTGAAGCCATTTGTAATTATAAACTTTGAATCCCAGATGAATAGAAATAATTCTTTCCAAAGTATGTTATGAATCCCTAACTACATATAACACGCTATGCTAATTGTACAAGGGGGTGATTGGGGGCCGTTCTCACTCAAGATCAAAGTACATTTGCCCAACTGCAGCAGCTGCCAAGCCTCCCTTTGGACGAAACAAGTTAATCAACAGCATTGGCTGTTGTGTCGTTCTCTGTGAATATTTTAATTTCTTGAAACTATAATTACATCATTTCTTCCTTCTCTTTCCTCCCTCCAAAGTCTTCCATGTACTTTTCCTTGCTCTCTTTCAAATTCATGACATCTTTTCTCATTAATTGTTGTTAAATATATTTCTGTGGTATGTCCGTGTGTTTGCCTAAATACATGGATACAACATGCTGAACCTGAATAGTGTTTCTCGTTTGTATATATTTTCAGAGCTGCCATTTGGTAATGGATAACCAATCAGTGTGCTCTTTCTTGGGGAAGACTGTTTACCTATTTCAGGATTCCTTGGCTGCCTGTGGTTCTTTACCTAGGTTTGAGGCCTCTTGGTCTTTCATGTTACCATGTTTATTGGGATGGTCCTTGTTCAGGTCATGTTTATCAGCCATCTTGGTGAAACTTTGTAGTGTAGCTTCTGATGTTCCTAGGACATACAATCTCACAGAAAAAAAAAATCCTTTTCTACCCCCTCTTCCAAAATGATCCCTCAGCTTTAGGGACACAATTGTGTTGTAGGTATGTTTCAGTTGGGACTGAGCTCTGCAGCTCTGTGTTTTAAATGGTTATTTAAATGGTAATTTCTCTATCTGGCACAAAAAAAAAAGCTTCCTTGATGAGAGATGAGGACTATACTCTCCTACAGATATAAGGACAAACGTTTAGATTGTTGTTAGGGATTATGCTGACTCAGTGAAATTCGAGTTGTGGGTTCTCCAGCACCCATGATTTCTTTAACCCTGAATAGTTGGCTAGGTTTCAGGTCCCAGGCATGCACTGCCTTTTGTTGAATAGTCTTGTATCCAATTAGAGAGCTGTTGATTGCCACTGAGGCATGTGTGCCCCTACGCATCCATAGTGTTATCGTTCCATGCTTGACATTACTGTTGTTCATAGGCAACACAGATGGGTAAGACTAGTTGATTGGTTCACTCCCGCGGAAGTTTGCATGGTGCTTTCTGGAACCATGAAAACCAGTCCTCAGGGAAGAAGCTTCCAGATCAGTTCCAGCTCAGGGTTTTCTCTGTTTGTTTCCGACTGGGTGTGGAAGCTACTGGGCTAGATTGAGCTGAGATGAGGGAAAGTGGCTGGCCTAAAATGCAGTTTTTGCAGCTTTGAGGAAGCCAGTTTATGTAAGGAGTACGGGTTTTTCCGCCTGCCACTGCTGGTCTTGTCCTGCAGCCGCGCCAGCCCCAAATAACACACAGAGACTCTGTATTTGATACAATGCTGTTGGCCAGATGCTAGTTTCTTATCGGCTAGCTCTGTCTTAATTATTAACCCATTTCTATGTATTTCCACATGGTCTTACCGAGAGCAGAGGAATGGCGGTTCTGTTCTCTCCAGGCTCTCCATCCTGACCCCTCCTTACTACTTCCTCTTTCCTCCTTGTCTCCTAGTCCCTCCTATCTTCCTTTCCTATTGGCCAACAGTGCTTTATTATTAACCAGTATGAGAAACATATACGGAATGACATCTCCCATCAAGTTTAGAAACTTCCCTTTCTGCCTCTCGCCTGCATGCAGTGGGGAGGAAACAATGAACTCCTTCCCCTCCACCTTGTGTGGGGGAAGACACAGGATGGATAAACAAACTGCCATCAATGCTTCCTATTTCCTCTGTCTCAGTTCCCTAGTGCTGGCCGAACAAAGCACGGCATTAGGGTGCCTTAAAACAAAAGACCCTTGTCCCACAGTACAGGTTGGGAGTATGAAATCAGGGTACTGGCAAGCTGGTTCCTTTTGTGAGCTGTGCAAGATAATCTGTTTCGCCCCTGCCCTCCAGCTCCTGGTGGTTTTCTGGCACTCTTCGACACACCCTGGTTTATGGTTACATCACCTTAACCTTTGTATTCACGGTCATATGCTATCATATGCGCGTGCACACGCACATGTGCAAATGTCCCTGATTTATAAGGGAAGTCACATTGAGTTAGGGACTATCCCATGACTTCATTTCAACTTGATTACCCATGTAAAGACCCTTGCAAGTCAGGCCATGTTCACAGATACTGAAGGTTAGCCTAGCAAAGTATTTTGGGGGAGAGGAACAATTCAGTGAATAATATTTTGCTAAATGGAATATCTGTTAAAATGCTAACTAGCTTTCTGAAGTATTTGAACAACTGTAATACTGTTGAGATTGCTTCAATGTGTGTGCAACTAATCAATTTGTTGAAATATTTCCTGGCATTTATCCACTCAGTATTTCGCCTACATCTTTGATCTTTAAACACTTATGTCATTGCTAGTGGCAACCATTCAAACCCTTAGTTTATTCATTTGATCCCTGGAGTTAGGTGGTATTGTTTATTCATTAAAATGTAAAGCTAAGGGCCAGCAGGATCAGTCATGGGGGAAAAGCACACTCAAGTCTCGCAACCTGTGTTTGATCATGGAGCCTGTGGTGGGAGGAGAGAACAGACTCCGGAAGTTACCCTCTCACCAAATGCAGAGCAGAGCAGAGCACACATGTGCTTGCACTCACACACACCCATCACACACATATAAGCACAATAATGATAAACATAAATTCACAATTTAAAATGAATGGCAGTCTTCCTGGAGGTTTAAAGGTTTTACAAATAGATCATATTCTGGTAATTTCTTTAAGGTGTAGCCTAGGCTGGCCTCAAATCCGTGCTCCTCCTACCTCCCTCCCCCTTCAGCAAATCCTACTGGTGTGCGCCACCAGCATATTCTGGTCATTAAGTAAAAAAATCCTGGCTGTCCTGGATCTCTTTGTAGACCAGGCTGTCCTCAAACTCACTGACATCCTCCTGCCTCTGCCTCCCGAGTGCTGGGGTTAAGGGCGTGCGCCACCACCGCCTGGCAGTTTTTCAGAATCAAATGTGTATGTGTGCTCTGCCTGCATGTATGTCTGTTAACCACTTGTGCTAAATATGGGTTTTTTCCTTAGATATGTTGTATTTCTAGTCTTTTTAGGGTGATAGTCAAAGCATAGATTTTTTTTTTTATCATAGTTTACTTTCAGTCTGGGGATAGGGTAATAGAAGATTTCTGATCTGAGTGTTGTCATAGCTTTGGCCTTTATTAGACAGTACCCTGAACCCAAGTGTCCTTCCCATGAATCATTATTACAACCGGCCCCTAGGACGCGCGCTGGCCCTCTGCCTCTGCCGTATTCCCTGTCATATACTCTCAGCCGTTAGCATCCAACCCTTTGTCATCTGTTCTCAGAAGACAGACAGCGCTAGAGAAACTCGCACAATGATGAGACCGGGTTCCCTGGGTAGCAATGCGTTCAAACCAGCTGGAAAATCAAATTACACAAATTAGGCAAAGAACAAACGCATAAGCGAAATGGTGAGGGTGAGAAAAAACGAGGATGCCAAACAACACGTTTAGTGAGTCCAGAGGCCGAGCGGCGGAACGGCCAGGCCTTCATGTCAGGGTTACTCAAAATGTGATTTAGAGCAGATTAGAATCTCGGTAGATTAGAGAAGTGAGGGGAGAAACTACTCTACTCTGGAGATTGCTAGGGTGTAGATACAGTTTCTCCTCGAGGGTTCATGAGTTTAACTTGGCTCCCAGATTGGCCATGTGGGACTTTCAATAGAGCATGGAAGGAGACCCCATGGCAACTGAGAGTGTGGGGCCCAGTCTGTCTTCAGCCTCCTGTTTGAAGAAGTGATTTCTCCTTCTGTGGTAATATGAAAGAAAATGATCCCCAAAGAGAGGAGGCTGTTAGGAGGTGAGGTCTTGTTGGATGAAGTGTGTCTCGGTGAAGGCCAGGTTTGAGGTCTCATATATGCTAAAGATACTACTGCCCAGTGTCTCAGACCACTCCCTTTTGCCTGAAAGGTATAGGACTCTGAGCTACTTCTCCAGCACCGGGTCTGCCTGCCACCATGTACCTCCATGTTGATAACGCACTGAACTCTGAACTGTAAGCCCTCAGTGAAACGTTGTCCTTTATAAAAGTTGCCTTCGTCATGGCGCCTCCCCTTGGCAATAGAGTCCCTCACTAACACACCCTTTAACATCCCTTCCACTGTGATTCCTTCTTGTCAAGGCCATCCCAGAGCTGAGCTGACGTTGGCACCATGCACTTGAACCTCCAGGAGTATAAGCTAAATAAACGCCATTTTCCTATCAAACAACCTCTTCTTAGGGCCGTGTTCTCCCCTGCACACCACACTCTCATCTCTCTCCTCAGAGTCTCCACCCTGGCTTGTAATAGAGAATGATTTTATATTCTTGTACTTCCCGCTGGGATTATAGGTATGTACCACCGTGTCCAGTTTTATACAATGCAGAGACCCAAGCTTTATGCATTCAAGGTCAGCAGTCTAGAAGCTGTGTGTGGTGGTGTGTAGATGAGTTTCTGTTCTGCCTGATGCCGCAGCCGATTAGCCGCTAATAAACACACCAAGGTGCATGCGGGACCAGGTGGGACAGAAACCTCCATCCTCGGTGGTGTGAATGAGAATGGCCAATAGGTAATATCTTTGAATGCTTGGTCCCCATCTGATAGAACTGTCTGGGAAGGGTTAGGAGGTGTGGCCTTACTGGAGGAGGTGTGTCACTGGGTGTGGGCTTTGAGGTTTCAAAAACTATTCCTGGTTAGCTCCCCCCTTGCTTCTTGCTTGTTACCTTCCTTTTGCTCCAGCGCCTGCCCGCTGCCATGCTCCCTGCCGTGGCGAGCATGGACTCGCCCTCTGGAACTCTAAGGAGCTCTAAGCCCCTAATAAATGGTTTCTTTTGTAATTTGGCCTTGGTCGTGGTGTCTTCGCACAATAGGAAAGTAACTAAGACACTGACCTACACCCCTAGGTCCCCCTCTAGTGTCTCTTTATAGTAACGCTAAACAAACGAATCATAACTAATAGAAAGTTGTACATTTTCTAAAGACATTGTAACTGAAGTATAATAGAGTAGCATGATCTGGCAAGAAGGGAAAGATTGGGAGTTGGAATCAGCAGGGCTTCAGAAAGGCAGATATGTGTGGCAAAGGGCAGAGAGGACATGAGGATGGCCCTGAGGTCTGGGTTGGACAGCCATAAAAACTGATGTTGCATTGAAAGAAGTGGGAAATCAGGATACATGCCTGGCTTCACACAGAGGAAGAAGCTGGAAAAGTACTGCATTTGGACCACGCTGCACCCCAGCTCCTTGTTTCTTCTTGTTTATTTTTCCAAAAGATTTGTTTGTTGTTGTGTGTGTATATGTATGTCTGCGTGAGCTTTTGTGTATCACCACCATGCCTGCAGGAGCCGAAAAGAGGGCACCAAATCTCCCGGAACTAGAGTTACAGGGGATTGTGAGCCATCAGATGTAACTGAACCCCAGGTCCTCTGAAAGAGCAGCAAGCACTCTTAACCACTGAGCCATCTCTCAGCCTGGTTCCTTCAACAAGGCTAACATTTGCAGACTAAATTCTGAAGACAGAAGCGTAGTTCCTACATTGATCTATTTCAAACGTATTTATCTCTAACAAAGAAAAGCACACACAGAGCATGCAAAACAGAACTCCACACGTTCACATGATGGTTCTACTTGTTTTTAACTGTTGGGCTTGTTCTTCATTCACCAACAACCCTGTTTGTTCATTCCTGCCTCCTTCTGAGCATCGGTGAGTTGTTGGTTTCCTATGGCAGACATCTATGTTGATCTGCACTCCACGTGGCTTGGTCTTCCGGCCCCGAGTCCAGATAAGGAGCACAACACGGTCAGGGTAGACAAGAGAAGACCTGTGGGGAAGATGGCCTCTGTGACAAGTTCTCTTCTGTTTCTTTTCCCAGGTCTCATTTTCACTAATGGGGAGAGATGGAAGGTCCTACGACGCTTCTCTCTCATGACGCTCAGGAACTTTGGGATGGGGAAGAGAAGCCTGGAAGAGAGGGTGCAGGAGGAAGCCCAGTGCCTTGTGGAGGAGTTGCAACAAATGGGAGGTGAAATCTGCAGCCTGTCCCTGTCCTGGCTTCTCCTGGAGGAGTCCCTTGGCCCATGGCCTGCCCTGTCTGTGAAGACATCAGCCTAAGTAGGAATACCCTCTCCAAAGCTGTTAGCGCTCAGCAATGCTTTCGGCTTTATCCAACTTCTAACCCTGGCCCTTTACTAGATATTCTTTTGGACAAATTACTAAGCTTTCCTAAAAGGAATTTTCATTATTGGGAAAAAGTCAGGTTACAAATAAAAGACCAATAGAAAGATTTAATGATGCAGTAAAGCCCATTTGCATAATGTTCAATAGATTAGAGACGTTCCATAATATTACTCATTTCTATTATTATACATATAATAACAAAATGTGTTATCATTAGTATAATACCAAGAGAGCATATAGTATCTCATGCTATAATGAAAATAATGGGATATACTATAGGCATATGTATGCTAATATATATACCTGTAATTAGTATGACTAGAAGATGCTTGCATCCTAATAAAGGAAGTTTATAAGAGTAAACCATATGCATAAATCTGAAAAGAGAGGCCAGTCCTTGAAATCCTAACTCGGGATGATGAGGATACCCATTGTCAAGGCCTTGGGACCATAGCTCAGTGGGAGAGGGCTTGCCTGGCACAGGCAAGGATCTGAATTCAATCCTGAGTACCACAAGCAATAAATCTCAGTGTTGAAATTCTGTCCCCACAGCTCAGCCCTTTGATCCCACCTTCATCCTGGCCTGTGCTCCCTGCAACGTGATCTGCTCCATCCTCTTCAACGAGCGTTTCCACTACAAGAACAAGACACTCCTCAACCTCATGGACCTTTTAAATAAAAATTTTCACCAAGTCAACTCTATATGGTGCCAGGTAAGACCTAGCTTCTATCCGTGTTTGTCACCGTCCTTGAGTCAAAGGTCTGGGTCTCACTGGGTGAAGTGCCCTTCCGTCTGTGATGCTGAATTTAGCCCAGCATTCAGGGAAGTTTGCCCTTGCCTGCTCTAACTCAGAAAACTTGGAAATTGTGGAGTACAGCTCAGTCGTGCAGCACTTGTCTAACGTTGGTGAAGTCCAGCCCTGCAAACTAAAGAGAGAAAGAAGGGAGGGGCAGCGGGAATCAGGGAAGGCCATTCCCAGGCATTTCCATAGAACGCCACTCTGCACGCTTCTCCTCCCTGACAGGGTTGAGCAGAGGTAGGCGAGCCACAGGGGGAGAGGACACTCTTCTTTGCATGCCACGCCCCCCTTTTGGTTCGGTCCACACTCCTCCCTCACAGGTGAACCGTTGGCAGCTTTTGTGTTTGCTCACTTCCATTTTTTAGATGTACAATCTCTGGCCAACAATTATGAAGTATATACCTGGGAAGCATAAAGAAGTCCCCCAAAGAATCGATGATATTAAAAACTTCATTCTGGAAAAAATAAAGGAGCATCAGGGATCCCTGGATCCTGCTAACCCTCGGGACTACATTGACTGTTTCCTCAGCAAGATTGAGGAGGTACGGGGCCTGGGCTGGGGGAGCCCTTTCCTGTCTGCATTGTAGCCTGCCTGAAGATGTAGGAAAGCATGGTCGCGTATGGAGTAATTGTCGCAATCCTGGTACTTTACGGCTTTCTGGATAAAGTATTTGAAACAAATACGCTAAAAATGAACCATAGGTAAGAGATGCCTGCATACTTAGTACCAGCTATTGCGTAGCAGCATCAGTTCTTGGAATGCCTCTGAGCAGGAAACACAGCACGACAGGAGAAGAGTGTGGTTCTATAATCATTCCGAGAGCTCCAAACCTGAAAATGCGTTTTGAGTTTCTGAGTTCTGAAAGTTAGCCCTGCCCGTGTAAAAGTCCCCCAGAGGTAGAGATGAGAGGAAAACGCCACTCAGCTTTATTGTAAGTAAATGGCAGTAATTTTACCTTTGGGAGGACAGTCTCCCTAGAAAAGATGTCTGAGAGAAGATTGTCCCTGAATTAGTTGAGGCATTACACTTATTCCAGTTACCAAGAAGGTCTGTTGCAATAGCCCAGTCATTCTGGTGAATGTTAGGGGAACAACGTGTTTCTCTGGGAAAAAGAAAACTATCAAAGCGTGGTGGCACTCAGGAGACAAAGGCAGGTAAATCTCTGTGAGTTTGAGGCCAGCCTAGTTTACATAGCAAACAAGTTACATAGATCTGGGTAGAAAAAGGAGAGCTGGCCAGTCACGCACTAGTGAACATCCTACACTGGACTTCAACAGAGTTTATCAGCTCTTCTCTTTCCTTAAATACAGCGTGAGAACTTAGCAAGTGTTTGTGCATGAGGCATTGTTCTGAGCACTTCCCGCCGTTCACCTTCCCATCTCTGTTAGGGCTTTACGACACACCTGTGTCTTGCCTAACCTGAGATCCGAGCCCAGGATGTTCAACTTCATGACTGATTGCTCAATTCACAACAAACAGTACAGCATACAAACGGAATCTGCTTAAGAGTGGACTCTTGGGTGGGGGGGGATTTTGAGAAACCATCGCCTCCTCTTTAGCTCACAGAGCCCATAATTCTATCACCCGCAGGAGAAGCATAACCCGAAATCTGAATTTGATCTGGAGAACTTGACAACCTGTGGGTCCAACTTGTTTACAGCAGGCATCGAGACAACCAGTGTCACCCTGCGATTCGGGATTCTGCTCCTGGTGAAGTACCCAGAGGTGCAAGGTACAGTGTTGGGAAGAGGACGGGGCTGCCACACTTCCGGGGAAGAGCTGGGGTTTGGAGGAAACGAATTATGTCCCATGGGGCTAATAAGAGGGAGATTCAGTACTAAAAAAAAACTTTCATTTAAGTTCAAAATAGCACTTATGAATCTCAAACCTCATATGTTAAAAAGAGACAAAAAAAAAAAAGAGCCACAATGAGCAAAAGATGTAATGGGTTCCAGGCTGAAATCACACTTAGACCCGCTAACACCTGGCTGTGTGACCTCGCTTGAGTTCTTTCATCTCACAGGCTTCTATTTTCCACCTTTGATGTGCACCAAACTCCCCAAGGAGCGTTCTAAACTCCGATGCAATTTTTGTATTTCTTTTCATTAGTAGATGCTAATTACTTATAATGAGGGTTTCATGATAATTCTGCATGCGTGTATATAATGTATTTAGACCCTATTCATTTCTCCCACTTCCCCCTCTGCTGATCCCCCTTCCTGTTCTCAGATAGTCCCCTAGTTCCCCTATTTTCATGTTTGGTTTGGGCTTTTGATTGTGTGTGTGCGTGTGTGTGTGTGTGTGCGCGTGTGTGTATGTGCGCATGTGTGCGTGTGTGCGTGTATGCGTGTGTGTGTGTGCATGCGTGTGTGTGCGCATGCGTGCGTGTATGCGTGTGTGTGCGTGTGTGTGTGTGTGTGTGTGTGTGTGTGTGTACCAATGAGTTTACTTAGGGCTGCTTACAGGAGATGGAGGAGGGGGTTACCAACAGGAGAGTGAGCAGCCAGCCTATCAGTAGCTGCAACATTGAAGGAACTTCTCCCTTCTACAGCAACCACCAACTGCTTATAGATCATCATGGGTTTCAAAGTAATTTTAAAGTGAAATTCAACAATTAGTGTAGGGAGGATGGATTACCTCGTGCCTTTTCTCAGAGTACAAACTGTAAGAAATCAGTATTTACTGCTCAAAATACAGTTGCCAATCCCCCAGGAGATATGGGAAAGTCAGAGAAGCTGATGAAGGTGCTGTCAGCAGAATAAGGAGCCAACATCTTCCCTCTATGATTGATTTGCTGGGGATCACTGATCAGTTGGGAAACTCTAGGTCTTTTCCTAACCACAATGCACATCGCTGCCCAGCCTTTGCTTCCAACAGCCAAGTCTTTGGGATTTGCAGCAACACACCTTTGACTCCCACAAAGCCTCCACTAGGCCACTTCCTATCACTCTGTGCAGGCATTTCCGGGTCTCCTAGGAATATAGGCCTGAGTAACCCTTACAATGTCTCTGCAGTCAAAATTCATGAAGAAATTGATCGTGTGATCGGACGTCACCAGCCCCCCAGCATGAAGGACAAAGTGAAGCTGCCCTACACCAATGCCGTGTTGTATGAGATTCAAAGATACATCACTCTCCTTCCCTCTAGTCTGCCGCATGCTGTGGTCAAGGACACAAAATTCAGAGACTATGTCATCCCCAAGGTTAGATGTATTTGGGAAAGATGACTGGCACCTGCTGGTGTTGGGGGGTTCGATCTCAGTTCTGTGGCTGGGAGAACCAGCCACCAAAAGAACACAGAGCATCACAGACACACTGTCACCTATGGGCCTTGTCTCTGAGTACTTTAGACTGTGGGAGGCTGACCTGAAGCTTCCCAAGCCCCTTTCTGCTTTCCTACCACATGTGTTAAATGAACAGAAAATAGACCCAATGTGACCCAAACACTGCCAAGCCCAAAGCAGCCTCCAGTCTGAAAGAGATGAGTACCAAAGTCTGCTGAAGTGTGAGTCTACATAATACTGCACAGCTGGCATGAGACTATGGGCATAAACTGCAGTAATCTAAAACCAGGATACACAACATAAGAAAAACCAAGGGACTCAGTGGGTGACAGCACTTACTGGGCAAGGTCAAGGTCCTGAGTTCAGATCCTGACACCCATGTAAAAAGCCAGGCATGCAGATTGTAACCCAGCACTATGTTGGCAGAGAGAAGATGATCATTGGGCTTGCCTGCCTGCCTGCCTCCCTCCCTCCCCCTCTCCCTCCCTCCTTTTTTTTGTTGTTGTCAAGTGCTGGGATTAAAGACTTGTGCTGCCACTATCCCTTTCCTTCCTTTTTAATAGCACAAGTTCTCCACACACTGCCCAAGCTGGCCTCCATCTTCCAGTCCTTCTAATTTCATTGCTGGTGTGCTGAGATTACAGGTGTTCACCAGCAAACCAGCTAGAAAAGTTTTCATTAGTGAGAAAAAGTATGAGGAAAATACTCAAGCATAAGCAGGAAGAGTGCAGGATTCTAAAGATTTAAAGATATTTCCAGTAGAAAAGGGTTTTTTTGATTATTATTATTATTACTATTATTATTACTATTATTGGTCTTTCAAGACAGTTTCTCTGTATGCCCTAGCTGTGCTGGAACTTGCTTTGTAGAACCGAACACCATGTCAGGTGGGAAAATTTTTAAATTAAATTTATTTGTTTATTTTATATCCTGACTACAGTTCCCCCTCCTTTCTCTCTTCCTATTCCCTGTCCTCACCTCACATGAAGGGTTTTTTTAAAGTTTAGACTGCTAAGTTATACAATTTTTTGAATAAATTAGACTTATTCCATATTAGACTAGGAAAGCAAGTTATCCCCAAATAAAATTACATGTTTACATTGCATATATAAAATGTATTTATAATACATTATAAAAATGATCATATATACTTTTTGGAACCAAACTGACATATTCCACACACCTCCCAGGACTCGGGAGGCCTAAGCAGGCAGATCTCTGAGTTTGAGCCCAGCCTGGTGTACAGAGCAAGTTCCAGGACAGCCAGGGCTACACAGAGAAAGCCTATTTGAAAAAACAAAATAAGGATAAGTGCTACAAAATAATAAAACCCAAATCCATAATTCTTTTAATTTATTGCACTATTTTTGTGTGTGGTAATTATGAATGGCTAATGCATACATAAAAATATACCCACAGAATGGAATAGATTGAAAATAAAAATTATAAAGACTCGTGTTGTAAATTATCATAGTATATTGACAGGATGTTTAAGAAAACTTCTTTTGAGCCAAGGTGTAGCCTTGGCTGGCCTGAAACTCCCTGGTAGACCAGGGTAGACCAGGCTGGCCTCACTTGGCAGAGCTCTGCCTAAGGGGTGGGATTCTTGGTGGTAGTGGTAACCAGGGTAACCTCTGCAGAAGGCTGTGTAAAACAGCTACAGGCATTTAAAGCACCTGAGCATCCCCACTGCTAAGAACTTAGCTTTTGTGTAGATTTTCCCCAAAATAAGGATTTCTTTTTTATATTTATTTAAAAGCCAGATGTCAAGGCACCCACTTGAAATCTCAGTATTTGGCAAATGGAGGCAGGAGCATCAGTAGTTCAAGGGCAGTCTCAGCTATGTGGTGAGTCTGAGACTCTGGCTCCAAGAACTAACTGAAAACAGTGCATTTTATACTTGTGGATTAGGAAATTTCCATTTAAAAGATGCTCATTAAAATGGACAGTTAAAAATTCTGCTTTTTCTCATGCAAGCTACGGGACACCTTAAGACCTGTACGGAAACAGTGGTCCTTTCTCCTTCCTTAAGGTGTCTTCCAGAGGACAAGCACAATCTGGAGACAGTGATTATGTCAAGGTAGTAGCTGGTGACAAGTCAGTACAGGAAAGGAGGGAGGGGGCACTGGGATGGCTCAGCAGGTAAAGGTTGGCTTGCTGCCAAGTGATGACCTGAGTTCAATCCTGGAACCCACAGGGTGGAGGGAGAGAGCTCTGGCCTCCACATGCACGAATGTACAAGGAAACACAAGGTAACAGTAGAAAGAGCAAGCTTTGGGCTAAGTCAGGGTGCTCTGTGATCAGTGGAGCTCGATTTGGGATTCAGCTGTGCTGCTTGCCAGAGATACAGCCTCCAGCAAGCATACTCAGTTTGCGCAAGAGTTAAAAGAGATTTATAAGCATCTCAGCCCAGGGTTGGGCAGATGGGAGGCTCCCAGTGTAAAGACTGGTCACCATCAGCATCTTGGCTCCTAGCTGGAGCTTCTTGAATATTTATTTCCCACTCACACCCCCTTTCTACCAGGAAAACTCTGATCTTTGTACACAGATATACAAAATAGGTACACACATTAAACATTTCCCAGTGATATATCATAAGGACAATTACTTGAAAACATTTTTGCTGTACATATACTTTTATAATATATGAAAGACAACTAGTCTTGCATACTAATGAGATGGCTGTGCTTGTTTATTTTAGATGAAGACTGAATGTGGGTTGAATATTAGAAACTGTAGGAAGGACACCATCTCTGGTGATTTTTCAGAGTTAACTGATATCTTGATTTTATAATTGTCAGTGTGGAGAATGCCACTTCACAGAAATGGACAGAAAAAAAAAAAAAAAAAAAAAAAAAACTTCAGGGTGCTTGGTGCCACTCCAGAAGTTACTGAAAATTCCTGCCCTAATCCCAAACCAAAACTGCTGTAAATTTCTTTTTTCTTTCTTTCTAATAAGATGGGTTTTCTCTGTGTAATAGCCCTACATTCAACTTCTTAATGGCACTCAAGTCGATGGCTTAAATAGCAATTTTCAAAACCAAACATCCTTTCTAACACAACACAGTTTAAAGATACATTACATTTAGACTTGCAGGCTGAAGGACAGAAGGGGAAGCTTGAAAAGTCTGTTTTCCGTAAGTAAACCGTGGCTTCTGTAAGAACAGAAAAACCTTGTGTGTATGGGGAAAACGTTGGGATCCATCGCATACAATAGTCTTGGATATTAGCTGAGGTGTTTAGGGTCATGTTCTCTGCTGTTGAGTGGTGTGACAGCGTGCTCAGTACAGGACACACACTACGTTCAGAACACGGAGGCAGCGAAGGTGCAGGGTGGGACACATGTAAGCTTTGCCTGAAATGCCTCAGATTCTTTACATGTTTGATTTTGACTACGCCTTTGGCCCTTGTGTATTCCGAAGCCTTTTACTGTTGCCAGATCATGCACCGTCCCCACTCTCTTAGTGTGCTTTATACTGCTGGGACCAAAAGCGTTTGGAAAGGAAAGGGCTTCTTTATGCTTAGCTTACATATCCCAGGTCTCAGTCCTTTGAGGGAGGCTAAGGCAGGAGCTGAAGCTGTGAAGGGGTGTCGCTTCCTGGCTTGCTCCTCCTGGCTTTTCCGGTTTGCTTTCTTACCCCGCAGGACCACCCTCGCGGTTGCTGGGAATTGAACTCAGGACCTCCCTTAACCATTGAGCCATCTCTCCAGCCCTAGATAGATGCACTGTTAGTAGGAGTGTTTGACCTCCGTGTGAGCTAGCTCGTGGTAAAGCATCACCGTGTTCTCCATCCTTGATTCCAGGGCACCGCCGTTCTCCCGCTACTGTCTTCCGTCTTGTTGGACCATAAAGAGTTTCCCAACCCAGAGACCTTTGACCCGGGACACTTTCTGGATAAAAATGGATGCTTCAAGAAAACAGACTACTTTGTTCCTTTCTCCCTTGGTAAATACACACATTTCAGGCAATTTTTAGCTTCGCTAAATTATGTCATAAGTGACCCACTGATCAAACTGTCATAATTCCCCAAATCTAGAAGGACATTTACCTCTCTATGACAGTCACATGAGGTAAGTCTTCCAGGAACTATTTTGTGGGCTGGCAAGGCAACTTTTTAAAGAAAACAAACATTACTCAAATTCAGATGTCACCTGTTGTTGCCTGGTGATAAAGTAACTCACTGTTGCAAATTTTACCTATTGATTTCCTTTTGCAATATTAACTTTTCCAAAGCACAGATACAGATATCTTCATTTTCTAACTGTTAATTATTTTTAATCTTCTGGTTCTCAGAGCCAGAGTCCATCAAAGAACCTTAGTCGCCTCCATCTTCTTTCTTCAAAATTTGGACTACAGTTATATGTACTGTTAGATCATAAAAACGATTCGGCATTGCTGGCGTGTCTTCTTTCTACTGTCAATCTGTGCATTTGTTTGATTAGCATTTAAAAAAAAACAGACAGTTTAAGGAGCCTGGATTGTAGTGGTAAACCAGTTGTCTACAGTATGTAAGGTCTGAGGTTTGATTTCTAGGCCTGCAAAAAAGCTAAACAGATCAGTAAGTTAAAAATGCACTGTTTCTAATTACAATGATAATAAGTGTTCAACATAAAAATTCAGGAAACCAGGTTAAGAGAGGGAAATAAAAACGACCTGCAATTTTCCATCACAGAGGTAATCACTTGCTGCCTTACCACAGGCCCTTCGAACAGAGTCATGGTATAAGCATATGTAGGCTTTTTCATACTAAACTTGGTTTATTCGGCACAAACTGTAATAATATGCTTTTACATGCTATTGCTGGAGTTTCTTTCCCCTTAGATCCCTGTGCCTCTTCAGCCCCAAATAAGCACACAGACACTATATTAATTATAAACTGTTGGCCTATGGCTAGGGCTTCTTATTGGCTAACTCTGTCATAACTATTAACCCATTTCTATTAATCTAAGTATTTTCAAGTGGTCTTATTTTACCAGAGAACACCTGGCACATCCTGTCTTCCCAGTCTCTACATGGCAGGATCTCTCTCTCTGCCTACCTTTCCCGGAATTCTCCTCGTCTCCTAGTCCCTCCTATCTTCCTGCCTCTGCTGGCTATTGGCCAAACAGTGTTTTAGTCATCAATCAATAAGAGAAACATATATACAGAAGGACATCCCTTATCAATATACTACACTGTGATACAAGATACTAAATAATCTTCCATGAAAATGCTTTCCAGTTGCATAGTATAATATATCCATAAGAATTTGCTTAACCAATCCTTTGTAGAGCCAGGTCTAGGTGTCATTCAGTCACATTATATCATAAATAATGGCTTAAGTGCTGGCCTCAAAACCTTGCTGACTCCTACAGATAACCCCTTGCAAGTATTACTGCATTGAAGATGAGTAAGTGGTGTTTTATTTGTTTTGGTTTTTCGTGACACGATTCTTTTCTGTGTAGCCTTGGAGCCTATCTTGGTATTTGCTCTGTAGACCCAGCTGGGAGTGTTTCTTTAGAGTGTTTTTCAAAATTTTTATTTTTTAAAATTTTATGTGTGTGTATGTATATGTGCATGTAACGGCCTGAGGAGGTTGCAAGAGAGCATCAGATTCCCTGCAACTGCTTAGAGCTGTTTGTGAGCGGCCATGTGGGCGCTGGAAACCTGGGTCCTCTACAAGAGCAGCCAGTGATCTTAACCACTGAGCCATCTCCCTCCAGCCCCTACAGTACTTTGATAAGTGCTAATTTACTGTCCTCCAGAGTATCCTGATTGGCGTTTTCAGTGGCTTTCAGGTCTTATTTGAACATGACCGGAGCTGATGCTGTGGTTTTTCCTTCCAGGGAAGCGGTCCTGTGTAGGCGAGAGTTTAGCCCTTATGGAGCTGTTCCTTTTCTTCACGACCATTCTGCAAAAGTTTTCCCTCAAGTCTCCAGTGGAGCCCAGGGACCTAGATATCAAACCAACAGCTACTGGGATCATCAACATGCCACCACCTTATAAGCTGTGTCTCGTTCCTAGATAAGAGTTTATCCTTCCAATCATATGAACGCAAGTCATTGGTTCCTTTTACTTACTCGGTCTAGGCCAGAAACACTATTCATTAAGGCAATGTGGGCATTTTGTTTCAATCTACAAATTCCTTGACATTCAGGTCTGGGTCCTGAAAGCTCCCAGGACACAATGTGTCTGTGTTCCTCACCTCATTATAAAGCAGGCCCCAGCAGAACTGACACCAGGTCCCTGAAGGCCTTCATTAAACAATGTCAGCAAGTAGCGGAGCTCCCTCTAGAATAGCTTTGGAAATAAACTGATTGTCACTTTTACATAGGGAGATTAATGCAATGGCCCACATACATCTTCCCACTCTCACTTAACAGCATTTATATGGTTATGTCACATTCACAGAATAAATTTTCACCCTAACAGTAGAGTTTCTTTGTATATTTGACTTTATCTCAAGTCTCAAAGAAAAATCTGTGTCCTTGACCTGTATATAAGCCATTAGAAGGATGAGGGAGAGAGGTAACATAGCCCTGACAAACCTCTCCCTGCTCCCCCCCCATCTGTTTGCAGCCCTTGGTTTGCATGTGGCCCAAAGGGCACCCTTGGGAAGTTAAACCACATCTAGTGTTAGGACTCAGACATTTATGACTGGGCCCTCTTGACAGCCACAGGCCTGGAACTGGGGGCAAACAGCAAGAGGGCAAGTTGCAAAAAGACTGCACCTTGCCAAGAGAACAAAGGCTACACAGGAAAGATCAGCAATAGCAGCTGCCCTAGAAATGGCTGCAGCAAGTTCAATGGACAGCAGCTGCCATCGATTGGGTCAAAAGCCAACAGCCAGGCCTGACTGATCTGGGGACACCGGAGATGAGAGAGAGTGAAGACAAGGCTGTGGCAAGTTCATAAAAAGACAAGCCACAGACTGGGGAAAATATTCTCTGTGGGTCTCATGAAGGATGGCTACCCTGAATACTCTTGAAACTCAATTTGAAATCGAAACAGTTAAAATCAGGGCATAAGAGCTGAACAGACACCTCACCCCCCAAAGACACACAGCTGGCAAATAAGCCAGTAAGGGGTTGTGCCACATTATAACTCATCAAAGGGACACAAGTAAAGACAAGAGGAGTCCCAGTTCTGAAGTCTGGAACACAGACACCAAGTGAGATCAGAACCTGGACCATCCACCCTGCTGGTTGGAATGCAAAATCATATAGACACCTTAGAAGACAGATTAGCTGTTTCTTACAAAGCTAAGCATATGCCCAACACTGCTCTCCTGCTATTAGCCAAAAGACTCAAAGCTATAGCTACATTGAAACCACACAGACCCCCAGACCTCTGTGGTTAACCAGGGGCTAGCTCCACCCTCTGATCTTCAGGCAAGCTTTATTTGTTAGAGTACAAACGAGATCACCACATAGAGAGATGGCTCGGTGGTGATGAGCACACACTAAGTTCTGTTCCTAGCACCCACATGGGGCAGCTCACAATCTCCTATAACTCAGGCTGCAGGGTCCCTGGTGTCCTTTTCTGGCCTCTGTGTACACCTACACTTATATGTACACATATCCCCACACAGACGTGTAAATAAATACATACTCTGGCATGCTTATTTATAGTACCTTTAGTTTGTAACTGTGAAAACTTGAGATCAACCCAGCTGTCCTTAAGCACATAAATGGATAAGTCGGCATTGGTACATCCCAACGATAGGATACTATTTGTCACAGGCAGACAGACAAAATGACTATGCCTCGGAGACAGTGCAAAGGTCAGTGGTTGTGGACAGTAGGAGAACTGCCCACAGAGAATGTTCTGTGTGATACATAAAGATGGAACTATAACTTTACAGGCCTACCCAGAACTGTGGAGTGTGCGACACCCTCAGTGAGCCCTAATGAAAACCACTGGCTGTGGGTGGTGATGATTCGTTGTCAGTGGAGATTCACCATGCATGCTGCTCTGAGTAAGCTCGGTGGGGTGGGGGTGAGGGGCTGCGTGTGTAGGAGTAGGCAGCATATGGGAAGTTGCTCTACCCTCTCTCTGCTCAATTTTCCTGTGAAGCCAAGAGCCCTCTGAGAAAGACCTCGTCTGAGGCAAGGAGACGGCTCAGTGGTTGAGAGCATTCTGCTCTTGGGAAGATCCATGCTCAGTTCCCAGCATCCACATGGCAACTCACAGTTACCTGTAACAGTTCCAGTGAGTCTGATGCCCTCTTCTGCCTTCTGTGGGCACCAGGTATGTACATGGCATGTACACACATGTTCAGGTACTCAAGCATACACATAAAATTTTTTAACAAATCTAAAAAAAAAAAGAAATCAAATATTTAAAAAGAAACTATCATTGGGCCCTCTCTTATAGCTCATTTTTAAAATGAGCTGAGTTCCTGGGCATCTATAACGAAAGGAATTGAACACGAGGACTCAGAGAGATACTAGTACACGCATGTCCACAGCACTGCTCATCATTCCCAATAGCAAATGGTAGAAGCAGCAGAAATTGTTCATCAGCAGAAACGTAGATAGACACAATGTGTCACATATATGCAGTTGATTGCCTCCTGTCTTTAAAAGGGAACAAATTCAGACACATACTACAGCAGAGAAGAACAAATTCAGACACATACTACAACAGAGAAGAACAAGTTTAGACACATACTACAGCAGAGAAGAACCTCCGGGACATCGATAGGAACAAGCCAGTTGCAAAAGGACAAAGGTTTGATTGCACTCCTGAGCGGTACTTAGGCAATAGACAAACTAGGCTAGTGGTTACCAGGCAGGAAGAGGGGAATGGAGCAAGTCTATTGGGAAGAGTTCCAGAGGAAGATAAAAATGTTCCAGCTAGATGTGGTGAGCGATGGTTGCACAATAATGCAAGTGTGTGTGTGTGTGTGTGTCCCTTCCCAGTGGTAAAGATAGCAAATGCTATGTTGTGTATAAATTACATGTACAAACATGTATAGCAGAGGTTCTTAGGTGAGGATTTTGAAACAGCACACTTTGGATCTAATGATTACTGTGACTTTCTGTGTACTTGTATTATTTGTTAAGATAGTCTCGTGTACCCAGCCAGGTTTCAAACTGGCAAGCTCTGTGGTGAATTCCTGACCCTCCTCTGCCCCCTTCTGCCCCCCACCAAATGCTGGGATTTGGGATTATAGGCACATGCACCACCCACACTATTATGGTTAGCGGTTAATATACAAATGCTCCTCCCTCCTACCCTCATCATTTTTTCAGCTACTGGGCATTTTGCCTCTTTCCCTCAGATTCCTTTCTTCCCATGCACTTGAACATTTGGAATCAGCCCACAGAATTTTCTGAAATCAAGTTCTTCCTTCATTTTGCTTTTAACTGGACTTCAGCATCCCTATGCATAAAAAAAACAAAAAAACATAACTTTTAGGCTAAGTGTGGTGGTGCAAGCCTTTAATCCCAGAGACAGAGGCAGGTGGTCCTCTATGAACTCACTCTGTGGCCTATATAGAGAGACCCTGTTTCAAAACAAAACAAACAAACACAACACTTTTCTTCCTCTTATTTATTTATTTGGCTAATCAACCTTTAAGTCAACAGATTTTTAAAAATTACATCTATCTTATGGCATATACATGACTTTTGATTTTTTTTTTCCTAAAGCACAAGAAAACATGAGTTAGGCTACATAGATAGCAGTACCTGCATGAGGATTTGAGTTTGAACTCGAAACCTATGCAAAGAAGGCGTCTGTTCTGGGGAGGCAGATCATGTAGAACCCTCACACTTGCTAGGCAGCCGGCCTAGCCTAAGTTAGTGAGTCTCAGGCCAGCGGGAGACCTAATGTGAAGATTTCTTGTGTGTGCGGAAGGGAAGGGTAACCACACACATCACAAAGGTAAACTTCTGTAAAAATCCCTGTGGCCACATCGGTCCAGCCCCAGTCTCTCTTCTCTTTCTCTGACTCGCACACCGTCCCACCCAGTTCCCTGTTTCCAGGCTGATGTTCCTCTCTTGTTCTCTCCCCTCTCCCTTCTTCCCTTTTAGGTCAGGTACTTTGGTTTCTTAGTTTCCATCCATCCCAATTACTCCTGGAAAACATCACAGCAGAACAAAGAGGCGATGGCAAAGCAGTGCAAACAATGGGTTCTCTAAGTGTGAGTCAGGGACAATTATAAAGTTACATAGTTACTTTTATATAAATTTACAGCATCTCCTCGCTCAGAAGAACATCCTGTGACACTGCATAACATTCTCAAGAGATTCTGGAAGCACTCTCCCACAGGGAAGTTTGACTCCATCAAAAATAGCATCTTCCACTTATTAAGCAGGTTGCTGTCATCCTGTTTCAACTCCCCCTGAAAATGCTGAGATATAAGGTTAAAAACCCTGATACTTAGAGGGTAAGAAGTGGCACTCTATCCAGCTGACATTAGTTCTTTAATTTTCAAGGACTTTGTAGCAGTACGACCTAAACTGTTGTGTTAGGTCAGATGGAAGTGACATGTCACCTCCAGCTTTCCTTTGGAGGTGCCTGGTCCTGCAGGATGCTGCTCCTGAACCCTTAGTTTCCTTGGGATCCAAGTATTCTGAATCTATCCAAGTATATCTGAACCAAGTCCAACATAGCTTGTAGAGGATGTCCTACCTTAGGGGTCAGGACTCTTCAGGAAATTGCTAATATCTATACAAATGACCTATGTAGCTTTTTAATCTATCCCTCAACCATAGAGGCTTCTTGACAATTTTGGTTTCTGTTTTACACTTTCTTATTAGAATGCTGTATTTCGATGCTGAAGAGATGGCTCAGAGTTGGCTGCTCTTCCAGAGAGGTTCTGAGTTCAATTCTCAGCAAACACATGGTGGCTCACAAACTATCTGGAGTGATATCTAGCACCCTCTTCTGGCATGCAGGCATATATGCAGGCAGAACTTTGTATACATAATAAACAAACAAGATACTGTATTTCTCTGGGCTGAGGGAGGCAACTATTTAAAGACACATCACTGTTTCAGAGACATTAGAATGTCAAAACAAAACAAAACCCCCAAAAACCCAGCATCTTAGAATCAGTGAGACCCATTTGCCTGCTCTGGTGAATAGGACAACTCAAAGTCTGGCGGCAGTGGCTCCTTCCTCTCAAATGACCAGATCATTGTCAGCCATGGTCCTGGTTTCCAGTTACTTCCTCCTGATACTCTGATACCCTCACTGAGGACAAATCAGTAAACATACATCACACTCGTTTCTCCAAGTCAAAAAGAAGTGCTTTCCTCCTGACCAGAGGATTACTGCAGGGTAGACTGTTTGCCCAAAATTAGGCAAGCCCAGTACACAAAATGGATCCAGAGTCCACACCACACAAGGGTTCCATTGGCTGGAGAGCAGTCTCAGGAGACATTTCACCAAGCCATTGGTCACGAGCTTGGAAGTAGGGTTAGT